GGACCAAGCTGTCGGAAGTGCTCGTCGAAGAGCCACCTCCCGTCGAGGATCAGGCCCAGATATTTCATCTGGGCCCGGACCGGTACGAGAACCGAGCCGACCTCGATTGAGGCGCCGGCGGGCGGACCACGACGGGGCCCATGAAATAATAGGGCCACCCGCAAACCCAACGCCTCAATGCGCCCGACCACCAGGGAAACTCCCGTGTTAGCCCCCCGGGCCGTGAGCAAGGTGTCGTCCGCGTAGCAGATTACACCCAGCCCGGGGGGGAGACGCCCTCGCAGGGCCCAGTCGTACCCGATGTTCCACAGGAGAGGTCCTAGGACAGACCCCTGCGGAACACCGCACGACATGGCCCTGCGTCTCAAGACGCCATCTCGGTCCTCGTACATGACGGTTCGCTCCTCAAGATAGTCTGCCACCAGCCGCCTCAGGTACTCCGGCACTCCGTGGTAGCGGAGCGCTTCCCTGATGCAGCTGAATGGCAGACTATTGAAGGCGTTGGGCGATGTCCAAGGACACCGCCAACACCACTCCGCCGCAGCTCACGGCCTCCTCGGTCACGGCCCTAAGGCGCATTACGGCATCGATCGTCGAACGCCCCTCTCGGAAACCGAATTGGGCGTCCGACAGATCGGGGCCAACCTCGCAAAGGTGCCGGACGATGCGGGCAGAGAGCACCCTCTCAAAAAGTTTACCCGCCTCGTCCAGCAACACGATAGGCCTGTAGGCCGCGACCGAATCGGCAGGCCATCCCGGCTTCTGCAGCAGGACCAGCTTCCCGCATTTCCAGCGCTCAGGGAAGCGTCCGGACGCCAGGCTAGCGTCCAACACCCCCCTGAGGTGGTCCGACATGTAGTCGAGGGCTAGGGCCATCACTCGGGCTGGAACCCCGTCCGGCCCGGGGGCGGTGTTCTCGGATCGAATCCGTAGAACAGCCGCCCCCACTCCGATTCCCTGACGGGCGGAACATCACCCTCGCTGCCTCCGTCGTCTCCGGCTGATGCAGCCATCGGCGGGGGCGTGTGCTCCGCCCGCTGCGGGAATAGGCCCTCGACCACTTCCTGCAGGAAGCTGGGCTGGAGAGTCTCCGTAAGGGGGGGGCCGACGTGCGGAGCTTTTGACGCACCGCACGATAAGGGCGACCCCAGGGGTCACGCTCGAGACTCTCCAGCATCTCCTCTCTACCACGCATCCTTGGCGCGGGCAGATGGCCAGCCTCAGAGTTTTCCGAGCTTCTCGGTACTCCTCATGAAGCCGGTCCACCTCCTCACCGACCCCGCGGTGACGTCGCCGACTGCGGGTGAGGGACCTCCGGGCACGTACACAGGCCGCACGGAGGTCCGAGAAAAAATAGCCTAAGTTAACCTCCTTATATAGAAAGCTACTTGGTAGTAAAATATTATCAAAATCGGTCACGCCGTTTTAAAGATTGCAAATTTGATTGATTTTTAACATTACCGTTTTTTACATATTGTGATTGCCTATACATTTAATGTATAGGCAATCACAATATGTAAAAAAAGAATTGTTTCATATCTCCACTGTTCGTGACGATGCTTCAATGAATGAAATATCGATTACGTAATACTCGTATACATGACTACGTACTACCTACACAGTTGATATGAGAAACACGTTTACTATTTTATCACTATATTTACACACTAATTTTTAACCAAGCACGGACTACAATCTATACATATAAATAAATAAAATTGTAGTGTCTATTTTTATTGTCAAAATAATAGGTTTTTTTTCACGCTTACACGGTTATTTGCACGATACCTATGTCTAAAAACCAGTTTAATTATTTTTTGTATGTCTGTCTGTCTTTCTGTCTGTCTGTTTGTTCCGGGAATTCTTTAAAACGGCGTGACCGATTTTGATAATATTTTACTACCAAGTAGCTTTCTATATAAGGAGGTTAACTTAGACTATTTTTTCTCTCAGAAAAACCCTATAAAAATTTTCCTGGTCGAACTCACTAAGGCAGTGATCTTCAAATTCAAGGCGAACCAAGTCGCGGGCACCAGCTGGTCGTAAATATACATAATATTTCTTAGTAAAACTTATCTACTAACAAATGTTAAGGGTTACGAATATTTGCAAATTTGTTTTTTTTTTTTATAACTTCACACATCTTACACACGGCCGTCTGATTCCAAACTAGGCAGAGCCTGTGCTATGGTAGCCAGACTGCTGATAAACGTACTTATATATTTCTAAATACATGCATATTATAGATAAATTACACCCAGACACAGAACAAATCATCGTGCTCATCACACAATTATTTGTCCTGGGTGGGAATTGAACCCACGACCTCTGGCTTAGCCGTCAGGGTCCCTTACAACTAGACCAAAAGGCCCGTTTGAACTCATATTTATTTCATAATACTACCTCATTTGAAATCTCTTAGAGGAATGGCACTCTTGAAACATATCACGAGTTTGTTTTAACATTAGTAATGGAGACACCTGCAACTCGAGAGTCCCAAGTGCGTTGCGAGCTTATGAAACCCCCCCTCCCCCTCCCTCCGCAGAATTAAGAATTAAAGGGAAAGAGGTTTTTCGGGTTATCATATTTTATCAATACGCGTCCACGGCTCTCTTCTTCTAGCTTTGGCAGTCTCGGCCCCGTTTCCAAATCCGAGATGGGGTACCCCCTACCGTAGCTTCATCCTTCCTTATCCCAATTTACCTCTTTCCTTTATCCGGCGTGAAAATGATTACATTCCATCGGCCATATTGTTAGAGTTATTTATTAGAATATTGTATTGTTACGTCTACAACACTGTTACTACCTACGTGCAACACTGTTAGACATGGCCTCAATAGCTAGAAATATGTTATAACTATATGTCTCTCCGTCAGAATGTCACCGCCCCCTTTCGTCCCATGGGTGCCGTAAGAGCCGACTAAACAACACTGCAAAGAGAAGGAAACTTGAAACAAACCTTTTTTATTTTACGCGTGGATACCTCTTCGGGCCGTCACCTCACCGGGGTTTGCGGCGGGTTGGTATCGGAATCGAACCGATTAAATCCACACGGTGTGCCACTCTGCTTGAAACACACCTATACCAACTCGTCTGGTCAGCGTGGTATAGTAGGCCAGACCCTCCTTCCTAAGAAAAGGCCTATGTCCAGCAATGGACTATTAAACGATGTTGATGATTACTCTCCTCGTGATATGACTCTTTGCGTTATGTTAATTTGGAAACATTAAACTTCACGTGATTATTATGTGTGGTTTATTACACGTATAATTAAGAAACTCTCTTGACACCTTTGGTGATTAACACAAAATAAACTAGCTATATCGCTCTAGAGAGCATGCTGAATGATTAAATTGGGTTTTTGATAGGGGTATCTTCTTAAAGAAGTAATGGCTTTCTTCCTCTCCCACATAACAATCGAAATATACCTAGCATGAATATTGCTATTAGTTGATTCATCTCTCAGACATCGTGGATGCTCTTCAACCAGTGGCGTATTCACTCTAGGGCCAGTTGGCATAAGGCGAATGCGACAGGCCAGTTAATAATTGTTACCTACCCAATACTATTTAACAGAATTTTAGAGAAATCAAATAGGAATCGAATAAACTTCCCAATTAATATCGCACAGAACTCTTAAACTCATTTTTAGTTCTACTTCTTGCGCCTTGCTGGCTGAATTCTGAGGATCTACCGACATTATGACAATATGATTTAGTTTAAAACTCCCTACAACATCGACTTATAGGAAGTTTCAAGGCACTCATTTCTTTCGTAGTAACTTCTACGTCTTCTTTTAAAAACCGTTTGATTAAAAGCTTGTCCATGTTTTGTCCGGGCGGACTTATTTTAAAATACGCCTCTGTCCACAACGAGCACTTGATAATTTCACCATTTAACTCGATTATTGCCGACGACCGGTAGTAAATTGTACAAAGGAATTTATGCAGCATTATCACAGATATACTGGGCTATTGTTAACTCTGTCGTTGGGAAGTTTTTACTGCTACTCCTGATACGACCGTCTTACCGAAGACCTTATTAAATGCAATTTGGTAAATTCGCTTTGAGCGCTGTAACTACTGCGAAATACAAAGCAGGTACGCTTAATATGCAACCAGTAAACGAATAGAGCGGCAGATATTCTATCCTTGACATACAAGCTTCTAACAAGGTCAATTTTCTGTGGTTTCGTAAAGAGCTCTAGTTCATGTTCATCAGTACAAAGTATTTAGCGTAATTGCTGCATCCGTATTAGATGCGCACTAACAGTACGTCAAATATCATGTGTTGTTTGCAAATATTTTTAATGTGTTTTTTAATCCATACTGTGAGGACTACTGAGTTTGTTTGTTACGCTTTCACGCCTAAACCACTAAACTGATTTAAAAAAAAACTTTTTACCTCCATAACCGACATACACACGGGCGGAGATGCGTGCAAAAGATATCATTTTGTAAGAGCAACCAATGACTCGTGTCTAATGCCAGCAGCCATAGTCACCAATGCTATTAACATTCCCAACATAACAGTTTCCAGAACAGTTGTCCCAGATACCAACTCTATTTCTATATTATAGAAATCCACCACTATCTGAAGTGCTATAGGACACTAGTTCTTGGCAAGAACTACCAGCATCCTGCAACTGAGCAAGAAGCTAAACAGAAACCAGTTAAATCAAAATCTGTAAACAAGCTGCCTTCTATACAATAATTATTGAAGTAAAACTTCTTTACGCACGCTTGACTTGGGGAGTAAGCTGGTGAATGCGTGACGAGAGCGTTACGAAAGGTGTGATCGGGCGAGACGAACGGAAGATGAGAGGGAGATATAATTTAGCGAAGATAGAAAGAGAGAGAGTTACGTTTCGTATATTACTGTAGGGGTCAATAGAGAGAGGTGCAAGCACTCATTTTCGAATTTTTCATAGCCAAGAAGTTTTGGATGGATGATACCATTTATATTAATAGTAAAATTTATATTGTTTCAGGAACACGAAAATGTCACAAAAAGAAACTGAATTGATAAATAAAGCGGTGGAAGTCGGCAATGAAGGGGTAAAATTAAAACGAGAACTAGGTCTATTCTCAGCTATAAACTTGATACTTGGTGTCATGATCGGATCTGGCATTTTCATCTCACCCTCTTCAGCGTTGGCACACTCAGGCTCCGTCGCCTTATGTCTAGTCATATGGATAGTATCTGGAGTAATATCCTTATTAGGTGGGTGTAGGTAAGACCTATTGATTAACTATTTATTATTTGAAATTATTAGAAACTGTCTTAATGTTTCACATATTAAGATTTAAGAAGTCGAGTCAGCGGGAGGGGGAATTTGGGCTCCGGTAACCTCACTCCCTCAGTGACAGGCAACGAAAGAATTGCTTAACACCGGTTTTCTGTGAGGCCGTGGTATCACTCCGGTCGAGCCGGCCCATTCGTGACGAAGCATGGCTCTCCCCTGGGGTACCACCCACCGGTGGGTCGGTTATGTGGAATTAATCTACCTGTGACTGTTGTCAGAATTAAAAAGAGGGTTACCTGTCATTAATGTTTGTAATTAATTTTAATGGTTAGGTATTGTCATAAGATTACTTAATCCTATCAATTTTTCTTTTTAAGGAGCTCTATCGTTTGCTGAATTGGGAACAGTTGTTGGTAAATCTGGTGCAGAATATGCTTACTTTCAAGAATCTTTTAGCAAAACACACAAATTTTGGGGGCCGTTACCTGCTTTCATATGTGCATTCATATATGTATTAATTTTAAGACCAGCCGAAGTGGCTATTATAGTGATGACATTTGCCGAATATTCAATGCAACCTTTTATGGAAAATTTAGATCCAGATTATAGAGATATTGCTATCACATTGGGATCTATATCTGCATTATGTAAGTATTTTTTACTGTTCAATTTCATGGCACCCATAATACCTTTATAATAAATATATTTAGTGTATTAATGTTTCAAAAGTCGTAAAACTGGATTATCTTCGGATCAGATTTACGCTACACAAATGGTAATTATGTTTTTAGAGAATGTACTCATATTATAAACAAGTAAGTAAAATTAATTTCATAAAAAAAACTAATGTTTTTGGCATTGAAAATCAATAGGTAACTATGACGGTATAGAAATCAATGACTCATTTTAAATGGTCAAATTAAATTAACGTTGGAATCCTTGTGTTTACGACAGACAGAAATTTATTTTGTGCAATAGCTAAAAATATTTTTGCACTAAATCTTTTTATTCTTTTTTATCTTTATTGGTACACTCGTCAATTACATACGTATCATCATTTCCAATGGTAGAAATCTTATTAAGATAATGGCCACACTAATCAGTAACGTCAAAAATATTTTAAATAAAACCGGTCGCTGGTCGTATTCGTAAGTTTTAATAAATACTATTTTTATTTTCGTTCGTAGTTTCGTTTATAGACAATTTTGTGGATAAGTTTACAGCAGGATTAGAAGCTAAAATATCAAGTAAGTGATGGCGTTTGCTTTTCATTTAAATAAAGTATTTATTGAAAACCTTGTTATTGTTTTATGACAATGTAAACAATTATTTTTAGAATGCTAACAAATAGTAATACTGAAACTCAAGATGCAGTAAAACGCGAAATAAAAGAAATACAAGGACGTTGTATGCATGCGTGGAATGTTATTGACAATTCGCCTCTGGACGCCCCGAACGTAAGCTTGGACCAAATAAACGAAAAAAGTCTGCGTTACATTGAGGGACTGCGCACAGAGATTCAAAATACAGATACACCTATCCCAGCGGATGCTAACCTCCTCACGAGTCAATTTTTAAAGGAACTACATGACAAGACTGTGCAGGTAGAAGAACTGACGGCATTTACAAGAGGTTCCATTCACGATCTTGATACTGAGATAAACAGGTATTTATTAAAATGTTTTTTTTCTCAAAACAATAACACCTTTATACATCTCACCCACGATAAACTCAAGTACATCATTCTACTGTTTTATTATTTGTCTTTGAGATGACGCAATATCTCATATGTAAAATTTACACTTCACTTAAAATATGCCGGCTCAATGTAATCTTCTTGTAATAGAAATATCAACCCTTATCAACGGACATCAATGGATAGTCCAATATACCAATATGCCTATACAATAATTAGGATACACATAGAAAAGTACAAAAATTAAAATTATATTCAATAAAAGCAATATATTTTAAGTACATTACTTGTCTAAAAATTAAAACAAAAATGTGTCAAAAAATTCAACCACATATTTATTTTTGTTTGTAAACACTTATACATATACACTTACAAAACCTTATTATGGAGGTATTGATATGAATAAATGAATGAATACATGTTGTTTCTTGAGCTTTCATATATTTTTGTATTCGCTTTAATAGTTTCCTGAATGTATTTCAGATTGAAAACTCTTATAAAGATATCACAAGAGGCCAGGTCTCGTCCAAAGACACACAAAAGGGAGGTCAAGCCGCAACACATCCAAAAAGCTAAAGAGAGATTCCTATTGATGAAAGATGAGTTACACGGATTGATACACTCTCTGTTCCCACACGCTGATAATATGATTATTGATTTAATGGGAGTGAGTAAACCTTTAGCTCTTCAGACAAAAATCCAGTATATAATCATCCCTTAACTCAAAATATCATATCAAATAATGGCAATAGATAGATAGTTTATTCAAGATACAATATCGCTCGCCATACTATTCAATGGACCATTACACACGACGAAGATAATATTTATTTCATATTTTCGTATCGTAAGATAGAGATAGTATGACCGTATACCGAACGGATTTTGTACGGCTTTTACCAATAGATAGTGTGACTCCTAAGGCGTGGTGTACAGTTCATTATGATTGACTAATATCTTATAAAATTATTGCCTACTGGGAGCGTACGCCATGTAAACCAGCAGAGATACATTAAAGTAATGTACTAGAGAATTGTATCATAAACTAGCTGTTGCCCGCAAAAACAAAGCAAAAGCCAAGCTGCGTTTCATTTAATTGAACTTTGTAAATTACTTACAGCAATAACCTTTACTAGTCCACTGCTGGAGATAGGCCTCTCCTTAGAAAGGAGGCTTTGGCCACTACACGCTGGCCAGATGGGTTGGTATAGGGTTTGTGTCAAGTTTTCCTTCTCTCTGCAGTGGTGTTGTCCTGCGTAGTTTGCTCCCTTAGTCAACTTTTTACGACACCCACAGGATGAATACCACACCACCACCCCGGTGACACTCTGTATTCTTAATCCGTCACCACACGGACATAGATATTATTAATTTTAAAGCCACAACTATAGTGCAGTTAATTGCTGGATAGGAATCAAACTCACAACCTTCAGCAATAAAGATTGCCAACCCCCACAACTTCTGGTTTAGAAGTCGAATCATAAACCACTATTTTTTTTTATTATGGAAGAGGGGGATACAATCAGATGGGTCACCTGATGGAAAGTGACCACCGCCGCTCATGAACGCCTACAACTCAGGAGTCAAAAGCGTGTTGCCGACCTTTTTACGAATAATTAGTCATACCAATACCAAATATTTATTTTTATTTTCAGAAATTAATGGCAGAACAAATGAATGAAGTTTCCGATGGATATATACCCATCACATCGGAGACTTACCAAATAATAGAACTGCTCAAAGACATGAAGATTGTCACCACCAATCCTTATAATAATATGGAAGTTAAATTGGCATACTGACACATTGCACAATAGCTGCATGCTTTGAAGAAAAATAATTGAAATGGATTTGTGCCATATCGCCATTAAGAACTATGATTTTGAGTCTCAGTGGTTGTAAGATTCCAAAATTATTACATAGACAATATTTACAAAAAAAAACTATCTAAACGGAATGTGCCTGAAAAGTGTGGTCAAATTAAAAATATATTGTGTAGTGCAGAGTAAAAAATGTACATAGTATGAAATAAAAATCCTTCTTTTTTTTCTTGCCTTTCTCAATGCTGCACAGCATAGCACATTGTAAAATAATATATAAGAATATTATTAATATCCAATTATGGTTACAAATAAATAATTCTAAATTATTAAAAATGTATTTCATTTGCAATTCTATCCTCTCAGTTCATGGTAAACAAGATACATGGTATTTGACTCCTACAAGAGTGGTGAGTGGGAGATGAAATACATCATGGTTGCTCAAAGTTCTAGTCAATGTTGACACCTCAATTTATTGAGTTACTTTTTCCATCTCATTTTAATACTAGATCGTCATAATTATGTATGTTTATGAAAATGTATATTCGTGTAGGTATGTGTAATTATGTATGTAAACATTAGTTAATATACGGCAGTTGTAAAAGCGCATCACTCGCTACATATTACTTTATAGTATAGTCCATCTAAAGGCCGCCCAGTGTATCACTGTTCTTTTTTGGATGTATCGTCGCATGTATCCTAATTATGGTGTGCAACAAAGAGTACCTATCTATCTATCTATTATGTATATAAAGAGGATTTAATACCACCGATATTATACTTACCACTTCTTATGATGTAAAATGTTGTAGGTACTTATTTACTAAGAAAGCCTTTTTTGCTGTTCGGAAATCCCTCGTATCCCACAATGGTGGTTATGTTGGACTCAAACCAGCTAAAAAGGGCACGTCCTGTCTTGGGTACTAGTAGCCGGGTGCCAGGTATATACTAGGAATTAAATCCCTGGTATCTACGGCTTGTAAATGACCCTTTCATGTATAGGAAATACGGTGTTCCCATTCAACTCCCTAAAGGGCGCGCGCGCGACAAATGGCCACACCTGCCACCCCCAGGCTTGCGCTTAGGGAAGACTGTGGTCGTTCTGTGATACCTGACCCGTTTCCGATCCTGGCGGACCGAAAGAGCTCTAAACCTCTCTCGGTCCCATTACCAGGACAGCCTAATACTAAATATATTTAAATGCCCAAGCTTAATACGTCAACCCTAAAATATACTGCTGAAAGACCGGACAGTTGGAGTTGGATTTTTATAAATAATAGTTCTAGTAAATTCATTAAATACGAATCTGTGAAGTATCGCAAAACATGATATAAAAAGTTATTTTTATTATTATAAAACCCGTACATCAAAATAACCGCATAAAGCAAAAGGTACGAAATACAAAATAGGTTTTCCTCCCATCACTTTTCCAATTAAATTTATTTTGTTTATTAATTAACTTAAATGAATAAGTTTTTAGACAACAACTTTGAAGATCAAGCTTTAAATAGATAGAGCAGTAGGACCTTCCTAAAATAAATACTGCAAAAAAGATTTTATTAATTATTACTTTGTGGAATATTATTTACTTTTCATGGTTTTGTCCCACTCTTATACCATTCCTGTCTACACCCTTGAGATAAATAGCAAGCTATGGCACTAGATAAACAAATGTGTAACGATTTTAGATACAAATTGATCTAATGTAGTGTCAAAGGATTTTAGCAGGTTATAAATATAACCTTTACTATTGAAGTTTTCAGTAACCTTATAAAACTTAATTTCTCTTTCAGTTATAATGACATACATTAATATAACAAGCGTCAAGTTGTTTGTAAAAGTTCAAAACATATTTGGCGTTTGTAAAGTGTTCGCATGTCTCGTCGTTATTGGGGGAGGCATCTACGAAATTGCTCGAGGTGTGTATGTAATTTTTATAAATCATTTATAATTAGTTAAATAAGGTATTGAAAATGTTTGCCAACTACTAAAAGTTATTACTGAATAGTTAAGAATGAGTGACGTGTGGTGATGGATTAAGAATATAGAGTGTCACCACCCCTATTCATTCCGTGGGTGTCGTAAGAGCCGACTAAGGCAGAAAACTAAGCAGAACAACAGCACTGCGGAGAGAAGGAAAACTTGACACCCGACAACCCGTCTGGCCAGCGTCCTTTCTAAGGAGAGGCCTATGTCCAGCAGTGGACTATTAAAGGCTGTTGATGTGATGTGATGATGATGAAAGAATGAGTGAATGAGTAGAATGTTCGTTCGTTGAATGTAAAGTAACGTATTTTTATTTTTTTATTAACAACACTTACGTTCGTCAATATGAGCTGGAAGAAAACTGTTAAATAATGATATCAATTTCAATTAAATTTTAAAAATATTACAAAGCTTGTATACTTGAAGGTACACACATACATTGACTATATTCAAATAACTCGGGTATATACTTACTTAAAGGAGTATAGTACATACTTATATAAATTGATATTTTTTACTTTAGGTAACACAGGGAACCTGGATAAAGGATTTGAGGGCAGTAACTGGAATCCGGGGAGCATCGCCCTCGCTCTTTACTCGGGACTATGGGCCTATGATGGTTGGAATAGTGTGACAGTCGTCACTGAAGAAATTATTAATCCTGGAACGTAAGCATCTTGCTTAACATATAAGAAAATTAATAGTGTACGCACAATTTTGACGATCTCTTCATACTTTTTTAGCAGTGTTACCATTTTATTAATTATGAATTTTTATGGTAGTACAAATGCGACGTAGGTACTACCTGCATTTTATACGAAAGGTTCTAACTTTTAATGTTACTGCTCTGCGCTAGTGTATTATAGCTTGATGTTATTTTTGGATTTTAAACTATGGTATAGGAGCTAGCAACGTTTTCGAGAAAGAATTTTAGGTCAGCTGATTTTGTGATATGTCGTCCTTCTTGCACTTTCGGTTAGACTCTGGGCTATCTGGCTGGCGGTAGCGGTTGCGTTCATTAGTGCGCATCCTACCTGTCCAGGTAATAATCCTGTATTTTAAAACCATTTTAGAAGGCGTAATTTTTAATTTTTTGTTTTTAAATAAGTCTACCTGACATACTTTTTTTATTGCCAGACATTTTTGACAATGCTAACTATGTGCCATACGCGATTTTATTTTATTTTTTTATAAAAATTTCAAAGTATTTATAATGTCTGTAATTTTAATATTATGTTATTTAAGATAAGAAAACTTAAAATAAATTTGCCAGACATTAATTCGATTGTTAAGTCTTGAATTAAAATTAAAAAGTCATGAAAAGTATTGCAGTATAATGCTAGTAGTCCGAAGCTGATTCTAGGATTATTTTTCATATTTGCCAAATCGATTTTGACGCAGACGTTGTTATACGCTGTTCTGATTCTGATATTTTAATTATACTTCTGGGAAATATGGATCACCTGAAAGCATCTTTGAAAATTTGGATAAATATGGGTGTTGGAAATCATCAGCGTTACATAAACATCAATGAATTACACCGAATTCTTGGTGACTCTTTATGCAAAGCTTTACCATGCTTCCACGCAATAACCGGATGTGATTACACGCCAGCTTTTTTTAGAAAAGGCAAAGCCTTTTAAAATATTAGAAAATTCTAAAGAATACCAGTTAGCTTTTGATAATATTATTACGGATGACGAAGAAATACTTGAAACTACGTTTGTAACCCTGGAGAAATTTATTTGTCAAATGTATGGAGTTTAAAAATTGTTCCAATGTTAATGATGTTCGATTTCATTTATTTTCAAGTACGTTTAAGTCTAAAAAATCAGATGAGAACTTCAACAAAAAATTTCGAAACTTTGACTCATCCAGTTTGCCACCCTGTAAAGCGGAATTGCAACAGCATTTATTGAGGGTTCGTTACGTGACGAAAATTTGGAGAAATGCTCACTCAAAACATATAACATATTTATCTCCAATGACTTTCGGTTGGACCATTAACGGTGACAAATATGATTTTGTCTGGTTTTTGGGAGATCAATTACCATCCTCAGTTGCAGATATTATTGTTCAAAGTAAGTGTGAAATGGAATATTTATCAATAATAACAAATGTTTTATAACGAACTAGAAGAATTACACTGTTTATTTTTTTTCTGTTGCAGATGATAGAGTTTTAGAAGATAACGAAAGTTCCCAAGAAGATGACATGAATGACACTGACAAAGACAGCGACGATGATGATGATGATTATGAAGATGCCTCTTTTTTTTGTAACTTTGGTTGAAATAACTTGAAAAACTTAATATTAATTTATTTATAATTTACATAAAAAAAAGTGTTGTTTATTTAAATAAAAAGTGTTGTTTTTTAAATTTTAATCTATTTTTTTTTTATATTTATTAATAAAAGGACTGTCGCTGAGCGACTACATCGTCCCATATGGACTAATCTAATTTTATATTCCTTTTTATGCTTAAAATTTTTTTTGAAACTTGCTCTGACTAGAATGATGATTATTATTATTCTTATTCTTATTATTTTTTTTTAATTATATGCACAGTGAAAAGTAATTTACTTTCGTAATGGTTCTCTGTATCATTCTCGACTTATTCTGCAACTATCTCTCTCGGACTACTAGCATTATACTGCAATACTTTTCATGACTTTTTAATTTTAATTCAAGACTTAACAATCGAATTAATGTCTGGCAAATTTATTTTAAGATTTTCTTATCTTAAATAACATAACATTAAAATTACAGACATTATAAAATACTTTGAAATTTTTATAAAAAAATAAAATAAAATCGCGTATGGCACATAGTTAGCATTGTCAAAAATGTCTGGCAATAAAAAAAGTATGTCAGGTTAGACTTATTTAAAAACAAAAATTAAAAATTACGCCTTCTAAAATGGTTTTAAAATACAGGATTACTACCTGGACAGGTAGGATGCGCACTAATGAACGCAACCGCTACCGCCAGCCAGATAGCCCAGAGTCTAACCGAAAGTGCAAGAAGGACGACATATCACAAAATCAGCTGACCTAAAATTCTTACTTTCCAAACGTTGCTAGCTCCCGTACCACTAGCTATCTAACTCGACAGGGTTGTTGTAGGTCCTGAGATTACATGTCCAGGCAAACAAATATACACTTCGCGTGTAACTATAGGTATAGGTAATTTTGAAAATGTCTAATTTAAATAGGTGAGAGGATTCGTTCAGCATTCACGCTTTATCTACTCAACCGATCATCATTTTGCAAAAAAAATATACAGGCGAATTGAGAATCTCCTCACTTTTTAAGATGGTTAAAAATTAACGTTAACGCAAGCAAAGCCGTGGGCAAATTTCTTTAAATAATGTATGAATAACCTGTCTATTTCAGCAACGTTCCTCTCAGCATATCAATCGCCGTGCCGCTGATCACAGCGCTGTACGTGTTCATGAATGTGGCCTACATGGCGGTGCTGAACTTCTCGGAAATGACGTCGGTCCCGGCCGTGGCCGTGGCCTTCGGCGCGCGAGTCCTTGGCCCGGCCAGCTTCCTCATACCACTCGGAGTGGCTGTTTCTACATTCGGCTGTGCTATGAGCGTGCAGTTTGGAGTCACGAGGTAATGTTATATACTTTTTTAAAGATGACATTACATGAAAAATTTTTTTTGGTTGATTTGTGAGAAAAAAAATTGTACTCCCTAAAAATATACATGGCAGATATAAATGAAACGAACACTAAGAACACCCAGACTCAGAATTACCGTTTGTGAATCACACAAAGTGTTTTATCATGTGAGGAACGAACCCACAACACTCAGTGCAGTAGGAAGCGGCGAGGTGACCGCTTGAATCACTATGCCATCCATAATTTGCCAACTACAGTTAGGTGCATATCAGAATCATATGGGCTTCTTGCCGTCAACTTGACGCTTTCTGAATTAAAGGTGCGAAGGACTATATAGAAAGGGAAACGCACGCAGGCAAAAGGGGGAAGGAATAGAAGTTAGAAATGTTCCCATTAGTGTAGTCTTAGGATGTGTAAGCAATATCTTGAACACATGAAAGTCGTCTGTAACTGGTACTATAACCCTTCAATCTCGTGCGCGACCGTCCCGCGGGGTGACAGACAGTGGCGGGGGCGAGGTAGCGCATCATTCTAGCACACGGCTACACGCGTTTCCCTTCCCCGCTACACCACCCGCTACCCGCTGACATCTTGAGTACCTCGTCCCCGCCACCGTCTGTCACCTCGCAGGACGATCGCGCACGACGTTGTTGGACTATAACTGTTAGTGAGAAATAAAACGAATGAAAGAATTATTTATCCGTGAAAGCCTTACCAATATACTTTACGGGCCTGTTGGTGTAGTGGTTAGCGGTCCTGACTGCTAAGCCAGAAGCCGTGGTTACCATTTCTACCTCGGACAAATAGTTGTGTGATGATCACGATAGTTTTTTCTATGTCATATAAGTATATTTGTCAGCAGTTTGGTTACCATAGCACAGGCTCTGAGGAATTGTTAAGTATTATGAAGTGTAAGTAATTACAGATTAAACACGTCAAGGTCGCATACCTGTGATTCGAACTAGCAGTTGCAGGAAATTATAATTAATGGAAGTATTATTTACCTGTTAAAGCCTTATCTACCAATATATTTATATTTCAGAGTGTGCTACACGGCCGCACGCGGTGGACATATGTTAGAAGCGCTATCGTACGTTAATATAAAACGAATGACACCTGCCCCTGCTGTTGCATTCCAAGTAAGTTGATAAACTTTATAATAGTACTACCGCCACGTTGCGCCATACTGTGGAACTATATATCTCATTTTGCAGAAACATTTCCAGTCCTAGGATGTTCTACAATTTTCCAGAAGAATGTCGAGTCCGTTGAATTATTACAAGACTATACGGCAAAGTATACGAACTTTCCGTCTGGAATTTCTAAAATAGACCCTATGTATTAGTACCCGCCGCGATCGGGTGTTGTCACATTTAAGAAGGCCAATTCTCTTAATAAAAGTTCCGTCAAAATTCAGTTCCAATCAACTCTCGATCGCAATTATCATAAAAGGGATTTTCCTAGTAAAATAGTAAAGTATTACTAAGACTAGCAGATTAAAGATTCAATTTCGGACAAAATACAATAAAATCACATTACAGTCCGTGTAGTGACGGATTAAGAATACGGAATATCACTACCCCAATTCATCCCGTGGGTGTCGTAAGAGCCGACTAAGGAAAACTTGATACAACCCCTATATCAACCCGTCTGGCGAACGTGGTATCATCAATCATCATCATCATCAACAGCCTTTAATAGTCCACTGCTGGATATAGGCCTCTCCCCAGAAAGGAGGTTTTGGCCTACTATACCACGCTGGCCAGACGGGTTGGTATAGGGGTTTGTTTCAAGTTTTCCTTCTTTTGCAGTGTTGTTGTTCTGCGTAGTTTACTCCCTTAGTCGTCTCTTACGACACCCTTGGGATGAATAGGGGTGGTGACACTCTGTATTCTTAATCCGTCGAACGTGGTATATCAGGCCAAAACCTCCTTTCTAAGGAGAGGGATATGTCCAGCAGTGTACTATTAAATGATGACAGTTGGATGTTTCATACTTTACTACGAAAATACCTTTTATGACTTTATTATTCTTTATGAATGAAAACATTAAAAAATCCTATACGTTCTTTCTAGCTGTATTCTTCATCCCTTATTTCACCATTAGAAATGGTATATTTGATGTAATTATTTTTGTTTTTTTTTTCAGGCGCTGCTAACTACTTTATTTATTATAGTTGGCAACATTAACACGTTAATAGAATTCGCCAGTTGGTTCCTGTGGTTCTTCTACGGATTGGCCATGGTGGCCTTACTAGTTTTAAGAAGGACACAAGCGACGAAACCGAGGCCCTATAAAGTACCGACAGTGGTACCTTGCTTTGTGGTCGTAGTCGCCATATTTCTTACGGTGTTCCCAATAGTGCACAACCCGTCAGTCAAATATTTAATGGCGATTGGTTTCATTATACTCGGTGTAAGCCTGTACACCGTATTTGTATATTATAAGAAAACTCCTTATACTATTTTAAGTAAGTATTCCTTTTGTTTATTTAATTAAATAAATCCATCATTGATATATTTAACACAATGAAATCCATAAACTAGAACTTTTTCTGTCAGATTAATTGACATGTTAAATGATGGTAATTTAATATAATTGGGTGTTTTCTACTTATAATATGTATGTATGTATTTACAACAAAAAAGTATATAAGTATTCTATCAGTCAATCTTGCTTTGATAGTACAAGCTCTGCTTAGATTGAATCAGATGGCGTTGTGTGTCAGATGTCCGAAATATTATTATTAATAGAGGGGAAACAAGACGGGTCACCTGATGGTGACTACCGCCGACCATGGTTACCTACAATTTAAGAGACAGAAGTTCTTTGCCGTACATTGAGTGCAAAAAACTGGTAGGGTGGGATTTTGGTGACCTCACTTAATAGAGAGAACACGGGGTACAGCTGCCTATAAGTAGAAGCGAAACAGGCAACGAGAGAGATGGATGCCCGATATTCCCTCTGTCCTTGTTTAGCTAAGCTGCGATTGGCTACTTATTAACCCCTCATATTCCCCAGCCAACGACAGAGCTCGGCTAGAATGAGATAAAGGGGACTATCTATTATCCATCTCTCTCATTGCCTATATTGCAAGATTTGAGCTCTTGGTTCCTCTAGGTTATATCTACCTTAACACCGTGTATTCTGTGAGGCAATGGAATCACTCCGGTCGAGCCGGTCCCATACTTACCGAAGCATACAAAGTCTAGTATTAGTTGTCTAGATTTAGTTTTCCTACCTTAAATTCTGAGATTGCGAATAATAATATAGTAAAAAAATATTCTTAAAATAATATATCCAGGCTCGTAACCTGAAGTGGATGAGTAGAGATGTAAGGATTTTATAAATCCTGATGCAGTATCTCATACCTCGAGAACCAAGAATCCTACTTTGATTTTTATTTTATACATAACGTAATTAATATTATGTTTGTTTTAATTTTGCAGGAAAACTCACGTTTCTGACTCAAGTCCTGTTCGAAAGCGTACCGCCAACCGATCGTCAAGACTGATTGTTTTATAATTATAAAAATATTTGTAAATATCGTACAATTTTAAAATAATAAAACTTTTACCTTAGATTTATATGGATTTGTGCATTTATTTTTCCCTAGCCATTTTTTGTCATGTGGTAACTCTGATTGTCAATTTCACCGGAGGGATGTAATAGCTTAGAATTATAATTTTTACAAATTTCTGTTTAATTTTTTTACCACGAACTGCCTTATTATTATAACTTATTTAAATTAGTGGAAGATTTTTTAAACCCAACCTCATTTCTTTTACTTTTATAAATAGTGCTATAGATTACTTTCCTTGTTACATACTGAAAAAGGAGTCAATAAAATACGTTTTTTGGGAACCAATGTGACACTAACCATCCAGGCCTACCAAAGTGGTAATTTGGAGAAAAACTAGCTATATATAACTAGCTGTGCCCTGCCACGCTTCGCTGTGATAAATTGAAAATGAGGAACAAAACTGACGCCAATAATAGATAAAAACCATTTTTGAAGCGGTTTGTTTGTATGTATATGTATCGACGAGCTCAATCGGTGCAGAAATAAATAAATATTTGTAATGTAAATATAGTATAATGTAAATTTGAGAGTACAATCTCTACCTTATTATGACTTAGATAGGTATCACCTCTCTTTAATGTGGAGGGACAGTGGGCCTCCCCTTAATAAGTCTCCATCTTAATCGGTTCCGAGCCTTGTGTTTAACTTCGCTTTACGTCTTGCCACACCTATTTCTATTATTTTTACCTTGAACGACTTGCGTTTTCTCTGAGGGTTACACTCCAGAGCCTGCTTCGGGATATAATCGGAGATCTATTCTTAGAATGTGGCAAATCTAGCTCATTCGCCGGTGTTTGACCTGCTAGTCGATCGGGGTTTCGTGACATAATTGTGGGTTGAAGCTGTTCTCGGGCCAGTATGTAGCGAAAATTATGCGAAGACAACGGTTGACGCAGACCTGAGATACCTCAGAAATGATTTTAGTTACTTTATAACACCTAATGTTGTTAGAATGACTGTTGGCGTGAAGATGCGTCGTCACGGCATGCATCGCCACGTTATGTAATAGTATATGGAACAAGTAATATGGTACGGCGTGCTATAATAGTCCAGTCACTTTAGCAATCAACCTTGGAATGAGAGCTAAAAAGTAGAATTTTTGTATTTGAAAGGTAATAATAATTATAATGCCAAGCCAATGCCAGTGCATAATGCCAAATGAAGGTAATTTTGGCGTTGTAATTATTATTGCCTTTCATAAGCTATCCTCTTGTCATCAGTATTTCTACAAAATAATTTTGAAATTTCACATGTGCCAGATGTCCCACGATGGCTCAATTTTAATGGTTAAATTTATTTTTTAATAATGAAGATAAAATTACTAGGTGTTATTTTTATCCATTTCTAACAGCCAACCACTCGTAATGTGGGGTATATGGCTTAGAAACTCTTTGGTAGAATTTACTAAACTATGGTAGAAATTGAATTCATCTCTTTCTACACTGAAAACGACATATCGGCATCGGCGAATTGTTTGCAGTTTGCAGAATTCTATAGAAAAAGCAAAATAAATTGTTTGTCGCTAATAATTTATGTGAAATAGTGAAACAGCATCATGGCTTACCACTATGTGGTTACTGCACAGAAACCAACTGCCGTTACATCATGTATTACAGGTAAAACGTCCATTTTCACTATGTTATTGTCACATTGAGGTTATTGGATAAAATATAGATCTCGCGCTATTTTCAGAGAAATATGGATGTTACTGCTTGTTGATTTTGCAAATACGTTTTTAATGTAACAACATGTCCTCTTTTAACTTACACACAATCAAAATAAAAGTATATAACATCGTAAATACCATTTCAAATATTTTGTCGTATTCTCATTACCATGCTTATTTTTGTGTTGTTTATCAAATGTTGTTATAACATTTAATATGATTTTGTAAATAAAAAATATTATGAAGTTTGAGAAAACACATTTGTATGTGACTCGTTTAGCGTATTCTATACGATTTTATTGACATACAAAAGTCACTGCTAAACAACTCTTGAAAATACGGTAAAACTATAAAAGTTATTCAATTCTATTAGATTCCCCTTTTAAGTTAGTATTAACTATTATTGAGAGAATCTTTTTAAATGCCAATTACTCATTTAAAAGTTTATTCATGACATAATTCTAATTTTTATGTTTTGGTTAATTTAAACAGAGGCAGTGAAAAGAATGAAATGCCTTGCTCTATGGAAGGCATTAATATTTTCATAAAAACACATATATATTACAATTAGTAGTAATAAACTCAAAAAAGATTTACTTTATTATCCATATTGATATTATAAATGTAAAAGTGTGTCTGTCTGTCTGTTACATCTTCACTCTTGAGCCGCTGAACCGATTTTGGTGAAATTCGCTATATAGATACTTTGAGTACCAGGAAAGGACATAGGATACTTTTTATTCAAGAAATCATCCTTTGATTGGGTGAAGAAGGCGGTAGAAGTTTGTATTAGGATCAATAACCGCTGAATTGATTCGTGTGAAATTTGGTATGGGGATATTTTGATGCTTGAGAAAGCACATACATGCAGGTGGAGCCCCCAGGCCAAATCTAGTTTTTTATATTATTGGTTTTCATGTTGCATAATATGATAAAATCTCCTTACCAATCATTTCAGTTTAACAGAAATATATTCAATTATACTGTATTTTAACTTGCTTTAATAATTTAAGAGAAGGAGTAATTGACTTTCAAACAAAATAAATGAAAATAGATAAAAGAATAAAGGCTACCTATAGATATCCACATCATCATCATCTACAATAGTATAATATGCCTTTAATAGTCCACTGTTGGAAATAGGACTCTCCTTAGGAAGGAGGTTTTGGCCCTACCATAACACACTGTACAGAACAACAAAAATAACAACAAAATTTGATAACAATGCATTATTTGAAAATAATTCAAATATTTATTTAGTAATGGGATTCCCAAACTATTTTGGGTAAGAGACCCCTTATCTAAAATGGCTGATATCTCAGGCCCTCATAACTAAATTACTGCACGCTTATGAACTTGTTGATTTTTTTGCTAGGGCCTGCTCTGGCCTGCTTCTGCTAGGGTGACAGATGGCCTCACCTGTCACCCCCAGGCCTGCGCTTATGGAGGAGGGAGATCGTTCTGTGACCTCCGGCGCCTGAGTCGTCTGCGGTATCTGGCCTGTTCTGGCTTCTGGCGAATTGAGAGACTTTAAATCTCTTCCGATCTCGCTCTGCCGTCTCCTTCGCAAGCATAACTTGCTCACAGAAGGAGACGGCGCAGTCTAGCTTCGTACGGTACCAAGCGAGAGCAATCTCAGTCCGATGGCCGCCACGAGGTCACGCCTCTGCTCATCTCACGCCGGGCATTCTGCCAGCGTATGGAGCGCCGTGTCCACGGCCCGGCCATCGCAGTGGTGACCCTCAGGCGTTGGCTCTTTGCGGAGCAGACACAGGTGATCCCCGAAGCGCCCTTTCCCGGTGATCTCCTGCGTCAGCCGGTATGACAGAATCCCGTGATGCCTCTCGAGCCAATCCTCTATAACGGGTCTTACCGCCGCAATAGCGGCGTGCCCGGCGCGTGGAAGTGTAGTGTGTAGTAGTGGTAGCTTCTAGGCGGTGAACGTACAAACCTGTAACTTATTTGGGTTAATGTGAAAGTTTCAATTTCAGAGACAAGTTCATTTCGACTCACGATATCGTTTCCCGAGAAATATTGGGGCGGTCGGTGTAAAGGGCATCGCCCGTACTATCATCTGCATAACAACGGATGCTATCAGTTTCCAACATGTACTTGATATGCAGAAGAAACTGTGTAGGTGATAGTACACAGTCTTGCGACACACCAGCATTTACGGATTGCAAGTCGGAGCATGCACCGTCGACAAAGATCTTTTATTCTTCTGTCCGCAAGGCACCTGGTGACCCAGTTGCACAATTTCTCGGGAAGCCCATAGAAAGGGAGCTTTGAGAGAAGCGCCCTATGCCAGACCCGATCGAAGGTTTTGGAGAAAGATTTATGAAGCATGCACAAACAAACTTAACATTTATACAAGATTTTTACCTGTATTTAGGTATTAAAGTTCTATAAACTTTGCACCACATTCAATAACCATTTTCTATATACGAGTATAGTACCATGAATTACACTTGAACATATCTCACTTACAGTTCAAATCCCGTAAAAATGTATTACAAATATACTTGTTTTGAGTACTATTACATTACATTATTTTTATGTTTTAGGAAACTTCACATCACCAACAGACTTGAACCTTCTGGTCGCGAAGGTGTCTCGTCTAGAAATGTACCTGGTGACACCAGAAGGCTTGCGACCAATGAAAGAAGTGGGGCTTTACGGACGTGTTGCTAAAATGAAGCTGTTCAGGCCTCCAGTGAGTAATTATCAAAAATGGAACGAATTTAATCAACATAAACTTTGAGGAGGAGTTAGTTGTAGAAAGACAAGCTGAGCAATTAATTAAAAAGTACCTTGTGTCCAATCCTCGAGCGTGTGCGCTTATATCGAGCTAGACAAAGAGATTCCCAAAGTGGTTGATATTGGCCCCATTGGAATCGAAATCGGTTTCCCAGGGGTCGATGTTGACCCCTTGACGGGTCGACATAAACGAAAACTGATTTTGGGGAGGTCGACGAGGTCTAAAAATCGACCCAGGTCCGCGTCTAAAAAACACAAGTTCTCATTTGTAAAAGTTGTCTTTAATAATCCATTGCTGGACATAGGCTTTGAAAGGAGGTTTTTCAACTTCTTAAAAGACTGACTAATACTAGACGTATTAGACGTAATTTTGTAAAATTTTGATGAAAAAATGATGTGAAGTTTGTGTGTGACTCACTTAACAGATGGCAAAGTTTTTAAATTTCTTAGTATTTGTATGAATTAGGAAAAACCTAGAGATAGGATTTTTAAAGTAATTTGTCTATGAGTTCATTTTGGAAAAGGGGTCTCTGTACGAAAGTAGTTTAAATCCGTTGGGTATTTAGTGAGTAAAAGACACTATGTGTCCCTTTATGAATGTATGTATATTGCCATGGCAACATTTTATACATACATGCATTTGCAACATTTCATGATTATCACTTGAGAAGTTAAACCGTCACAAACTAACTCACATTCGCATCTCTAATTAGTTACGATTAGGGCTCGTTTCCACTGTGTCGTGGCGATAAATAATCGTCTTATCTCAAGCGAAGCAACTTTATACACATTACTGCTCATCTATACTAATATTATAAAGCTGAAGAGTTTGTTTGTTTGTTTGTTTGTTTGTTTGTTTGTTTGTTTGAACGCGCTAATCTCAGGAACTACTGGTCCGATTTGAAAAATTCTTTCAGTGTTAGATAGTCCATTTATCGAGGAAGGCTATAGGCTATGTATCATCACGCTAAGACCAATAGGAGCGGAGCACTAATGAAGAATGTTTCAAAAACGGAGACAATTTATTACTATTGAGAGACGCAAACGAAGTTGCGCGGGTCAGCTAGTTTTAATATAAGCATGTATTCGACATGGTCCGCATGTCTTAATAACAGCTGTTCTGGATCCCTTCTGTTTTTTTTATTCCCTCCTCCTAAAGTGGCACACCGTTTGGTTTAAGTTGGTTCGATCCCGACAAACCGCCCCACTGCAAACCCCAGTTTCATTTAAACTTCTTTACAAAACAAAAAATCTTTAAATTTTATTTTGAATGTTTCACAATTATTATGTTTCTATTTGCAGTATGAAGACAAGGATTTGGTATTCATTCTGACCGCCCGATATAATGCCATGATATTAGAATGGAGGTCAGGAGCTAATGGCGAACTTGAGGTTGTTACCAGAGCCCATGGAAATGTCTCGGACAAAATTGGAAAGCCTTCAGAGAACGGCATTCTAGCGGTCATTGACCCACAAGCAAGGGTTATTGGTTTAAGGCTATATGATGGTCTGTTTAAAATTATTCCTCTTGATAAAGACTCAACAGAGCTGAAAGCTGCTAGTTTAAGGTTGGTATAATTTCCACATTAGGATCTTACATTTATAATCATAGCAATAAATTCAGTGGTACAGTGCAGTTTGTGTTTCACTTGAAGATCTAGAGGAGTAGTCTTTTACAATATTTAAGAGCCAGTGTGCACAGTTTTTTTTTTCAATGTGATACTGGTTCTGTCACTTACATTACACTTTATTTTTCAACATGGATTGATTAGATGGATCAGTGTACGGTCGGAGTATGACCGCTTAGTCCAACTAAGCGGTCATACTCCCACCGTACACTGACTTATGGGACGTAGTAGAAAATATTTAAAAGTATTATAAACTAAAGTATTCTGTGCACTGCCTTTGGTATGACAGTTTACTAACTTATGCTAAGTTTAAATGTACTACTAATAATTACTATGAGTCACAATTACTCGAAATAAATTTTGTCATTTTTATTATAAATATTATCCTGGTGTTTGTTTTTTTGTTGTGAAGTTTCTGGTTCTGTCTGAGGCTGTGATATCCACTCATCAAAAATCAAAATGTAGTGACTCACCCGTGAGCCAGGCCATTTGTGACGAAATATGCTTCTCCCACAATAGACAACATAATAAAACACTTGACATTGTTGTAGTTCTTGCGTTCACTCTTAAGCATAGGAATATATCTTTGTATTTGATTTCAGATTGGAAGAATTGAATGTATATGATGTAGAATTTTTGCATGGCTGTTCAAACCCTACTATTATTTTAATACATCAAGATCTCAATGGAAGACATATAAAGGTAAACACACAACTTATATTAATACAGTATATGAATATAGTCGGCTCTGGACCTCGTGATTAGTTATGACGGATACGGATAAGTAAAAAGATTTGTATTATAGTCCATCAACGTCGTGCGCGACCGTCCTGCGGGGTGACGGACGGTGGCGGGGACGAGGTACTCAAGATGTCAGCGGGTAGCGAGTGGTGTAGCGGGGAAGGGAAACACTTCTCTTCGTGTGTAGCGGTGTGCTAGAATGACGCGCTACCTCGCCCCCGCCACTGTCTGTCACCCCGCGGGACGGTCGCGCACGAGATTGCCGGGTTATAGTGTCTGTACCGGTTATATCTATTGTTGCGTTCATGGAACAAAGTTTTTTTACCGGAATTTAAATATAATATATCTAAGTTGGTGCATTACTAATCTTATGACATTATAAGATATTATTTATTTCTCTTTATAAGAAGATCAAGACAACCAAAATGATTATTATATTACCTAAATTCTCTGTATTCATAATCGAAAAGGATTTTTAATCATCATAAAAAAAACTAAAAAGATTATAATTAGTGTACATACAATTAATTTTTGTTAACATTATTAATTAAATTTTATTTAGCCTGGTATAGCATAGCAAAAATATATATATATTCTCTATGACTTTTTCTTTTCGTTTCAGACACATGAAATATCTTTAAGAGACAAGGAATTTATGAAGATACCATGGAAACAAGACAATGTTGAAACAGAAGCTTCAATATTAATACCTGTGCCCAGCCCACTTGGTAAGTGAAAACATACAATGTTTTGAAAATGTTTAGTAAATTTAAATTGGGTAATTCTTTTAATCCCACTATGGCCTCAAATGAGTTTTACATGAATTATTTTATTTTGGTTCATTTTTGTTGCCACACGTAATTAAAAGCGTATGCTTTTTATTTTGCTCGATCACAATTTCTTTTATTAATCATCTTTTTGATTTACTAGGTGGAGCTATTGTGATAGGCCAAGAGTCAATAGTGTACCATGATGGTCAAAGTTATGTTGCTGTCGCGCCGCCACAAATTAAGGTAAATAGCTGCTTTTTTAGTTTATATCCTTTAAAAAAATAAAACAACCTGTGTTGATGTAGGAAACCAGATTGATAACAGTACATGAAGAGTTGTTATAATTATAGATTTTTTCTTCACAAATCCCACAAATTACAAACCCTTATTTCAATATTTTTTAGGTATACTTAAGTTATAAGTTTTTTATATTACCAACTAGCTGACCCGGCAAACGTATTGCAAAACAAAAAAAAATTAGGGATGGGTCACCCTTACCATTTAGGGGTATGTAAAATAGATTTTGGCCGATTCTCAGACCTACCCGATGTGCACACAAAATTTCATGAGAATCGGTCAAGCCTTTTCAGAGGAGTACGGGAACGAACATTGTGACATGAGAATTTTATATATAAGTCTAACATATAATATTATTGGCTGGTTTGATTCAGTCTCCAAACATGACATGTGTGATTCCAGTTAACTCCAATAAATTGTTACTGTCGCGTGGATACCCGAGGGCTGCGCTACTTGCTAGGCGATATCGCCGGACGCCTGTTCATGTTGCTGCTGGAGCTTCAGGACAAACCTGACGGCACACAGGCCGTCAAGGACCTCAAAGTCGAACTGTTGGGTGAGGCTCTGGTCATACATGTACATAAATAGTAATTGAGTTAATCATTTCATGGTCAGTAATTGTTGAAGAGTGTCTGTTATCATTATAAAATTTAAAAAAATTGTGTTGTACATTCAACAACTTTTGGACAGACAGATAACAGAAATTATTTTCTAGTTTTAATAATAACTATTGATAAATTTTACGTTGTTCTTCTGTAGAAATATAATTTATCATTGGTAAAAATACTGTTGGCCCTAAAATACTAGCCAATCAAAAGGGAAAACATTGCAAATGCTCAGTTCGTTTTAAGATAGCAATATAAATCTTAAACGATGATTGTGTGCAAACAACGTCCCTTAACCCTTGAGGTACCGGGCGTCTCAAAAGCGCGTTTTCGCTAAGTCCCGCGCTCGTTAACGTAATTGGCGCATCAGCGCGCCGTTGCACTTGAGACCGTATTTCAAGGTTTTGTTAATGTTGTAAGTACAGTCTCGTTATTGTTCTCAAAAGCTAGTGAGATGATCAATAAGACTAAATGAAAACAATAACATTTAAATGTTTATTTAGTTTTTTTACGGCCTTTTGTTTCGAAGTAATGTAAAAAAACGGCTTTGTTGACAATAAATCTGTTTTATGATGACATACATTAGAGTTTTAGTATAGTTTTTATACTTTTTTACGTTGTTATAAATATACTCTTTACTAAACAGAAAAAAAAATGCATGTATACATTATAGGAATTCGCTTTTTTACTTGCAAAAATATAGTAAAAATTCGACTAGAAACAAATTTCGCGCGCGGCGAGAGCTCATTTTCAAAACATTTTTGTGAATGTAATAAATGCATATTTGTATTTTTTTTTATACCATCATATAGACTCAACATTCAAAAATAGTTGATTATGATTTACATATCTGTCAGAGCAATAGATTTTTCATAATACGACTAAACATCACAAACGGTGTATATTTTCATAAAAAGCTTATGGGTTTGGTTTTGATCGAATTTATGTATGATAAACGTTTTACTTTGGTCAACTAATACATTTCTCAATTAGAATAAGAAATTATAAACTTATTGAACTAAAATACATATACACTTATTATACAAAAGCTTATCACAAAACGTTTACGAAGTATTCGTTTTTATACAATGAGACGCGACGCGGCGATGTAGTTCAAGGTCAAATTTCGTGTAAACACACTGTCATAAACAGCGTGTTCTATTTTTGAAAATAATATGTAATTTATAGTGAAATGATCACGTGATATTTGATTGATAGTAAAATGGTTACCTATTGTTTGTTCGAATCGGTGATGGTGCTGTGTGTGATGTTTTTTGGTGTTGTGTGTTTGTTTGACTTTCATAATATTTATTCAGGTGTAGTGTTTTTTATTGTTTTATCAAATGGTAAAATAAGGGAATATTATTTCTACTCTTATTATAAATGCAAAAGTATGTCAGTATGTTCGGTAGGTGGAAAGGGGATAGTTTACGTCTACTAAATTTATTTTTATTAGATAAGGAAGGACATGGGTTTTTAGTATGGAGAAATATTTTACTGTCATGGAAAAATCTAAGTAGCACCCGCACGGCGGTCGACCAAGCGCTGACGCTAAACTAAGTTTTGTGAGAGAAAAAAGTGAATGCATGCAGTGGAAATGGTAAGGAGGTACTAAAACATATGTTGGTACAATAAAAAACCTTATGGTATAAATAAAAAATATATTGAAATATAAAAAAGAATAAAAATATATTAAAATTGTATTAGCTAGAGAAATGATGCAAACAACTTTTATCTCCGTTCTACACGCTCAAACAATCACTCACAAATTTACCAATGTGTGGTATTCTTCCCAACATGCACCTACACACAACGCTACCTTGCACACTTTGCACATCAGTGTGACACAAACGCGTCGATTTTGAGCAGCGCACCGAGCACAACGTAATTGCTTGTGTTTCGCCTTTTGGGTCCGTGAGGCAAGCTCCGTGTGGACAGGGAAGTGTTGTCCTGGTTCAAGACGTTGAAGCAATTGCGGTGTGCTCGGTGCTCTGTGTGGTCCTGAAGATACGCGAGGGTACCGGCTCAAAAGCCCATGGACGACCATTCGCCGAAATTGGCGGTGGGAGTACACGTGGTACATGGGGTTTTTGGTGTACATTATGTAAGTGTTTAGAAGGCTGGTGTTAAACAGCCTTCTAAACACTTTGATATACCATTTCTGGTTTCGTTTTCGTTCGATCAGAAACATTGAAAGTTTCTGATCCTTGAGATCTACACCCCCCATGTACTTGTTGTACTCGGTTACTGCCGCCGGCTTCATGATCGCCTGTCCCGCGCGTCTCCCCGGAACCATCTCGGGTATATGGTATGTAGAGATTACGGTGACCACCTTCACATCCTTCCAAGAAACTAAACTGATGTCACCGGAATGTCTATATACCGTAGTTCCTCGCGGCACATTTGGCATCATATCCTTCACAGCTGGTGGTATGCCATTACGCCGACGGTTCAAAGTCCCCAATACGTCCGTACACCGGGATTTGAGGTACCTAGTCATGAACAATTGGTTTAACCAATTGTCCATGACAAGTACATGACCAACATCTAAATACCCATCGATGAGGTCCAAGACAATCTTAGCTGTGTGGTCTTGAAACCCATGTATGGGATCTGGATATTGGTCTGTACTCTTCCCGGTGTACAGACGGTATTGGAGGAGGTACCCAGTCTCCGCCTCGCAAAGCTCGAAAGATTTGATGCCAAATCTTGCAGCTTTCGACCTAATACACTGCTTCCAGCTTAGACGGCCCTTCCATAACAGTAAGGACTCGTCTAAGCTGAGATGTTGTGCAGGAGTGTATAGGTCTTTGAATTTTTTATTGCAATGTGCCACAACTGGTGCAACTTTTTCAATCTTTCTGAGATGCCCACTGGTCAGCAAACTTTCATTCGAAGTAAAATGCAAAAATTTGCTGATCAGTTGGAACCTGTTCCGCCCCATAATCTCGCGGAACTCTGGCATGCCCATTATCCCCGTCTCCCAGTACTCGCGAATATTGGAGCGGAGGCAGAAAGACATCAATATTAGCACGGCGAAGTATCTATATAGTTCCTCAACCGTGATCTCGGTCCAAGATTCCAAGTACTTTGGAATCTCGGCATCGAGATCAGGGTCGGAAAATTGTGAGATAATTTGCCATGCATATAAATTAGTCTCTCTAACCACCAGCTCCATGAACTCGCTATCCCAGACTTGGTAGAAATATTCCGCGGGATCATGGGACGAAAATGCTGGACCGGGATCGCGTGTATACGTCTCTTTCTGGGGCGTTAAAAGTTGAAAATTCATCCGACCAAGAAAAAGTCGGATTCATGCGTGCCCGCCCTTGCTCCGCCCTTTCATACCTATCAGACCTTTCGCTACTTTCAAACCTTTCACCACTTTCCCTTTCATGACTTCCAGCCCTTCCTCTTGTATTCTCATCACTTTCATGCACCACATCACATTTTCATGAATCACTTCTTCAATCCATCCGCTCACATTCTACTTGCACATTGATCATTCTCTCATTCATACTTACATCGTGGCCATTCTCCACATTTGCATCATTTTTCTGAATCCATCCATCCTCTGGATCCGTCACCACGATGCGGTTTCGCATTTGGCGGGTATATTGACGGAGGCCCATAAAGTTGATGACGTCAAGATCCTCGTCTTCGTCATTGCCATCCTCAAAGTCATCCCCTTCGTCGCTCCCAGAGTCGTAGAGTAGATTAATTATGTTTTCATCTCTGAGCTGTATGGTGCGACGACGTTTTGGGGACCCCTCAAATACGGTACCCGCCGACGACCGCTTGCGATTTGGCGTCTCATCGGTTCTCCAGGGCTAAAAAGAATATTGAAGCAAATTAGGGTACAATAGTTAAACAGAAATATGAAACACACACTTTGGTTTTCATGTGTACTTACACAAATCGTCGCATCTTCTACCCCTGCCGTCCCATCAAGTGATACGGGGTGCGGGAGAAGGCGTCGGCCTGATCCACTCGGTTCTGGTTGGTTGTCAGCCATTTTTCTTGAGATGAAAAAAAAAACAACAAATTAGTTAAATAATGCATTATCTCATCTGGATGCGTTCACTGCTTGACAAAGGACAATGTCCAGCTTCAAAGCATAAACTCAATAAAATTATGAGAAAGCTCTTGGCACGACAAATCTAACGAGCCCTAACACGATACGATAGGATGTGTGACTTAGGAGTTCCGTCCCATCACCTGCTGACTCCATCATCAGACCCTGGATACCATCTAGGGAGACAATCCTTGACATGACGAATCCAACGAGCCCTAACACGATACGATAGGATGTGTGACTTAGGAGTTCCGTCCCATCACCTGCTGACTCCATCATCAGACCCTGGATACCATCTAGGGAGACAATCCTTGACATGACGAATCCAACGAGCCCTAACACGATAAGATAGGATGTGTACCTTAGGAGTTCCGTCCCATCACCTGCTGACTCCATCATCAGACCCTGGATACCATCTAGGGAGACAATCCTTGACATGACGAATCCAACGAGCCCTAACAGGATAAGATAGGATGTGTACCTTAGGAGTTCCGTCCCATCACCTGCTGACTCCATCATCAGACCCTGGATACCATCTAGGGAGACAATCCTTGACATGACGAATCCAACGAGCCCTAACACGATAAGATAGGATGTGTAGTTTAGTATTTGTACGGGTTCTTTGTAATAAACTATTATTAGTATACAACATTCAAATAAATAATGTCAATGTACAATGCGGTATGAAAAAAGTAACCAGTCGAACAAAAAAAGAACATCTTGTGTAATAGTTAGACCAGTGGCTATTTTTGAGTGCACGCACACATATAAGAACGATGCAAATGTGTGCGTGAGATTTTGATACTTTGCACCGTTTTCTAAGAAAATAACGAAAGGTACAGATTTATATAAAAAACTACTGATCAAAATAGCTTCTAGAAGATTTTTACTATAAGATAAGTATTTTCAATCGTATTCCAACAAGAAATATACTCTTTTTATCTTATTGGAAATCCAAACTAACAACAATGATTAGACAAAGGATTTTTTGTTTGTTCGATTTTTATAACTTGAATCATAAAAAATACTTATGTTGTGAGTAATATCAGTCTAAAACAATATGTACTAATAATAAATGAACATTACTTACCGATTATATCAGAAAAAACAACACCAAAACACAAAATCTCACGCGTCTTTTACACACAACTCTCCACGAATTGCCGGCAAATGAAATGTCAAATATCGTCTTTGTTTTCTATTACAAATAGTGAATTGAAAGTGTTAATTGCAAGATTGTTCTTCTATGCATCAGTTAGTCGAGTTGACAAAGTCAAAAAGAAATCGTAATGTCATAAAAACCGATACTATTTGACGCGCGACACTAGGACATGAATTCATGTCGCGGGAATCAACGGTACTTTTTCGTTGGCGTGAATTCATGTCCGCGGGATTCAAGGGGTTAAGTAAAAAGAAGGAGGAATGAGGCTGCGAGTGGTTGTGCGCAGGCGACATCCCGATCCCCGAGTGCATGACGTACCTGGACAACGGCGTGGTGTTCGTGGGCTCGCGCTTCGGCGACTCCGCGCTGGTGCGCCTGTCCAGCGCGCGCGAGGACGCGGGGCAGTACGTGCAGCCCATGGAGAGCTTCACCAGCCTCGCGCCCATCGTCGACATGTGCGTCGTGGACCTGGAGCGCCAGGGGCAGAACCAGCTCATCACCTGCTCGGGTCCGTCGCTCATTTTATTCTATTGGACTGAATCACTCATTTACATAGTATTTAAATCACTTTTTAACTTAACTAAATTAAAATAGTAAAAAAAATGCAGTCTTTAGTAGAATGAGTCTTATATGTGTAACTTTTTCCTAAAAAGAAAAATACATTTTTTTACTACTGGCCACACTGAGTGTTATCAAGGCCAGAGCTGATACTGCAGATCATCAAAATTGAACCGTCTACAGATATCTTGCATAAACTTCGCCAGCAAATTTACATCCTTATATTCTTGTTTGTTGCTTTAGTAGTAAATAAGTAAATATTTTGGTGTTATATACATTTAAAAATGACGAATTTTACAGGTGCATTCAAAATGGGTTCATTAAGGATTATCCGCAACGGTATTGGCATTCAAGAACAGGCCTCTATAGATCTGCCCGGCATCAAAGGCATGTGGGCCTTGACCATGAACACCGCACAGAGCTATCATGATACACTTGTGCTATCATTTGTTGGACAGACCAGGTAATTTCACGTTTAAACTTTTTCTTAATAGAATTAAAATAAATAAAAATATGCTTCTTATGAATATTAATCCAATAGATATTGCACCAATATTTTAATAATTTAACACCATTTATAAATTAATACAGGTTATTCTTGCATAGTTATAACAAGTTTTAAAGCAGTATTTTTCCAGTTTGGTGTCTATCTCGGAATGTTATGTTTAAATTAGATTTATTTATATCCATTATCCATTGCAATATTTCATAAAGTGTAATCAATTGATATATGATGCTAAAAAGAATTTAATTGAAATTTATTTATAATTTTATAATATTGTGCCATTTTTGAGGTTTTGCTTATGAAACTTGATAAAACAAAGTTATATGTCCGTAGGGTATTGACACTAAACGGGGAAGAGGTCGAAGAGACAGACATAAAAGGCTTCGTATCAGATCGTCAGACGTTCTATACGGGGAACGTGTGCCACAATCAACTCGTTCAGGTATCATTTACTATTTCAAATTAATTTCATATTTTTATTTTTTTTCCAAATTATAAGAAGACGGTGCAATATGCAATGACTGCATGGATGGCGTAGTGGTTTCAGCGGTCACTTCGCCGCTTGATACTGCGTTAAGTGTTATGGGTTTGATCCCCACATGGCATAACATTTTGTGTGATTCGCAAATTGTTGTTTTGAGAATGGGTATCGTTTGTGATCATTTCATGTATGTTTGTAAAGTTCAGGATATATTATTAGGAGTTGTCTTTTATTTATAGACAAAATAAGTTGTGTTTTTCCATTTTGCTCTATCATTGATGATGAAATTGATGTGTTATGTGTGTCCGGGGGCAGGTGACGGACGAGGGCATCCGGCTGATCGCGCGCGGCGCGTCGGGCTGGGCGCTGGCGGCGGAGTGGCGCGTGGCGGGCGCGCGCGGCCTGTCCGTGGTGGCGTGCGGCGACTCGCGCGTCGTGGCCGCGGCCGGCCCGCGCGTCTACCTCGTGCACATCCACGACCGCGCGCTCGAGCTCAAAGCGTGAGTACCGCACCTAACACTCTACTTGTTCACGCGTGGCGGGCGCGCGCGGCCTGTCCGTGGTGGCGTGCGGCGACTCGCGCGTCGTGGCCGCGGCCGGCCCGCGCGTCTACCTCGTGCACATCCACGACCGCGCGCTCGAGCTCAAAGCGTGAGTACCGCACCTAACACTCTACTTGTTCACGCGTGGCGGGCGCCGCGCGGCCCTGTCCGTGGTGGCGTGCGGCGCCTCGCGCGTCGTGGCCGCGGCCGGCCCGCGCGTCTTACCTCGTGCACATCCACGACCGCGCGCTCGAGCTCAAAGCGTGAGTACCGCACCTAACACTCTACTTGTTCACGCGTGGCGGGCGCGCGCGGCCTGTCCGTGGTGGCGTGCGGCGACTCGCGCGTCGTGGCCGCGGCCGGCCCGCGCGTCTACCCTCGTGCACATCCACGACCGCGCGCTCGAGCTCAAAGCGTGAGTACCGCACCTAACACTCTACTTGTTCACGCGTGGCGGGCGTGTTACGCCAGCGCGGCCTGTCCGTGGTGGCGTGCGGCGACTCGCGCGTCGTGGCCGCGGCCGAGCCCGCGCGTCTACCTCGTGCACATTCCACGACCGCGCGCTCGAGCTCAAAGCGTGAGTACCGCACCTAACACTCTACTTGTTCACGCGTGGCTGGGCGGCGCGCGGCCTGTCCGTGGTGGCGTGCGGCGACTCGCGGCGTCGTGGCCGCGGCCGGCCCGCGCGTCTACCCTCGTGCACATCCACGACCGCGCGCTCGAGCTCAAAGCGTGAGTACCGCACCTAACACTCTACTTGTTCACGCGTGGCGGGCGCGCGCGGCCTGTCCCGTGGTGGCGTGCGGCGACTCGCGCGTCGTGGCCGCGGCCGGCCCCGCGCGTCTACCTCGTGCACATCCCACGACCGCGCGCTCGAGCTCAAAGCGTGAGTACCGCACCCTAACACTCTACTTGTTTCATGCGTGGCGGGCGCGCGCGGCCTGTCCGTGGTGGCGTGCGGCGACTCGCGCGTCGTGGCCGCGGCCGGCCCGCGCGTCTACCTCGTGCACATCCACGACCGCGCGCTCGAGCTCAAAGCGTTGAGTACCGCACCTAACACTCTACTTGTTCACGCGTGGCGGGCGCGCGCGGCCTGTCCCGTGGTGGCGTGCGGCGACTCGCGCGTCGTGGCCGCGGCCGGCCCGCGCGTCTACCTCGTGCACATCCACGACCGCGCGCTCGAGCTCAAAGCGGTGAGTACCGCACCTAACACTCTACTTGTTCACGCGTGGCGGGCGCGCGCGGCCTGTCCGTTGGTGGCGTGCGGCGACTCGCGCGTCGTGGCCGCGGCCGGCCCGCGCGTCTACCTCGTGCACATCCACGACCGCGCGCTCGAGCTCAAAGCGTGAGTACCGCACCTAACACTCTACTTGTTCACGCGTGGCGGGCGCGCGCGGCCTGTCCGTGGTGGCTTTGCGGCGACTCGCGCGTCGTGGCCGCGGCCCGGCCCGCGCGTCTACCTCGTGCACATCCACGACCGCGCGCTGTCGAGCTCAAAGCGTGAGTACCGCACCTAACACCTCTACTTGTTCACGCGTGGCCGGGCTGCGGCGTGCCTGTCCGTGGTGGGCGTGCGGCGACTCGCGCGTATCGTGCCGCGGCCGGCCCGCGCGTCTACCTCGTGCACATCCACTGACCGCGCGCTCGAGCTCAAAGCGTGAGTACCGCACCTAACACTCTACTTGTTCACGCGTGGCGGGCGCGCGCGGCTACTGTCGTGGTGGCGTGCGGCGACTCGCGCGTCGTCGGCCGCGGCCGGCCCGCGCGTCTACCTCGTGCACATCCACGACCGCGCGCTCGAGCTCAAAGCGTGAGTACCGCACCTAACACTCTACTTGTTTCACGCGTGGCGGGCGGCGCGCGGACCTGTCCGTTGGTGGTTGGCCGTGCGGCGACTCGCGCGTCGTGGCCGCGGCCGGCCCCGCGCGTCTACCTCGTTCACATCCACGACGCGCGCTCGAGCTCAAAGCGTGAGTACCGCACCTAACACTCTACTTGTTCACGCGTGGCGGGCGCGCGCGGCCTGTCCGTGGTGGCGTGCGGCGACTCGCGCGTCGTGGCCGCGGCCGGCCCGCGCGTCTACTCGTGCACATCCACGACCGCGCGCTCGAGCTCAAAGCGTGAGTACCGCACCTAACCACTCTACTTGTTCACGCGTGGCGGGCGCGCGCGGCGTGTCCGGTGGTGGCGTGCGGCGACTCGCGCGTCGTGGCCGCGGCCGGCCCGCGCGTCTACCTCGTGCACATCCACGACCGCGCGCTCGAGCTTCAAAGCGTGAGTACCGCACACCTAACACTCTACTTGTTCACGCGTGGCGGGGCGCGCGCGGCCTGTCCGTGTTTGGCGTGCGGCGACTCGCGCGTCGTGGCCGCGGCCGGCCCGCGCGTCTACCTCGTGCACATCCACGACCGCGCGCTCTCGAGCTCAAAGCGTGAGTACCGCACCTAACACTCTACTTGTTCACGCGTGGCGGGCGCGCGCGGCCTGTCCGTGGTGGCGTGCGGCGACTCGCGCGTCGTGGCCGCGGCCGGCCCGCGCGTCTACCTCGTGCACATCCACGACCGCGCGCTCGAGCTCAAAGCGTGAGTACCGCACCTAACACTCTACTTGTTCACGCGTGGCGGGCGCGCGCGGCCTGTCCGTGGTGGCGTGCGGAATTTTTGTTACTTATTAAAACTGTTAGTATTTTGTTGTGTGGAAAATGGAGAAAAATAAAACAATACATAGTGGACAGTGAGAAAAAATATTAAGAGTCCTGAATTTCAGCAGTCCTCACCCTTTCCAATGACGTATTTATATACGAGTCACATTTTTGTATACAACACTACGCTCTGATAATGATGATTGACACTGCGCCCAACAACTGGAATCCCAAATTAAGCTGACCTTATACTATGGTTACTAGACAACGGATAAACATACTTATATAATTTTGATTTATAGATATATACTTTATTTTAATACATAGAAGCACCCAGACCAGTAATAATTGAATATCTGTAGATAACGCAAATAACTAATTTTTATAAAAATATTTTCTCGTATAACATTCTAGTTCTTTATACCAAATGCTTATAAAGATTAGCGCTCACTTGGAACATTAGTTGAACTAATAATAAACAAAGCGTAATACTTATATGCGCGCTTAATACTTTGGGTAATTTTAAATAGGAAAAAATAACACCTATGGATCATTCGGATTCTTTTGCTATCCGTACCCGAAGTCAATGACGTCACATTTGACAGTCGTCTAGTTCGCTTGGTCGAGTATATATTAATCGTGCATGAGAACTTTTCATACAGCGATACAGGATTAGCGGTTACTCCATAGTTCGGTTTTTCTTCGTTAGATGGCATTTAAGTATATTTTTATTTCATTGTATTAGGAAGTTGCCAATATGACAATAATGGCAAACCTCGTATTGTTTAGAGGTCTATGTCGTAGAAAATTAGTCTTTTAACATTGATATCACGAGATACACGTAAAAAAGTATAGCTTAAATTATATATACTTTTATATCACTTTTGTTATGGTTTTTGATAGAGAAGTTTGCATGGAGGAAGAAGTGGCGTGCCTGGACCTCGGGCCGGGAGAAGAGGACGCGTTGCTCGGTGTCGGACTGTGGACAGATATATCTGTCAAGGTGCTCAAGCTGCCTGACCTCAAACATATGCACACTGAGAAGTTATCTGGTGGTAAATATACAATATTCAATTAAATTTCTATTAAACAACTATTTATTATTCCATTTTTAGAGTGAAATACATACATATACAATGTATAGCTTATGTAAAAAAATTCAATTTCTCAAAGCTGTAATGAATAGTTGTATTTGTTATTAGTAGAGATATAAGGGTAATGTTTCCGGCAGAGATAATCCCGCGCTCGCTGCTGATCTGCGTGCTGGAGGGCGTGTGCTACCTGCTGTGTGCGCTGGGCGACGGCTCCATGTTCTACTTCACCGTGGACCCGGTGTCCGGGGTGCTCACCAACAAGAAGAAGGTCACGCTGGGCACGCAACCCACCGTGCTCAGAAGCTTCAGGTCAGCAATCGTTGCATTGGGACCATTCTAAAGTATTCGTCTAACTAAACACACGTTTAAACACTAACTAGTACATACCTCATCACATCAACGGCCTTTAATAGTCCTCTGCTGGACATATGCCTCTCCTTAGAAAGGAGGTTTTGGTCTACTACTAGTACATACAGTCAACGTAAATAGTATTGATTTCAATATAAATGTGCTATACGCCCAATATAATAATTATATTTAATTAAAAATACTTTTCCTCACAGGTCTCTATCGACAACGAATATATTTGCGTGCTCGGACAGACCCACAGTAATATTCTCCTCAAACCACAAGCTCGTATTCTCCAACGTCAACCTAAAGGAAGTCACACACATGTGCTCACTTAACGCACAGGCATATCCTGACAGGTAAGAGTCGTTAATATAGAAAATATTCAGTTTCATGAATTTACACCTAAGTAATTAAACTAACTAAACTTCAAAATTCAAAATTGTTAGCTCTCAAACTAAGTTTATGATTATATTTATTTATTAGGTTAACTCACAGCACATATATGTAACATTAATGGTAAAATCTAAGTAATAAGGTTCTGATATACATGCCACTTACGAGATAACACAGCATTCACAGTTTAGACAAAATCACATTGATATATATATAAATATAATATATTTATTATTAATTAATATTAAATTAAAGGAATAAACTAATTGAAATTACCCCATAAATTAAAAGAATGAAAAGAAAATTGACAACGTCTTGTTTTTTCCTGTGATTTAACCGAAGCCTTTGAGTGCGTTATGCATGACTTTTAATTTCAAAGATGGCGTGACAATGACATGTGAGGCTGTGATGAGTCTTGTAAAATTTTATTTGCTATCCTTTAATTTTACAACGGCGGACTGTGTGCTGCCAAAATTAACGAAATAAAATAGTTATGCTAAAGTTTCGTTTAAGGATTCCACAAAGCAATATTCTTGGACCAGTGAATTTTTTATTGACTAATTATAAACTAATCTCCACTCATATTGTTATTATTATTAAGCCTTTATTGCCAACATAGTTACATGTATTCGTTATTAAATAGTTAAGTGTTAACATGCAATTAAATATATTAACATTATAATTATACCAATACAATATTATTATTATTATTATGCCGCAGTTATTGGGCGTCGGCGTGTCCTTGTGACACAAAGGCCTCCTCCAGCTCTTTCCATTCTGCACTTGTTTGAGTTATTCTGTACCACAGTGGACCCGCGTTCTATTTTATGTCATCAGACCAACGTTTTCTTTGTCTTCCTCTTTTCCTTTTTGTTTGGAATCTAGGGGTCCATTCTATTACATACACATACATATTATTCCTATTGTCGCTCATCTGCAATCATATACTCAAGGTTAAAAATGCTAATTATTAAATGGTTCAATATAATCTTTGAAAGCTTTAGATAGATTTACAATAGACTGTCTTGGAAATCTGACCACGACATTGACGTGAAGTGATACTCTACAGTTTGGCGTTGGCGACAGATAGCACAGTTACAATAGGCACTATAGACGAAATACAGAAGCTACATATCAGGACAGTGCCACTGGGAGAAACACCACGAAGAATTGCCTACCAAGAAGCCACACAGGTATTCAATTAACCTTCTTTTATTCCCTAATCTGCAACTAAATAATTTCATCTAATTTCTCTCTAGTATAGTACATCTATACAAATAAATAAAATTGGAGTGTCTGTTTGTAATATTAAAATAACCGCTTTTTACTAAATGCATATGTATGTTTACACGGTACATATGCCAAAATAACATTTTTGACAATTTTTGTCTGTCTGTCTGTCTGTTTGTTCCGGGTAATCGCTGGAACGGCTGGACCGATTTCGACGGGACTTTCACTGGCAGATAGCTGATGACATAAGGAGTAACTTAGGCTACTTTTTTTAGACTAGCTTCGCCCCGCGGCGTTGCCCGCGGTTATAACAACAAACGCGATATAATAAACTAGTCCATTATACAATGTGGTACATGGATTAATACATGATATTATGTCCCCCTATTAGTGTGTAAAAACTATACAAAAGAAAACTTATATTTTTCTTCTGAACTGTGTAATGTTTGTGTAGTTTTGTTAGGATAGTTAGATTTACCAGTTAGAGATATGCACGTATGCGTATTAAATAAGTTAATGATCATGCTTAGCGGATCTCGGGCAAGTTGTATTTGAGTTAATCGGCATGAGAACTTTTCATGTCATGATTTAGGATTAGCAGTTATTCCGTAGTTTGATTCGTTTTCGTTAGATGGCACTGAAGTTAATTTTGTTTCACAGTATGGGGAAGTCACCGCAGGTTCCCCGGCTATTAGTACCCGAGACGCCGTGCGGTTTTAGTCGGTTCGAGTCCGACATGGCACCGGTAGGTGGTATTCGAGGGGATTTCCGCACGGAAAAAAAAAATAGGTGTAGTTACTATTAGTGTAGATTGTTGTGGAGCTTTAGTGATTGTTTCTACGGGTAGGGCAACTTAACATGTAATGTTCGATTAAGGCGCAGGTTTTGTTTTGAAAAAAGTAGACGAAACATGTATGCTGAAATTTGGATAATTATGCAGTTCATACTTCGTGATCGTTTTGTTACTTTACGGGTTGTTTTAGGCGTGGTTCGTTTGGCCGCGGGTGGACGGGATGGGTTTCCCCTCCACCCGCATTAGTTTGGCCAGCCGCGAGGGGGCGGCGTCCGCGTGTGCCGGACGTCGCCTAAAGAGAGGATAATTGGAGACGGTGCCCGCACCAGGAGCGGGCCGGCACTGGGAGGGGTCCAGAAGGAGATAGCTACCTGGACCCCTCCTAAACTGGAAGCGCAAAGAGGGCACACCGTGTGGTTTTAGTCGGTTCGAGTCCCACACACCGCCCCGCCGAACGAGAGCCCCGGCGGGGTGACGTTCCGAGGGGATTTTCACACGTAAAAAAAAAAAATGTGCGTCATTTTTTTACATAAGTGTGTATTGAACATGATATCATTTGCCTACTCTTTTCCCAATTTTATTTGGGGTCGGCGCAGTATGTATGATTTTTCCATTCTACTCTGTCATGCGTTATCTCACTGTTTACTCCCTTCCTAGCCATATCCTCCTTAGGTATTGAACATGATAATTATGTTAAAATAAGGTTGTTAAAGAGGTCTTATATGTACACGTATGTCCAAACCAAACCATGCAAGAAGTCGTTAGTTTCATGTATTCTATTCATTGTAATATATAGTTTTCAATAGACAATAGGTTATGCAGTATGCTTTGCAGCAATAGGTTTGTCCATTAATGTAATTTTGTAAGTTGAGGCTGAAAATTTCGGTCGCAATGAAACGATCGACAATACGATATAATAGATAAGTGACTATGCGCAGACGTTCTGCGTGATCACGATGCGCGTGGACAAGTTGGAGTGGAGCATGGGCGGCGGCAGCTCGGCCGTGTCGGTGCGCGCGAGCGCGTCCACCGCGGCCGCGTCCAGCAGCAGCGCCACCAGCGCCGCCGCGCCCGCGCCGCACGCGCCCAAGCACGCGCCCAACGCGCTCGACCTCGAGGTGCACAACCTGCTCATCCTCGACCACCACACCTTCGAAGGTACCGAGCTCACCTCGCTCACCTCGCTCACCTCGCTCCCGCACTACCTCTTCACCGCGAACAGATTCCAAACTATTCGACGTCTCACGTTTCATCCCGTGGGGGAATCGTACCCCCCACTTGGCGATAACCATTTTCACTGTTATACGTACGTGTAAAATTAAAGAGAGACTTCCTCCTCTCACTCGCTCCCATGTGAAACTGATAAAATATACAAAACATAAACCGATCTCATATATCTGTCTCTCGCTCACTCGCCCATTCTTCCCTTATAGTCTTCAACTAGTCTAACATGAAACCCTATTACAGTATTACACGCGCTGCAACTGATGACAAACGAATTCGCGATGTCGCTGGTGTCGTGCAAGCTCGGCGACGACCCCAACTACTACTACGCGGTGGGCACGGCCTTCCTCAACCCCGAGGAGTCAGAACCGAAACAGGTATGTGTATACATAATCTAAGTAAAAAAAAATTTGTTCAACACAATTTTTTTTTGGAGTGAAAAATTCTTTAGCCACATTCCCATCACCGATAACCTCGACATGTTCGTGACGTATTGCGCCAAACTAGCGACGCGTAGTTCCATTGTTTGAGTTTTCACTTCTGTCGGCAGTCCTTATGACTGCGTTTGTTTTCTTTTTTAGTTATATTAAAGTAATGCCAATTCAAAAGACAGGTATGCGATCCAACCTTTTACTAATTATTTGCCAAAACAGAGATTTTTGCTATTGTGTGTGTTAATTTACGGTTTTAAAGTCTACATAAAATACGATTTTTTTTATGAAATAAAATTATTTTGAGTTTGCTTCATCGTCATCAACAGCCTTTCGTAGTCCACTGCTGGCCATAGGCCTCTTCTTAAAAAGGAGGTTATGGCCTACTATACCACGATGGCCAAACGGCTTGCTAGAGGGTTTGTGTCAAAATTTCTGTTGCTGTCCATGAATAGGGATGGTGACAATCCGTATTCTTTACAACTGATAACACTATTAACTTACTAATTATTATTATCAACAGGGCAGGATTCTTTTATTCCATTGGGCAGAAGGCAAGCTGGTGCAAATAGCCGAGAAAGACATTAAAGGTGCCTGCTATCTTTAGTAGAATTCAAGGGAAACTCCTCGCATCAATTTAACAAGTACGGTAAGTACACTTCAAGGTAATTTATATAAAAGTACTAGTAAATATTGGTCAAAACAAAAACCCCTAAAAATCACATACTCAATTATATTTTTTAGCATTTCTTGTTCCAAATTTCGTTTAAACAAAACATTTATGAAAGCCTTTATTTTGGTACCCCACTCGATAGATTTTGAAGATTATACATTTTTGAAACATAATTTGGCGGCAAAAATCTGCTATTTTAAGTTTTATAATTTTACTCACAATTAAGACGAATAAAGCGTCACCTCAACGCCAAAATTCATCTACTAGTTTAGGCTACAGAAAATGCAAAACAAATATACTTACACTCATAAAACACGACTCTCTTGGCATGGTCTGTTAAAAAAAAAAATCGTTGTAATGTTGGAATATTGTTATTATTGATACCAGGTGAGATTATTCGAGTGGACTTCGGAAAAGGAATTACGACTGGAGTGCAGTCACTTCAACAATGTTGTAGCTCTATACCTGAAGGTGAAAGGCGACTTCATCCTAGTCGGTGATCTCATGAGGTCCATGTCACTACTTCAATATAAACAGGTAAACTTCAACTTCACTGGTTTAACGACATATTATTAAAATGTAGTCGCTTTAAAACAAGAAGATTTCTGTTTGAAGTTGGTTAAAAAAGGTGAGAACAATATTAAGCCAATTGACTGGATTGCACGGATGGCCGTAGGGTTAAGCGGTCGCCACGCCGCTTACGCTGAGTGCTGTGGGTTCGACCCCCACATGGGACTACACTTGTTGTTCTGAGTCCCAGACTGTTCTTTGTGTCCGTCGTGTATGTTTGTAAAGTCCCCTGCGACACAGTATATACTTATTCCTGATGCAGGAGTTGTCTTTTTAAAGAAAATAAATTGGAATTTTATCCTTTTTGAGATAATTAGTGATTTCAGTTTGAGCTTGGACAAAATGTCATCAGACATACAAGACTGCATATTATACTCGATACATTTCTGCTAATTTTTTTTTCTTTGTATACAAACATATTAATATTGTATTGCTCTGAAGTTGCGCGGGTCTCTCACGTTGCCGTGGTGGTGGTATGCGTATTCGCCAAATGTATGGTTAAAGATTGATTGTTCGTCCAGATGGAGGGCAGTTTTCGAAGAAATAGCACGCGATACAGTCCCAACTGGATGACAGCTGTCGAAATACTCGACGATGATACTTTTCCTTGGCGCGGAGAACAGTTTCAACTTGTTCGTGTGCCAGAAAGATAGGTGAGCTTTAATTTTATTATTTATGGTATTATCCCGTACTCCCCTATTCATCCCGTGGGTGTTTCGTAAGAGCCGACTAAGGGAGCAAACTTCGCAGGACAAACATCACTGCAAAGAGAAGGGAAAACTTGAAACAAACCATATACTAACCTCTCGTGCCAGCGTGGTATAGTAGGCCAAAACCTCCTTTCTAAGGAGAAGCCTATGTCCAGCAGTGGACTAGTAAAGGCTGTTGATGATGATGATAGATGATTATTGTATGTATTCAGTATTTTTAGCTGTGATATAGGAAAAATCTTTTTGGCTATTGGAAGATCCTCATTAGATCTTTAAAACCTTGAAAAAGTTTTTTAAACGAAAATAATTTTAATTTATACCTGCTTGTTCACATTATGTTGCCAAGCTCGAAAATTAATGTGGGGTAATAAAATAAATTTTTAGAAGTTAAATGTTTAAAAAGTTTAAACATAATAAAACTTTATAATACGGATGGCGTGGATTGCGACATTAGATTTTCGTAGAGATATAACCCAGAGAGAGCAAGACCCTCTATGTTGTAATATAGGCAATGAGAGAGATGGAAAATGGATAGTCCCGTCTATCTCTTGCTAGTCGGGCTCTGTGATTGGCTGGAAAATATGAGGGGTTAATTAAGTAGCCAATCGCAGCTTAGCTAAACAGAGACAGAGGGAAATATTGAGCATCCATCTCTCTCGTTGCCTGTATCGCTTTCACTTACAGGCAGCTGTACACCGTGTTTTCTCTATACTTATAAAAATAAGATTTCTTATCGAAATAAGTTAAACGTAAGTTTAATATAATAATTAAAAGATTATAGACCTTTTTTTATGAGATGCCATCTTTTTACATAATATTCTCAATTACTCCGAAAAGCGAAATATTTCGATTGCGCCTAACAAGTATATATTGTGTGTCAGTGCTGCTACGACCGACGAGGAGCGGCAGCAGATGGGCTACATGGGACTGTTCCACAACGGGGACATGGTCAACGTCATGCGCGCCGGCTCGCTCGTGGGGCAGCACGCCGACACCAACGCGCCCGTCACCAACCCCGTGTTGCTCGCCACCGTCTCTGGCGGCATCTGTACGTACCGCGAGCTCTGCCCGTACACCTACCATACCCACACACGTTAACAACACACCACACGCATCTTCTAAACAAATACGCTGTTCAATGATTCTATTATTTTGTATTAATAAGTATTAATATGTCAATTCCGTGTCCGTCATGTCCGTGTGGTGACGGATTAAGAATACGGAATGTCACCACCCCTATTCATTCCGTGGATGTCGTAAGAGCCGACTAAGGGCGCAAAACAACGCAGGACACCAGCACTGCAAAAAGAAGGAAAACTTGACACAAACCCTATACCAACCCGTCTGGCCAACGTGGTATAGTAGGCCAAAACCTCCTTTCTAAGGACCTCTCTCTCCTCCTACGTCCAGCAGTGGACTATTAAAGGCTGTTGATGTGATTAATATGTCAATTATAAGTTTTACAAATATGTATGTATATAATATGTTTGTTAGCTTTGTGTTTATTTTATAACCCTTTTGTCGATTACTTGTTTTTTTGTCTATTTTTTTTTCTTGTATCATTTTTTCCTCTAAACTACAAATTGTCACAGTAAATGCAAGTGCAATCTTTGAACTGTAAACATAATACGAGTACAAGTTATCTATCATGTGTTACCCTAATTATCGAATGTTTCTTTTTATAAATGTTGTGTTTACCAATTAATGTTGTACACCCATACTCTATAAAACATACATGTATTATTTTTAAGAAAGATGTAACAATTGTAGGCAAACCTATGATTAAATAAATAAATAAATAACCGATCACTTCCACAGGCTTAGTCGTACAACTGGCACAGGAACTGTACGAATTCCTCCACCAGCTAGAAGAGCGTTTGACCCACACGATCAAATCCGTGGGCAAGATTCCTCACTCGTTTTGGCGCTCCTTCAATACGGACATAAAGACTGAACCGGCGGAAGGGTTCATCGATGGTGACCTCATCGAGAGCTTTTTAGACCTCAGCAGAGAAATGCAAAAAGAGACGGTTACGGGCTTACAGGTTTGTACATGTTATTGATATACTAAACAACATAGACTCCTTTAAAACATTGCAATAAACCAAACCCCATAGGAATTGCTAATAGGATTTTATAACTTTTTATTAATGTATGTAAAACTAACTGTTATTAAGAATATAGTAGTTATTATAACAGCGATGTTACACGACGACCGAATGGCGTAGTGGTTTGTGTAACGGACTGCTATTCCAAAGGTAGCGGGTTCGATTCCCGCTCAAGTCAAACATTTGTGTGCATGAGCATTTAATGTTTGATTTGGTCTGGGTGTTTCTATGTATAATAAGTATGTATTTACAAAAAAAGTATATATATCAGTTATATATCATATCAGTTGCCTAGTACCCATATTACAAGCTCTGCTTAGTTTGGGACTAGATGGCGTTGTGTGAATGTGGTAAAAAAAAAAAAATATCACATCTGTATGTTAGGTTATAACTAAATGATTCAGTTTGATTTTTTTAAAACCTAAATCATATTTATTTATTTAAAAAAATTAAATATAATAAATATGATTAAAAAATACTAAAAAAAATAACTATTGTCATGTGACTATAAATACCAACTAGATCCAATACATCATTAAGAAACAGATGTTAGTTGTATCACAGTTTTAATAGCAGTACCGAGTTTTTTACTTTACCTATTTAAAACTTTATTTTACTTTTTAATTTTATAATTTAATATATTCTATTCTTTTTTTTATAATATAATATATTCTACCACATACACACAACGCCATCTAGTCCCAAACTAAGCAGAGCTTGTACTATGGGTACTAGACAACTGATATAAATACATATATACTTTTTTTTTTGTAAATACATACATATTATACATATATTTACCAGTACAGTTTCGACAGTTAGATTATCGTATATGTTTAACTACAAACGAAAATAATAATTGGATAAACTTTATTAAGCTTCAGTTTTTTCACGGATATAATTTTAACTCGAAATAAGTAACATAATAATAATCTGTCCGTGTGTCCAGATCGACGATGGCGGCGGGATGATGCGCGAGGCGACCGTAGACGACATCGTAAAGGTGGTCGAGGACCTCACCAGGATACATTAGCGCGCTGGTCTCGCCTAGTTCTTATTGGATATTTAATAAATACTAAATGTACGTCACTTGTATTTTCTTTTTTTTTTTGACGTGACAACGTCTTATAATTCGATGGAGCCGGCTGCACGCACGAAAAAACATGACTCATGCGGCTTGAGCATGAGGCGTTCCATTTAAGGCTTGAAGTGCAAGCGAGAGCGCGGAACGAGCGACAAAGAGGCACAATCGGCCTCCGCGTTCGGTAGCGTTCGACATCTGTCTCTCTCCTACTTGAGTCAGCGATGCGTCCGCGTGGACAGCTGCTACTCGTATACAATAATACATTTTTAAAAATTCAACCATTCCATCAGTATTTTCTTATGACGTTGTCATGTTCAACTATCGTCAGTAAACCGACTTTACAGACAACCGATTTTTTTCTTTTTTAGGCGTTATTAGGAATAAGTTGGTTGGGTGGCTGTAGCGGATACGCAGCAGTTAGCAATATATAGTTAGTCTTGAATTGAAAACGAAACAGTCCAAAAACACAAGCCAAGTTTTCAACGGGTTCTACCAGGTTGTACGCCAATTCCTTATTTCATCGAAGTTTTTTTCTATGAATTCTGATACTATCTTAGGCTATTATACCTTGTTAGATAGCTGAAAATAGATACATGTTTTGTTATCTGCAGTTTTTTCTTTTTGCTATTATTAACCATTTACTTGGGCCGTCGGGTAAGTTGATTACAATTTTAATTTCCAATGGAAATTATAAAACAATGTATTAACTACACAAAAACAGTAAAATAATGGATTTTATAAAAAAAAAGCAACATTTTAGCAATTTTTATAAAAAATCTTAGATATTATTATATTTATTCTTAGATATTTAGCCTTTGTCACACTAAGGACACTACCCATCTAACGAAAAGAACAACATAACTACATACTGTCTTTTGAGAACTGAAGCATTTCAAGCAAATCAGCAGGTCAGGAATTACTGATGGAAGAGGTGCTGGCGTTAAAAGAAAACACATACTTCTGTTTTAAGATTTAATCACAGAAAAGCATTACAATCACAGTTATTGTCCCATAACTATAATAAGAAGAAGTATTTACAACAAATATATAAAAATAAACCAATTGAAATCACTCACAAAAATATAATATTGCAGGGATGAAGCATTGTGCTTCGGCGATTTGTTTAAATGTAAAATTATTCACTAATTAAGTGCGTTTAAAAGATGTGAAACTCGTAGGACAGCTCATGTTTCGCCAGTGCCTCCGTTCTCGGCCCTGTTAAAAAAAGAACAAAATTTTGTATCATTTATAATTTGTCCACGCCACCCAAGAATAATGTAAAATACTTTTTGATGGCAACACTGCAGTATTATTGACACTATAGTCAATCTAATATAAGAGCTACCGTTTGACAGTTCTGACAGATTGAGTTATAGCGATGGGGTCAAAGTAATCGATTACTACAATATCCGATTCTTAAGAGATTTCGATATAATTTCTTAGTATGTACTAATCGATTACAGTTTTACAGATTTATGTATGTTACTATAAAAGCCCATTTAATGGTATATCATAGGTTGTAATAGTAAATCTAAGTATACACTAGCCTTGGACACGAGCGATTTTTGCCTACAAAGATTTATTTAAAATTACATTAACTCAGTCTGATGTCAGATTAATTTTAAGTATTATTAAACACTAAGACGCCTGGATTAAAAATGAGTCGTTATTAATAATCTCGATTTTTCGTACATTTTAACGATTATTCGTATTCAAGTGAATTTAAAGAGCTGCAACACTACGGTAAAGGACCTAACTACGTGACGTGAAACGTGAGTTTAAAAAAAATATCTATTGTATATTAATTGGTTATATTGCTTAATTTCAAAGATTAAAATTAAAATTTAAAACTGTAACAAATAGTTATTAATATATAATATATATATTAATATAAATAGTTTCATAACTCCATGGTTTTACGGAAAAGGTTATTTCGTTTTGAAAAGTGTGAAACGTCAAACGGAACCTCAGATTAGAAGGACTATAAGCTAATTCAGTACACTCAGTTTGAGTATTTACTGTTTACCCTCATTTCGAAACCCGTTAATTAAAATATTTAAGGTAGGTAGGTAGTGCGAGCGATCTCGCTCACACTACCTACCTACCTTAAATATTTTTATTTTATTTTAAAAACACTTATGTATCCACATAAGTGTTTTTTGAAGAAATCGGGTTCGTAACCTGGATTAACATATGGGATACTCTACGCCATAGTTAAAGTAGCCTATGCTGGCAAGACCTGGTACCGATATAGAGCACTATTTTAATATTTTCTTTACATGAAACTGAAATATAATTAGGTATTTGAAGTGGAGAAAACTGAGCGCTGAAACACAATCTGTCTCCGCCCTGACCAAAAGTAAAAACTAAAAAAAGTAAAACAAACTTATTATCGTTGTAATAGGTTCTACGTCTCTACGATACAAGATATTATTCGATATAAAAAACCATTATTTTATAAGCATGATTATCACTCATGAAACTTTTTATTCCAAGCCTTTTTATTTCTGTAATTATTTAATGTTTTGTTATCTCAACGCGTTGCTATTTATTAATGCTATTTCATACAAACACGGTCGTTTTACTTTAAATAAGTACACTTCCGAATAGTAATAAAGATAAATTATTTGTCACGCTAACGTAAACATGTTACTGTCAGGGTCACTGTACAGACTTTAAAACTAGTATGAACATGCATCGTCCGGATAAATTATTACAACTCTGTAAACTTTAGCTTGCATGATTTTATCTTGCCAATTTAATCGTGGGAGAGCCATGCGTCAGCACAAATAGGCCTAAGTACGCGCTGTGCGCAAGGCTGTTTACTTAGAGAATAGCACTGCAAGGCTTCACAGAAAACCAACGTTAAGCAATTCTTCGTTGATTTTCACCGAGAGGGTGAGGATGCCGGGGACCCAAAACGCCCCAAGTTATAGGGGGAGGGAGGGTACAAAGGGACACGCATATGTAACTCTTGAGGTGCAGGTGTCCACGTGACCTGTCTGCTCGTTTGCCTTCCACAGCATGCCGATAGAAATGGAAACTTGAAATGTAAAAAATTATGATTATAATAGGTTTTTTCTTTTGTTTTTTTTCGGACATTAATATATATCTATGTTGTTCGTATATACACAATATATGTTTATATTATATAGTTATATTATCAATGTGTTTCAACCTAAACTCAACTCTCGTGTAAACGGGGCCAATAAACTTATATACAGAGGTGTCGGTAACGATAACGGTGTCGCGAGTTCAAAGGTTTTTTCCCATCTCAAAAAACACATTCTTTTGTTTGTTGTTCAAAAATACACAACGCGCCTAAAGAAGTTTCATTTAAAAAAAAAAAAAGAGCACTAACAGAAAATCGCAGCTGCAATTAAATGCACTTAACGTCATTTGCAATATTTAGTATGAGCAAGTAATGTAATTTTATGAAAGCTGCCATCTTTTATTTTTACTTTTTAAAAGTTTTTTTTTTACAAAGTAGGCTAAGGTTACGGTGACTTCTATTAGCACAGTTGGCTTAAGCCGCCTAAATTGATGCCATATTAATACTTAGCGTTAAAAAAATTGATTTTAGGCACTATGTAGAATGAGAAATAAAAAGATTGCTCACATATTTCACTTTTCTAGTTCGTAAACGGCACTTTTCGGTACAGGTTGTCTACATTCCCCGCAGGTTCTTTCAAAAGACCTGTTCACATTGGCAACACTGTACTTACGTCTTAAAATAGGTTTTCTAGAACTACGTAAATATATATCTAGATTATTTGCCATAGTTAACAAACTACTTTTATGTACTATTATTTTTATAATAAGAACGATCATAGAGTAAAAAAAAAATACTTCGAAATGACATAGATCTGACTATAGACCAAACCGGGCTACGTTTTTAATAACCTGGCAACCTGTAACATTAATACACATTTATACCCAATAATTATTACGTTTGAATTTGTTCGTGGTCACGGTTTTATTAATACTACTAAGCTACTAACGCATGTTAGATGCCCCCCCCCCCCCCCTTCCCCATTATTGGTACTAAATTTACAGTCAGTAGGTAAAATGTGGGAATTTAAATTCGCCTTTATCTACCCCTTCGGGGATGAAGACATGACTGTATATAAAATATCAATCAAAAATATTCTACGCAATCTAGTTAGTACCTTTAAACGTATAAGATAAACATAAGACTACATACTACTTACAATTATAAAATCGATTGGATATCTTAGATTATATTTAAAAGGGTGATCTTCAAAAAGAGTAAGGGTCAAAGTCCTCTATAGGTAAGAGACTAGTTAACTCTTGCAATGATATACTTACTTCCTGAACTTATCCGCCTTGTTGTGTATGAACCACATAAGCGCAAACAGGCAGCTGGGCGGGCTGTTCAGGGTGTCTTCAGACGACAACATCTTTTCTATTTCAGGGATAGTCTTTTCAACAACTTCGATTATTTCACCGCAAACTCCTCCACCTGAATAGCAAAAAGCATGTATTTATAATAAAACTGCATTTTTTTATTTGTATAAACTAAACTCGGTAGGTATTTGGCACTTTTGTCGACACCCGTCTAGTATATATATTTTTTGTCATGGAAGTGCGGACAGACAGGTCACCTGGTGAAAAGTGACTACCGACGCCCATGAACGTCTGCAACTTCGGAGTCACAAACGCGTTGCCCGCCTTTTAGGAAGGAGTACGCTCTTTTTTTGAAGGTCGCATTGGTGTTTCGTTGAGCGCAGTGGTGCCACTTTGAATACCTACGCGGGTCAGCCTAGACATTCACGCCCAGATGCATGGTGTTTTGAGCGTGGAGGACCAGAGGGGGATTTTCTAACACTATTTAATAAAATTTAACAAAATACATAGTATCTATATAATTAAATATATTACCAAAAGTAGAAAATGTAATTGAATAACCGGTTTCAACAAGTAAAATGATAAAAGCAAATTTCATTGACACGTTTTTATTGTCAGATGAAACTGGAACGCTCTATCACATTGTTATTATGGGTGGAAGGTTGCGGGTACGCTAGTCTAGTATAATTCATTTATTATTATTTCATTGTATTTCATATTTCATTGTATGTGTAATTTAATTGTATACAATCATCGGGGTGACATATTCTTCATAGAAAAAACCTCGTAAATAAAAAAAAAATACAAGTTTTTTCCCGCCTTATTCTGACATATAAGCAACTATTCACAAATTGTAAAAGTAGGCACATATACTTAAAAAGACAAACTGAAAAGTGCCAATACGATAACGCAGGGACATAATAAAACATGCTTCACATATGAGATGTAAAACTACATTTCGTCGTATTAATTTCATGTTTGACTTGCTGCAACAATACACTACACATTCGACTGTAATTGTTTATCTTATTTGTATTTTTATTAATGTTTTTTTAGGTTATCTTTTTACTTTGCTGTTTATATAGTCGGGAATTTTTATTTTTATGTACCTACTTTAATTCATCATCATCATCAACAGCCTTTACTAGTCCACTGATGGACATAGGCCTCTCCTTAGGACGGAGGTTTTGGCCTACTATACCACGCTGGCCAGACGGGTTGGTATAGGGTTTGTGTCAAGTTTTCCTTCTCTCTGCAGTGCTGTTGTCCTGCGTAGTTTGCTCCATTAGTCGCCTCTTACGACACCCACGGGTTGAATAGGGGTGGTGACACTCTTTATTCTTAATCCGTCACCTTAGTATTATTAATTTCTGGTATATTAAGCATTAGATAAAGTTTTGAGCTATACAATATCATAACTATTTACACATGTACACGAATATTCCATTAGCGAACGTGAAACGTTTTTTGTGACCGTGTAGATTAATTGTATCTTAAGAGATAACGACCAAATAGTGTGATTTAACAGGTAAGACTTTTAAGCAACACTATATGAATTTTGAGACACGCAAAAAGTAAAACAATACGAGTATATAGGTAAGTACTTACAGTTTAGTACTAAAATATGCTAACTGTTGCGGTAAACGGCTTTTGTGTTCGATTATTAAAAAGCAAAAGCTTTGCTTTGCTTTTTAATAATATATGACACAGATGTGTTCCATTTTCAAATTTCGAGCATCTCAAAACTTATGTAGTGACCTACGTACAACAGCAAAGGCCCATAGCAAAATGTGAGTTTTTTTTAATTGGCCTCCGTCTTTGGGGATAGAGACAAGTGTAAATATGATACTAATCAAAACAATAATATGGCTCTTAAGTAGTCATAGATATGTTGTCACACTTACTCGTATATTATAACCGCGAACCTTTGTGTGTGTGTTTCTTACTTCTTCACCTTTCAACGGCTAGACCAATGACTTTAAAATTTTGTATGTAGGGCGTTGACACCCAGGAGGTGGATAGGCTACTTTTTATCCCAAAAAAAAATGTAGTATTCCCGTGGGATGAGCAAGGAATTTATATGAATTGATAAAAAGCGGATAAATTCGCGGGGCGCTGCTAATATTCGATATAAATTAATATTAGGTCCTTACATATGAAATTGGCGTTTTGTACGGGTGGAATATAAAATCTTTTTTTTTTATTGTAAAATATATTTAATTAATCAAAGTATGCACCGTTGTTATCTATACACTTTTGCCATGTCATAGGTAGTTCATTGATCCCTTTACTGAAAAAACCATGGGGGCGAGAATCAATAAACTCTTTGAAGGCGGTTTGGACTGCCGCATGTTTGAGTTGAAGTTTGAAAATACAAATGAATGACAGTTTTCAAAACTCAAATGCACCAGCTAAATGAATTTATAAATTTGAATTTGAAACTTAACCAAAGAGGAGATATTTCAGATAAAAGTGGTCAGTACGACAAAACTTTCATAATATGTAAGGACCTAATATTAATTACATCTATACAATATTATACATTTTATTTTATACAAAAAAGAATATTTTTTAATATAAAACTGAGTCTTACCAAATAAAAAAAAATGTAAAATAAAAAAAAAATGTAAAATTTTAGATGTTATGTAAGCAATCTATTTCATCGTTAGTACAACCAAGGTCACGGCTAAATTGATATGTTAGGTATGTATTGTGCTTATTCAGTTAGCAGTGATAAGCACTTGTTAGTTACATGAACAAAATACAATTAATAATAGATAGATGGATAGATAAATACTTTATTTGTACACCAGGGTTTTACAGACATTATAAAGTAATTAACAACAGATGTAATGTACAAAGTGTGGTCTTACGCTTAGTGCTATTTCTTCCAGGCAACCTTTAGATGGATTCATTTTGATAGGTATACAGAATTTAGAGAAATAAATAAGGTCTTAACCTATGAAATATATATCATACATAAATCCTACTTATCTGTATTTATACATAAATACTATACATACATACGTTAATATATACGCTAATGTTCAACTATTAGAGACAGATAATGCTCATATAGCATAGTCTTGAAGGTGATTACGGATTGCGCACGTCTGATAGAAACCGTCAAGGCATTCCATAAACGTACAGCTTCTACGGAAAACGATTTTGTGTAGAAATTGGTAGAATGCCTTGGTATTGCCAATCTCAGGCTTTCAGAGGACCTCGGGCATTTCATATGTGCGTAGCGTTCTTTGAGGTAAACAGGAGTTAATGGATTAAGCAGAATATTATACAGAAGCGTAAGGGTATGAGTATACCGGCGAAGGCGGATTGGAAACAACCAGTGCTTTTGCGGTAGTGGGAAACATGATCATATTTGCGAAGTCTAAATATGAATCGTATGCAAAATTCATGGAGACGCTCAAGTTTATCAAGATGTGCTTCGGTGAGAGCGACATAGCTAACGTCGGCATAGTCAAGAATGAAAGAAGGAGCGTTTGTGCTAGTGCAGTTTTAGTAGCAGTCGGAAGAAAGCTCCCGCTGCAGCGAACACTGCGGCTCACCTTCTGAATCTGAGGTCCCTATGATTAGGTGATGTCGATTATAACTCCCAAGTTTTTGTCTTTGCTGGTGATCTGTATGATGGTATTGTTGAATTGAACCGGAGGCAAATGTGACCAATTAATTTTAGCAGACATTATGGGACTCCCAACGATGCATACCTGTGATTTTGTAGGATAAATTTTGAGTCCATAGTCGTTACTCCAAGCACTTATGTGCTCTAGATCTGAATTAATAATATTAAGCGCAATCGATAACATACTGAAAGGTGCATGGGTGTATATCTGCAAATCATCAGCATACAGGTGGTAGGATGAAGTACATGATTGGAAATAGAATAAATAAAAATTGCGAATAGTGATGGAGGTAGAACGCTACCCTGTGGGACACCGACAGTTGCATTACACAATAAAGAGAGGAAGTCTTCAAGTCGAATGCGATGCTGACGCCCAAACAGGGAATTGTGAAACCAATCAATTGCCCCTGGAGATATGTTAAGAGAGCGAAGAATACCAAGGAGACTATGGAAATTAACTGTATTAAATGCGTTACTGAAGTCGAGTAAGGATAATACCGTTACGTTTCCACTATCCATATTTTCTCTAATATCATCTGTGATGTGGACTAAAGCTGACACTGTACTGTGTCCTGCACGGAAACCAGCCTGAAAGGGATATTGTTGTACCCATTCTCGTAAACCTTTCATAATTACCTTTATTGCCTTTCACTGCATATTATAAAATAAAGTACCTTAGTAAAAACCATAATACTCTCCCAAAAGTTCCTTAAGGAAAAATACAGTTTAGTGATTCACAATGAAGGTATATGTATGTTATTTAATTCAAGTTTTTTTTATAAGTTAGCTGAAATATGATATAGGCTCACAGAGATAAAACAACCGCTTCACTTGAAGTGCTCCGTAAAACCACCGAAAAGAAAATAGAGTTAGATGGAAACAATCTTATAACATTATTTCGCCTAAAAATATGGAAAAAATGAGGCTCTGCTAATCGAAGCCAAGTTGCTAGCTAAAGAAACCACACTGCATTAGTAATTCTAACTGTTAAGTACCTAAAAACTCCCATTTTAACTATTATTTCAAATAACATGTAACATTACGTTCAAAAACCATAATAAAATTAAAACTTTTATTCATATCCAACTACTCCCCACGACACTGATGGCGGTGATACGGTGAATAATAGAATACCACACGCAATTCATGACTTTCTATGGAACTATTCAAGTGAAGAATAATAAGTATCGCTGCGGAGTTTATTTTTAGCATTTGTTGTAGTGTAGCGTGTCAACAACTACGAAACAAATTATATGTTGGAATTGTCCTTGAATCGGCTGGTAACATGCACTTTAAAACAACAAAAAAGTTAATTAATTTACTTTTTGTTTACCTCCACCTCAAAATAAATAACTAAAAAAAATCAAAGAAAGACAATAATGATTTTTGGCCATTTTCCTCAATGATGCAATGATCTTAAGATGATTTCCCTAAATACCTGAGATACCACAATCTTCGCAATTATCTTCCTATCTATACTAAGCTTAAATTCCACAAAATTGACACTTCGTACATCCTAGAGATCAGGGCCCTAAATCTGTTAAAATTGCTATAAATTTGTGTACTAAAAATTATGTATCAATTGACTGTCGATGCACTGTCTTGAAATAGTTTTACATTTTTCGTATTCTCTATGTAAGACCAAGTCTCCTGATGTCACTGAACTGCCACTGATACAAATGTCGTCGATGTCTTTGTAATAGTTTGGTAAAGGTACATTTTAAAGGAAAGAAATGAAATATTTAATTTTCCAGGTATGGCAATATTGTTAATATCACTATCGATAAGCCTATGTTTTATGTCAATGGCATCACAATAGCGTTGTGAATGGAATGACAGTGGCTTGTACGTTAACATAAAATAGCAGAATGGAGGCCCAAATTACCGTTAACATAATGATTTTTAACGTAATCCTGACGGATTTACTACGGATATACTTAATTTGACAATTAAGTATGTACCAAGTAAAAGTACCAAGAGGAAATGCAATATAATAAAGTACACAATATGTAAGGTACAGGACTTAATTAATTAGACATTACAATTCAATTGAAAGTTGGTTATTAAGAAAATATCAACTATCATAATTAGCACTTACAAAAATTTGCGAAATCATGTTTTTGTCAGGACTGATGTGTTCAAACACGCATCGACGAAGGTTTGACTAATATGTATAATTTTAAATTATACCTACCAAATTATAACTAGTCCATAAGCAGTGCTAATTTGAAATTTTAATTTAGTAAGTTTGATTATGTATAGTTTGGTTACGAATAATAAAAATAGTACTAGCTGCGCCCCGCCCCACGCCGCCGCTTATCCCACGAGGACACTAAATTTTTTCGGGGTGCATCCTTTTTTTAAAAGTTGAACCGACTTCAAACACTAACAAAGAGCACTAAAAACCTAACAGCAATCGCGGTTGATTTGCTGTCATTTTTTGAAGAGTTCCGTTGTCTGTCTCCGAATTTTTTTCTTTCAACGCCGTCCAAAAAAAATCGCTCTATTTTATCGAGCGTTTTTTTTTAATAATTAAAGAATACAACAATTTGCAGCTATTATTTCACACTTACCTTGCTCTGTTTTCATATCATCTGTTACTTCACAGTAATAAAGCACTTGGAGAGCCCCCTGTACGCCAACGCCTGACCTGGGGGCGAAATTTTTAACGTGTCACGATAATTTTTAAATTTAACAGCATTTGCTACACACATTACATATGTATCACTTTAGTAATTACGTCTTATATGAACATACTAGCGGACCCGACAGACGTTGTCCTGTCAAATTTGACACTGCGATGGTAGCGCCGTCTGTCTGATCCAATGTAAAACATTCCAAAATCAACAACTACTAATAAATTAAAAATTAATTAAAAAAACATTGTCCAGCGGACAAAATTGTGAATCTAAACCATTCCCAGATCCCCTTGAACACACACAAAAAATTTCATCAAAATCTGTCCAGTCGTTTGAGAGAAGTTCAGTGACATACACACTCACAGAAGAATTATATATATAAAGATTTATACATACATTTTTCACAAAGACTGTTAAAATATTAGGTACTAGCGTTTCCCCGCGGCTTCGCCCGCGTGTACGTCGGTTATCACGGTATAAAGCTGACTATGTCCTTTCCCGAAAATCAAACTATATTCACACCAAATTTCATTTAAATCGGTTTAGGTTCCCTATACAAACTTCCACCCCCCTTTACACCCCCTTCAAGAACGATTTCTGGGATAAAAACTATCCTATGTCCTCTCCTGGGACTTGAACTACCTCTATGAAAAATTTAGTTTAAATTGGTTCAGCGGTCTAAGCGTGAAGAGGTAACAGACAGACAGAAAGAAAGACACACACTTTCGCATTTATATTAGTATGGAAGTATGCATTAAGAAAAAAAAATTGCTATAGCTTACCTATAGGACAAAACTTTCTGTAAATCTTTAGTCTTAATATCATAACCACACTCTTCTAGTACTTCTTCTTTGGCTATTTCTTCCAGCGACATATCCTTGTCCACTATACCAGCGCACATTTCTAACGCAACACCAAGTTTTGGTGCATACTTCTTAGTGTCAACATGGTTCTGTTGACGGTCCACTTTTGAGATACTGTTATAATATATAGCTGTAAAAAAATATAAACAATATAAGTAGTGTCCGTGTAGTGACGGATTAAGAATACGGAATGTCACTACCCCAATTCATCCCGTGGGTGTCGTAAGAACCGACTAAGGGCGCAAAACAACGCAGGACACCAGCACTGCAAAAAGACGGCAAACTTGACACAAACCCAATACCAACCCGCCTGGCCAGCGTGGTATAGTAGGCCAAAACCTTCTTTCTAAGGAGAGGCCTATGTCCAGCAGTGGACTATTAAAGGCTGTTGATGTGATGTGAAGTATAACATGGCTCACACGAAAAAAACAATATTAATAGAATTCTAGTTTTATGGGGTTACAATTAAGTAGAATTCTTAGTAATCTGTACAGCTAGCTAGATCTAATATATAAAATTCTCGTGTCACGGCGTGGTTGAACTCCTCCGAAACGGCTCGACAGGTCTGAGAATCGGCCAACATCTATTTTTCATACCCCTACTTTTTTTTTGACAAATTATTTGTAATCTATACTAATATTATAAAGCTGAAGAGTTTGTTTGTTTGAACGCGCTAATCTCAGAAACTACTGGTCCGATTTGAAAAATTCTTTCAGTGTTAGATAGCCCATTTATCGAGGAAGGCTATAGGCTATATATCATCACGCTAAGACGGAGTAGGAAATACGGAGACGGAATAGGAGCGGAGCACCAATGAAGAATGTTTCAAAAACAGAGAAAATTTATTACTATTGAGAGACGCAGACGAAGTTGCGCGGGTCAGCTAGTAATGTATATGGCAAAACAACGTTTGCCGGGTCAGCTAGTCGTTTATGTTATAAATGGGTTTACATTCATAGCCTATTGGGTGGGGTTCGAACTTGCAAGCTTAGTTGACTACAAGTCTAAAATGGATTACATATCCACAATGGCAGATTGTAATGTTAAAAAATTGCAATATATATTGTTATTTATCAAAACAATGTAATTTTTTCCTTACTGACTGCCTAATTCATCAATGTAGGGCCTAAGCAGTGGGAGCCACAAACTTGAAATTTGAAATAGCTATTGATACTCATAGTGAGTCAACTCAGTTACTTAGAGGAGCGAAGCTGGGGCGCGGTATAAAGGAGAGTGGGGTCCCGGGCTTGGCTTTGCTAACCGGTACCCTTGTTTAGGAGTGTCACACATCAGTTGCATGCGTTTTGTTCAACACAAGATTGCTGACAATAGTTTAATTATTTGATTAACTCAGAGTAGTACTATTATCTCTTTGGTTTACTGATAATATAAGAGAAAGAGCATTCAATACAACACTCAATGAATTTGGTGGTTTAATTAAATAATTACAAAAATATTTATATTACTGTTTTAATCCTATGTTAAATTTTATTTAATTAATTAGATACAATAAATAACTTGAACATATTGATGACATTTAATTTCATTAATATTGTGATTGAAAGCTGCAATCACATGGTTGTAAGAATTCTATATTACCAAAATGCTATCCCAATATTTTCACTAACTGAAATCACGAAACCAAAGAACCGAAATAAAATATTCCCAAATGTATAATTTTAAATATGTTTTATTTAATTTGTTCAACCTTTTATCCAATATTTAAACAGAATAGTTACCTGAGATAATATTTGGTGAAATATTGTTAAATTAAGCAATTACTATGTTTACCTAGCTACCTACCATCGTGATCAGTTTTGTGACAACCCTTGCGCATTTTTAGTCAATACACTCTTGTAGGTATTTAGCGGTCTATTAAACGAGTTGACTCACTATTATTATTTGCTACACATAATATACTAATATTATAAAGAGGTAAAGTTTGTGAGTTTGAATGTTCCGGGTATTCTCAGGAACTACTGGTTCGATTTTAGTATCAATGAAAAATTTTGCAGAATCGGGGAAAATTTATTTATTTTGAGCAGACAAAATTGCATGGGTTAGCTAGTACTGAATAAACAAGGACGTAGTTCCAGTAATATCAGTATTGATGTATAACTTTTGACAAGAGAATAGATTTATTACTTGCAATCAAGACGTCATTCGAATCCTGACCAGTATACTACCAATGTAAACCCACTCCTAACACAAGGAATTTAGCTTAGCTGAAGTGGTTAATAGGAATACTTATAATTACAGTTGCTAGTAAACCTTTTAAAACAAAAAAAAGTTTCATAACAATATAATTTTGACATTCTTAGCACATTTTTTTTTTAAACAGAAAACTGAAATTTTGCGCTGTTCAATACTACCTACAATATAGATCATTGACAAAAGTTGGACCTATTTAAATAAATAAATACACTATAAATTCCACTAATATATTATTGTTAGCATACTATCATATCTATAACAGATATACAGCTTTGCTTAAGTTGTTCACTATCGCTTCATGCCTCAATAAGAGGTCCCTTCTGTTGGGTACAGAACCAGTTGGGAATCCCCATAATGAAGAAGCTGAAGTAAACCCGTTTATTCTTTATAAATATTACCATATACTCATCACAAATTTTTCATTTTGACTGGCCTCTTGGTCTAGTGGTTCGATTCCCACCCAGGACAAATATAGTATGATAAGCACAATCATTCGTGCTGTGTCTGGGCGTAATTTATCTTTAATATGTATGTATTTAGAAATATTTAAGTATATTTATCAGCAGTCTAGTTACTATAGCACAGGCCCTGCCTAGTTTGGGATCAGACAGCCATGTGTGAGATGTCTCAAGGTATTATTACTTTAAATTTTAATTATCTATTTCTATTTAGCTAGTTCTACTGTTTTATCATCATCATCATCAACAGCCTTTAATAGTCCACTGCTGGACATAAGCCTCTCCTTAGAAAGGAGGTTTTGGCCTACTATTTACCGTACTATACTACCGTATTTACGAGCGGGTATATATTACTATTTCATCTATCATTCCAATATACTATCTGAACTGAACTTACCTGGGCGGAACTGTTTGACGAATATCATAACTCTTCTGGTGATATTGAACAGAATAATAGCGACGCTATCGTGCACTTCTAGTAGATCCCAGGACTTCTTCGCGCCGCTTTGCGTGTAAACCATGCGAAATGGTTTCACGTAAGGCGAGTCCGGCAGCGGAGTGAAGTGTACATTAGTTACGTCTTCCATTTTCACTCTATCCTAATTGCAAACCCGAATGAATACTCAATTACAACAGACAAAATACTTAAAATTCGGTACTTGATAATGACTGAATCTGATTCAATCATCAATCATTAGTAACTTACAGCCATGCACAACACGAAAATTCAAAATTGAATGACCAAAAGTGACATTCCAGCCAGACACTCCGACAAAATGATCATTTGACAGTCTTGACAGATAAAGTCCCGCAAGATTATTTTTTTAAAATAAATGACAGACTACTAATTAGAGGTTGAAAACCTTCTTAAATTATTTCTTTTGCACATGTACTTGTATCCTTCCTGTAATTGTTAAGGCCTTAGTTAATAAAAGTTATCTTACTGAAATGCTTGATATTCTTTTCCATAATTAATGATACACATTCAAAAACAATTAGACAATAAACTGTATTTTCTGACATAATTGAAGTTAATACTCTTACGATGTCAGTGGAATTTTACACAACCAGTTCCAGTAAACACCAGCAATATTACGTAACAAACAACCACAACTTAACAGAAGTGATCTCCGATCATTGCAATAAAGTATTTCACGGTAAATACTTTAATACTACTACTAATTTTTCTTGAAATCAATTTGAGCAAAATACAAATTGGTGGATTACAATATCTTCAGCAATCAAATAAGAATCACACAAAATTATCATTCAACTTTGCTTAGGAACTTATAACAAAGCGGTATCTTCTAAGATTAACTTAAGAATATCAAATTGGTATCTTCTAAGATTACCTTGAGTTAGGAATTCTTAGTGCCTATGTTGTGAGTTACACAACACAACACTACAATAAAAAAATGACCGAGACTGTAAAAAAGTCGCAATAATTACTTTTGTATGATGTTGTCGGCGTCTTCTTTTATCAAGTTTAAGGAGCCGCAGCCTAAAAAATCAGATACAAAGACAATCATTTAAAAATAACTTCAATTTTACACCGGTACTGGCATACCAGTAATTGGTAAAAAGGTAAAGGACCAATAATAAAATAGGTATGTGGGAACATATTATCTACCTGTTTGATTATTGGTCTTTTGGATGAAATCGCATAATTTCAGGACTTGTTTACAAATTGAAAACTAGAATCTGCCATTGTCAAATGTCAAGTAATGTCAACGAGAACGTAGATAATTTCTATGATCACTTTAGTTGAATTAATTTTTAATAACTTTAAGACAAGACATCTGTGAAGAAGAAATTGAAAGTTGGTATTTTACCTGAGTGATCTAAATGTACATTGGAACGGCTTCATGTTTGAAATCCTTTTATGACATTATTGACAATGGCCAAGCAAGAAAAAAGCCTAAAATCAGGCTTCGTAATAAAACTTTCCAACGAGACTGCACAAAAACTAGCCGAAGAAGAACAACAGGCTAAAATTCGTCAAGAGGAAGTAACCGGAAATAATTTAGAGACAATAAATTCTGGTAAATTAGACATTAAAGACATAAAAAATGCAACACCAGTTAGCCTTGACAGCAAGAAGGTTATTAGTGAAGAGGTTAGTGAATCCAGTAAACAAAGTACAAAAAGTATAGATCTAGAGTCAAAAAAGGAAGGACATGATGTTAATATTTCGGATGCTGATCCCAATGTGAAAAAAGATGTATCAAATACCTCATCTTGGAGTGATCATGCCCCATATGTTACTTATGAAGGTGAAGAAGCTATTTACACAGATCCTTCAACACATCAGAAATACAAATGGAACAAGGATTCTTCTTCCTGGGATGTCCAAGAAGATGACAGCCGAGTTTATAGCTATGAAGATGATACCCACATATACACAGAATCAGACGGGTCTAAGTTCTTTTGGGATGTAGACAAGAGAGCATGGATACCTAAAGTTGATGATGAATTTTTAGCTTATTATCAGATGTCATACGGTTTTGTTGATAATAAAACGGAGGAAAAACCGAAAGTCGAAGAGAAAAAGAAAGAGCCAAAACCAGCAGAGCCTACTCCTGGTACAATTAAGAGGAAACAAGAGGCACAATGGTTTCAACCAGATGAAGAGACAAATACAAAAGTGTATGTTTCTAATTTACCGCTAGATCTAACAGAGGAAGAGTTTGTCAACTTTATGCAAAAATGTGGTCTTGTGGAGCGAGACCCTAGTACACAGAAAATGAAAGTAAAGCTGTATTTCGACAAAGAACATAACTGTTTTAAAGGAGATGCACTATGTACTTATATAAAAATTGAATCTGTGGACCTGGCACTCAAATTGTTAGACGGTAGTCATCTGAAAGGTAATAAAATTAAAGTGGAGAGAGCCCATTTTCAAATGAAAGGAAATTACAATCCTGCCTTAAAACCTAAAAAGAGAAAAAAGAAAGAATTGGAGAAAATAAAAAAAATGCAACAAAAGTTGTTTGATTGGAGACCAGAAAAGTTAATTGGAGAACGGTCAAAACATGAACGGGTTGTTATAGTTAAGAATTTGTTCCACCCTACAGACTTTGACAAAGAAGTGCAGTTAATTCTGGATTATCAACAAGATTTGAGAGAAGAATGTACAAAGTGTGGGGAAGTGAGGAAAGTTGTTATTTATGACAGGCATCCTGAAGGAGTAGCTCAGATAACTATGAAAGAACCAGAAATGGCTGATGCAGTAATTCAACTTATCAACGGAAGGTGGTTCGGAAAAAGGCAAATCACCGCTGAAATATGGGATGGGAGGACCAAATATAGAATTGCTGAAACAGATTCTGAAATTAGCAAAAGGATAGGTAAATGGGATGAATTTTTAACAGGCAAGGAAGGTGAAGATGGAGTAAAAAAAGAAGAAGTAGAGAAAAAAGAAGAAATAGAGAAAAAAGAAGAAATAGAGAAAAAAGAAGTAGAGAAAAAAGAAGAAGTAGAGAAAAAAGAAGAAGTAGAGAAAAAAGAAGAAATAGAGAAAAAAGAAGAAGTAGAGAAAAAAGGAGAAGATGCAGCAAATAAAGGAGTTTTAGTATCAAACAATGTTGATACTAATATATCAGATAAAATCAATGAAAATAGTGGAAATTTAACTGAACCAGTTACTAATGCTTTAGAAATACCAGAAGAGAAAGTTGAATAATTTTCTGTTACATTTTATAAGAGGTTAGTGTAAGGAAACTGTAGTTTTGTAATAAATGATTAAAATCAATATTTTTATTAATACTTTCCCAGTAACCTATTGTTTAACCCTTCATCTTAAATCCTCTTCTTTCTTGATTAAAGCTCAATGTCAGCATCTATACAAATAAGTAAAATTGGAGTGTCTGTTTGTAATATTAAAATAACCGCTTTTTACTAAATGCAAGTGTATGTTTACACGGTACATATGCCAAAATAAATTTTTTTACAATTTTTGTCTGTCTGTCTTTCTGTTTGTTCGGGTAATCTCTGGAACGTCTGGACCGATTTTGTCGGGACTTTCACTGGCAGATAGCTAATGACATAAGGAGTAACTTAGGCGACTTTTTTTAGACTAGCTTCGCCCCTCGGCGTTGCCCGCGGTTATAACAACAAACGTGGGTAACACCGCGGGTCTCGGCTAGTAATTTATAAACCATCTTAAAGCTGCCAAACTGGGGCTTGCAGGTTTAGTTTCCGCTCAGTGTCATTATTTGTATGTGTGGTTGGTAGGTGTTACTGTGATTGCAATATACCTACAAAGTATGCTGTAGAACTTGTAGCAAAATTCTTCAAATGTGTAATATGTGTTCTAGAAACATTATCATTATACTATGGTAGTTTTATTTTCTGTCACGAAAGTTTAAATTTGAAACTAATCTGGAATAGGTACACTATAATATCTGCACCTATGAAAATCTATATGAATGTAAATAATTATCTTAAATTATAGTGTGATAAGGTCTGTCATCTAAAATTATAAATGATAGGGCTGGCACCAAATAGGTATTATCCCTTATCTATATATATCTAAAAATCTAATTAATTATTTTTTGCTTATTTATATATACGGGCAGTCGGGTCCCAGTCATGGAGTAAGCGACTACCACCACCACCACGACTACGGGGTTTGGCTCCGGTAACGTTACTCACTCGGTGATTAGCAAAGAAACGAATTTGGATTGATTTTAATGACTTGACATTGTAATTTCGTCAATGCATTCATTGACGAAATTACAATCACATGTGAAATCGCTGTGACTAAAACCAATCATTTCATCAGATGAATATGATTTAAAAGTAGCAATAATTTTCATGTCTAAAAGAAAGAGTTGCTTAACAGTTTAAACACCAGCCCTTTGTGAGGCCTTGGTATTACTCCGGTCGCTCATAATATTTTTATTGTACTTAAATTCCTGATTTACAATTTATACTATTCAATAAATGCTTACAACCGTATTCAGGTGACCAGCCTGCTCGCTTTTCCCATCTACCATAAAAAAAAACAAGTGTACAGAGTAGACCCTGCTTTCCAAACTAAGTATAATATAAACATATATTGTGTATATACGTACATATACGTACGTCGGCGCAGTTAATGTGTGAGTAAGTATTTTGCAGTTTAACTTTGTGAAAAGCAATTAAAAATTGTTTATGGTATTAGGCAGTATATCAGGCAGCCCTTGTATTTCGGACAATCTAATTTTATAAAACTAACTTACCATAAACAACAAGCCGTCATGTTGTCTGACACCTGACTTTTTAGTTTCATACACAAATTTATCTAATTCGACGTTTTATAATCAAATAAATTCATGCCAATGTTCGTCAGCTGAGAGGCAGATGTATTAAGTTTGCATCTGTGAGTCGTTCATATTTGAGAATATCGTACGAACGCTGGAATAGGCGTTTGTATCCAGAGTCAAGTGTCACGTCTAATCGGGGCTTCTCTAGCGGCCGACTCCATGTATAATAACAGGATAATATGTTAACATGGCTGTGCAATCGGACTCTGGAGGGAAAGACGACGTGAAAACCCAGTTTGTGACTAGAGAAGGCACTTACCGCTTGATGACTTTGTCGGAGTACTCGAGGCCTAATCGCGTGGGTTACACGAGTGGCTCAGGTTCTTCGCATGTACGAGTGTCGCTGGTCAGCCTACCGCCAGGGCCTGGGGGCGGAGCACCCGGTTCTGACGGTCAAGGTTCCGATGATAGAATATGTTTCAACCATGGAAAAGAACTCTATGTTTACGTGTATAGAGGTGTTAAAAAGGTATGGTTTACTTTGAAATTCACTTTGGTTTGGCTTATTTAATGTATGGATTAATATTCCTCTTAAAATCACTTCTATTTTCCTTCATACTACTTATAAGCATGTACTTTTACTACCTAAAAACCCTACCTAAAAAAATTGACTAAAATTTACTTGATAGATAAACATTAATTTTTATATTGTAGTCTGAACTTTTATGATTCAGTGCAATGCAAGAGCAGCTTCTATCTTCATTATTTTATTTTCACAAATTTAGGTATCTTGTAAAATTTCCTTATTCTAAAATTGTATATCCAGATCCTATGTGTATCCATGTGGCTTTTTGTTTTATTTTTTAATATTGTGATAAAAAGTTTTTGTAATATGTGGGGTGAGCATGATGGACCCCTTGGTCTAGTGGGTAGTGACCCAGACTGCTTAGCCGGAGGTTGTGAGTTTGATTCCCACTTAGGACAAATATTGTGTGATGAACATGATCATTTGTTCTGTGCCTGGGTATAATTAATCCAAAATATTTATGTATTTAGAATTATATAAGTATGTTTATCAAAAGCCCTGGTTATCATATTTCCCGGTTTGCCTAGTGGGGTTTCGGGACGGTCGTGTGTGAGATGTTTTTTTATTAAAAAAAAAATTTATTTTTATATATATATTATTTTTGAAATTTTACATCTCCTCCAAAAAATATAAAAACTTTTAAATTTTTTAAAGTAACAAAAATTCATATTTAATATTACTACCTGAATCTAGTCTTATAGCTTCTGTTTGGTTTAATTAATTTTAATTGGAGACAAGATACATATATCATGGAGGAATTAAGAAAATTAATATCGGAAACGAATTAGATTCTTATTTGACCAAACATATGCCATTTAGTAGTTCAGTTGGATTGAAATTTGAATGGTAGTTGCGGAATAACTGTTTGACTATTTTAAACAGCAATATGTTACTGTCTTCAAAAGATAGATTATATTTAAGCTAAGCACTAACTTTGATTTACTATGCACAAACAAACAAACATTGATAGCAAGTAGTTATAACTGCTGGCTGTAAGGTGCGAGGTTTATCTGACCTTTGGTTGCTTGCGACCGGGGAAAAACCAAAACGCGTGTCCGCCGCCGGTGGCGATCGAATGCTATGTACGGAAATGCTCAGCGGTGGGTTCTTAGTCAAAGTTCCGCGGCAACGGACATTGCGAGTGCGTCATTGAATGATGTGAAATGAGAAAGAAAACTAACACAAAAACGTCTTCAAAGAAGTTTGGATATCATGTCAAATTTTGAGCTCAATAGGCAAAACTTTTTGAGTTTTTAAAGCGTACACAAACCAAGTTAATATTTTATGTAAAAAATGAATTCATATTTAATTCTATTTATTTAATTCTACATTAATTCAACAACTAAGTTACAAATACCATCTTATGTTTTTATGGATATAATTTAAAAATTTAAATTAAGGGGCGGTATATTTATCCCCCTGTCCCAAAATTCCGTTACTTTTTGGGTTTGAATTGTAAACAGTGTTTTTTATTTAAAATGACATAATGCAGGGGGTCTGCCCAAAACTGATTTTCCCTGCTTGTTATTTCAATGAAAGCTATTGTTTTGTTATCCAATTTATCAATTGAGGTCAGGTCTAAAGATTTACCTTCTCAAGATACAAGATCACCAGATTTAAATCTCTGGTTGTAATTATAGTATTTGGTTTGTTTTGATAAAATAACTTTCACTGAAACAAGCCCTTTCATTTGAACTATTGCTAATTAAGTTGATTGTAGGGCAGCTAGGTGTGATTATTAAACTAAAGCTTTACGCTACAGAGTGGCACAGGTTCTTTTTTTTCGTTATTATTATATTATAGAATTGAAATTAAAAATAATTAAAACAATAACAACATGAAATATATAAAAAAAAAATAAATTAATCTATTACCCTAATCAATAAAAAATCTATTATTTATCTATTACAGCAGATACTATTTTATACAGTTGTCATAAAATATTATTTGATTTTTTACCTTGCATGCCAATCTAATTGGATATCTTTGTATATCCAACAGGGCATGCCCCCTTATTCCCAAATTTACTTGGCAGGGCGCGGGATCTCACAAACCCAAAGTGGACAAGAAGATTTTTAAAAAGGGAAACAAATCCCACATGCCAGTTTTTAAAACCCCGGGCACTATGACAGGGGGGCAGTGTGTCGTTAGTTATAGGATTTTCTACTGGCCAAATACAACTCATAGACCCTATTAAGAAGGAATTAAGTAAATTATACAATGAAGAGGTAAGTGATCTCCTGCATATTTCTTATTATAATAATAGAACACTCTAATCTATACTTCTATACTAATATTATAAAGCTGAAGAGTTTGGTTTTTTTTTTGAAAAAGCACTAATCTCAGGAAAATATGGCCCCCATTTTTTAAAAAAAAAATTTTGTTTTAGAAGCCCCTTTATCGAGGAAGGCCCATAGGTATATTTTCATCACGCCCAAGACCAATAGGGGGAGCACCCTTTTAAAAAATGTTTTTAAAAAAGGAGAATATTTATTACATTGGGAAAACCGAAAAACGAAGTTGCGCGGGTCAGCTAGTCTGTAAATAAAAAATCTGGCCACATGTCCCGTATATTGAAACAGTCCTTCAAAAATGTTGAGGAATCGGATCGGAATATAAAAGTTTAAAACAATTTATTTTGTTAGATTTTAGTGTCCACTCTCACTGTTGTACACTTACATAAAAAATCAGAAAAAAATCAAAATGGAACCTGGAAAGGACAAGTATGACATCTGAGTTAGTTCTGTCAGTTTAAGAACAATAGCCGCCTAACCTATAAGAGTGGAGCGTCGTTTATCCGAACGTCGATTAACCGAACGACCGCTTATCCGAATTTCCTTCTACCCGCGCATGCCTACCTCGTCCCGCGCTATAGTGCTTGCGCATTCGTCTCGACTTGTTAGTTGCTTAAACCAAAAACTTAAATTAAAAAACTACCGTACCATACCCTTTGCCACGCACTATATCGTTTTTTTTTCAAAATGTGTCGCATAGGTAAATTTTTTCCAAGTTTTTTTTTAAGTATTGTTTGACTTTGCGACAAAAGTGAATAATTACTCCTTATGTGTATGAGCTCCTAGGAAAACGGGTTGTGAAGCTGTTTGGTTTGGCAATAGGAAAAACCCTCAGTGTTTGAAATTCTAAATATTTTTAGATTTAATACTTTAGGGATGATTGGCGTAAGGCAGGTGGCTGGACACTTCTGCATTTCGTAATGAAATTAAGGAAAGCGTAAAAGGTGATGTCGAGTTATCAAGAAGAATGGAAGTAGAAAATTACATTGCACCGACCCTTCATAAATTTAGGTAGCCTACTACTAGCATAAAAGGGTAGAAAAATGACAATGATAAGGCCTCTATTCGACAATCTAGTCTATTCTTTCAACAATTCTAAAAACTTCCCACAAGGATGTTTATCCTTCGCAAGGTTATGGCTTCGATCTCTTCCCACACACTCTATTTTTATACAGCACTGTGCCCGTGTTTATATCCCCCGGGAAGAGTGGAAAATGAACACGTATTTCATTGTGTTTTATTTTATTAACCGATTTCAAAAAGATGAGTAAGTTCTCAATTCTGTTGTACTTTATATGTTTGTTATTTGGGTTTTTTTATTTGGAAGGGTATACTTCTCTTTTTCCCTAAATAGAAATAAGGATGTTAAATTGAGCAATGAGGAAAAGTATACCTGAACTATATTCCATGTGGTGACGGATTAACAATAGGGAGCGCTACTATTCATTCATCCAGTGGGTGTCTTACGAGCCGACTAAGGGAGCAAACTACCGGGACAAGTGCACACGCAAAGAGAGAGAAAACTTGACACAAACTCTATACCAACCCGTCTGACCAGCGTGGTATAGTAGGCCAAAACCTCCTTTCCAAGGAAAGGCCTATGTCAAGCAGCTTTGTCACTTACCATCAGGTAACCCGTCTGCTCGTTCACCTCCTTTTGCAATAAAAAGTCCTGGTCTTATCTATAAGCTAAAATTATAAAGCTTACCTTAATGCTTACAAATATAAAATCCAGATACAAATAGCTATTTATTGTAAGTACTCGACACTATGATGAACATATTAGCCAAAACATGATATATTATGACATCAGTTACAAATAGGAAACAGTGATAACGCCCTCGATATTAGTAATGGATGTGTGACACTGTCGATTAGGTGGGCGGTGGTGCGGTGGGTTACATTTCATTGTACTCATTGCAAGATAATGATAGTCTTGTGAGCTGAACTCTTGTTGCCCGAATTTTTTACATTTTTAAGATATTATCACCTAACGCCTTTTTGCCTTGAGTAGGAGAGGTTTTGGAAAGCCAAACACTCTTTTACTAGTACGATACTCCATCGTTATTAACCTCCTTGACGGCTAAAGCTAAATTGCACCAGTTAAGTGGAAGTTGACCAACTTATCAGCTGTTGCGATGCTTGTTTAGATTCTACATTACACATCAGATAACGTATTTTTAATCAATATGTTTTCAACATTATTTTTTTTGCCTCCTATTATGATCGACGTGCGACTGAACAATATACTTGATTAGTGGAAACCCCACTTTTTCTTATAATGTCTCATAAAAAGCGGCGAAATTATAGATGTACCTGTAATGATTGTCAACTATACACATTCTTCGTGAATATTTTTGACATCTTAGAATCGGCATGTCTTTGACTGGTTTGTATTTTTATTTCAGAGACTGATCGATAAAACCCGAGTGACCTGCATCAAATGGGTGCCAGGATCGAGCAACCTATTTATTACGGCGCACGCGTCCGGGCAACTCTACGTGTACAACGAAGAATTGACTTGTGGGACCACGGCCCCTCACTACCAACTCTTTAAGCAAGGAGACGGTTATTCAATACATACGTGTCGAACTAAGTCCACCAGGAACCCACTATACAGGTGGATAATAGGAGCCGAAGGCAGCTGCATAAACGAGTTTGCCTTCTCACCGTGCGGAACTAATCTAGCGGTCGTCTCCCAGGATGGCTTCCTAAGAGTATTTCATTACGATACGATGGAACTCATCGGTCGAGCTCGATCGTATTTCGGTGGGTTTCTGTGCGTGTGCTGGTCTCCGGACGGAAAATACGTGGTCGTCGGCGGGGAGGACGATTTAGTGACGGTTTGGTCTTTCAGTGAAAGAAGAGTGGTAGCCAGAGGACAAGGCCACAGGTCGTGGGTGTCCGTCGTCGCCTTCGATCCCTACGTCGTGAGTTTCAGCGAGCCGGAGAGCGAGGAGGGGGTCGAAGACGACAGACGGAAAAGTGAGAGCGTGCAGTGTTATAGGTTAGGCAGCGTATCTCAGGACACACAGTTGTGCCTGTGGGACCTCACCGAGGACGTGCTGAGGCCCCCGGTCCGGGCGAGGGCGTCGGCGCATCTCTCGCCCAACAGTCAGACGTTTTCACCGAACGGGGTGCCCGGGATGAAGGTTCCGGCGAAGGGCGCCAAAACGAACAAAATAGGCCACAAACACGCCGAGCTGAGCGGGAACGCGAACGCGGCCGGCGAACCGTCCGGGGCGAAGCCGGCGAAGACGAAGACGAACAACGCGTCGACGCTGAACATAAGCGTCGGGAAGGCGAAGGAGGAGAGCTCCGGCTCGCTCGGAGTGAACTCGCTGACGCAGCGGCTGGCCGGCTTCTCGTTCGGCGAGCGGCGGTCGGAGCACCGGCGCAACTTCAGCCTCACGTCGCGGCCGGGCGAGCTCAAGGCGGCGGCGGGCGGCGCGGCGCTGCGCGGGCGCTCGGCGGGCGCGGGGCCGGGCGCCGACGCCGCCGACCCGCTGCGGCTCATCGGCACGGCGTCGTGCCCGCGCTTCGACGAGTGCCCGGTGCTGGAGCCGCTCGTGTGCAAGAAGGTGGCGCACGAGCGGCTCACGGCGCTGCACTTCCGCGCCGAGTACTTCGTCACGGCCTGCGCCGACGGCGCCGTCAACACGTGGGCGCGCCCCCCCCGCCCGCCCGACGAGCGCCGCGCCGACTGCCTCGACCTGGTGGACTAGCTTCTTCTTTCCTTTGTCCTTGACGCTCGATCTTCATAGTGAGCCTCGTGCGTACCGATGCTGTCGTTTTCTCGCGTCGGTAGCGAGCGCCGTCGATGGCCGTTATTCGAGTACCGAGCGAACCGAAGCGTTAACTAGTCGTTCGTATAGAATACTCCAGGTTGTATGCGGCCGCACCCTCGTCGGTCGAGTTTACGGTGAGCGTTCGCGTGTCGTTCGTTCCGTGGTAGACGCATCGTCGAACTCGGACCGTGTGAGTATAAATTTAATCTAATTTCGTGACTCGGAGCTCTCCCGTCGGCGCCGACGAGTTTCATATACATTCCTAAAGTATACAGACGGGCCTAACTAAACGTACTCACCTCTATTAACTCGCATGTGTTGTGTTATAAAGTTCAGATTTCAGACCTTACGTCGACTCACTGAAAGCTTGATTTAGAAAAAACTACGATGTGATATATCAGCCGGTTACGATGCTTAAGTTATTTTAATATTATATATAGTCACATGGAATATGTTGCTAAATTGTGATATTCTCTTAAATCAATCGGGCAAACTTTCGTCGGGCGTAGTTTAACAATTGTTAATATGTCTTCATAGTTCTATGAAAATGTTGTAAGAAATGTATATATCACTTTAAATGATCGATTCTAAAGTTAGTGACTGAAGCGGGATAGTTCCAGTTGTGTGTTAAGTTCCACTGAGCATTTTAAGTGTTGTAACGATATACGATGAAAAACAAAAACATTTTTAGATAGCAATAGATAATATGAGATTGGTAACGATGTATAAACAAGTGTATATTGTAATAAAATTAAGGAAAAATATGTTTTTTTCTCGGCTCACTCGTGTAAATATAGTTTGTAAGTTCTTGGCGATATGATCGCTCGATTATCGCAAAACGCACTCGTGCGCTTTCACTCTAAATGCTATTTATTAAGATTTTTTATCGGTTGAAATGTTATTGCAACGATTAAAGCGTCTGTAAGACTTGCAGGGATTAATCGTTTGACTATATATATATATATATTTTAATATTGTGAGACTTATAAGTTGTTAATTATTTAGATATTAGTTGTTAGTGTATAGTTTAGTGAATTTATTTCATCGGTAGATCAATTTTGGTTCTATATTTATAGTTCTAAAGGTGAATTGATAAGCGCGGATTTGGAATATTAGGGTATATTCAAAAAAAATGTTAAAAATATTATATTATACTAAAATCATTATTTCCTAAACGCACTAAGACTGAAAGTTTTTCTTTTATTTTTTAAATAATTCGTGTATAAGTAAATCCTCGGTATTACCTTTCGAAATAAATTTTGATGTATATATTTGTTGCACATTATTAAAAGTATATATTCCATAGAGTTTGTTGTGATTGCCTCCGTCAAATCCGCGCTACAAATAATATTCCTAATTTACGTTAGATATTTTCACAAATGTCCATCGCTATGCAAAACTTAAGCAACATGTTTAAAACGTTGAATAAATGTTATAACAATGCAATAGCGTAGTAAATCTTCAATACTGAAATAATTTTCTTGTATTATCCTAAATTATTTGTTATGATTAACATTTCATAGTCATTATTATTTATGTGTATAGCGTTTAACGTTTTTTGTCATTCTAAATCTATATTACAAACGGATGTAACGTTATTTGTAACACCGTTAAATAGCCGTTACTCCGGAAATCGTTATGTGTGAGTGACACGAATAAATGTTATGTAGCAAATTTAAATGGAAGGTCCCTTTGACTGTATTGTAAAAAGATTGTTTTCTTTTCTGTGGCCTTATAAATGTTACTTATTGTAAATCAATATATGGCTACAAATAAACCTTGCCTATTTTGTTTCTAATGTACAAATAAGCTCCAAATAAAGACAGCAAATCATAAATTATTGAGTATATGGCCGGGGGCCAATCGCGGTCTAATTTGGCCTTTGCACGTCCAATATTGGGCTGATACGTATATTTCGCACCGCGATTTATAATGTGTTGTTCTATTACGTTATAATTAATTTGTCATTGAATTTTTTTACTAGTAACATGTAATAATTGTTTCTTATAAAAAGAAATCTGATATTAATTCAATGAAACCCCTTTTGCTTACCATAAAAACAGACTGAATTGATGGTTTGTATCAATGAATTTGCTGTAGTCAAGTTGTCATAAATGTCATGCCGTCATGACAACTTGACTATAATGAGCATGCCGTCATGACAACTTGACTATAATGAGCATGCCGTCAAAATGAGTTGAAATTAAACGTAAAAAGAAACAAACAAGTCCTTTTTGCTCTTGATATCGCAGTGCGTGAGATGTATTGTTTTTGAGAAACATCTCCATAGCATCCTTAATGTCGGCAATTTTATACTAAGTGTATGTTTCATTAAGCCCTTTGTAAGTTTTAATTTCATACTTAATAATAGGTTGTGCTGATAGATATAATTTAGCCGTTGAACAATCTGTTTAGCGCTGTTTTGATCGTCAGCGATCAGTATAGTCGATGAATTTCTTCCTACGAAGTCAGTTTTGATCGAAACCAGGCACTTTATAATCAATGACAACCAAATTTCCTAAGAAACGTTACTTGATTCTTAATTTAATCTGAAAAAATATTACTGCCTATGATTAGAATAAAGATTTTCGTGAGATTTTCTATTTATTAAAGAAGAACGGCTTTACTCACCGTTTCGTTTCTTCGAACTAGTCGGGTGCGCAACTAGTCGGCATCTCCGAAATAAACACGTGAGTAAACCGTTTATTTTTAATAAACTACCTATGGTACAATTTACTGCTAAGCAAAATAAAGTATCTATGATTGCATTTAATTGTGTGATATTTGGTTTTAAAATGGTGGTTAATTCCTATAAGTTTAGTTCAGTTAGGGAACGTGTTCATACTACGTGACCTATTCAGAGAGAAAGGGGTCTTCCCAATACTACGCTTCGTCACAGGTGAGGGTTTAGGTTTTTTTGCTAAGTGTGTGTGAGCCTATTTTTTTAACTGTTTGTAAAAGAATATTTAAAGCCATAAATTACTACGTGAAAACCGGAGGGGAGAGGGGGGTTTTGGCATATTCTTTAGGTGAACACCGAAGGGTGGGGGTAAAAATATGAGTCACGTAGTATGGGTACGTTCTCTTACAAGTATTTAGAGGAGATCATGTACAAATAACGATAATCGTTCATAAAATAAAATTACTCGCTTGCAGTTAAAACAGCGCTTGATTAATGCAATTTTTTTTATTTGGAGTCTGCAATGCAGCAAATGCAATGCAAATTGGGGGTTTCTACATTAGACGAGTATGCCTGCCTTAACTTACGACGCGCCTCGAGTTAGACCAATTTTTAACCGTCAAGTGTCTCGAGGTTTCTACTTTTCGACACGAGTGATATATGTCACAGCACAGATTTCTCCTTTGTATTGTGTTGTGGTGAAAGTTTTGTGTGCTCTATGAGCGAGTACGAGACTAATATTAATTAGACTGGATTTGTAATTGTTTTGTTTTAAATTAAGAATAGTCTATGGATCGGATCCATTACTTTTAAGTATAACAAAAAAGTTTTTATATCTTTGATATGTGGAAACTTTTTATACCATCTGAGTAACTCTGGAACATATCTTTTTTATGATAAGTTATACGATACTAAAATAACTTTTGAAAAATGCATCTTAAAATTAGTTTTGACCATTTAGAATAAACATTTGCGTATTCTATAATAATTATATTTTCACACTTCTCATACACGGCGGTCTGATCCCAAACTAGGCAGAGCCTGTACTATGGTAACCAGACAGCTGATAAACATACTTATATATTTCTAAATACATACATATTATAGATAAAGTACACCCATACAGGGAACAAATGACCGTGCTCATCACACAATAATTTGTCCTGGGTGGGAATCGAAGCCTCTAGCGTAGCAGTCAGGGTCACTAACCACTAGACCATCAAGCCCAGGTCCGGATTTATTTCGGGGCCCTTTGCACCGTACTCAGGCGCTTCACTTTAATAACAGCAGATCACTTTTTCAAGTGTCAGGACATTTATCGAATTACGAGTAGTAGTAACTCTTGCAAGTCTAATTAGTATCAGCCTCGTACAAAATTGTCCATGTCACCGATATATTTAATTATATAATGTTTTCTACTTATTAATTTATTGGAGTTCTTTGTTCATTTATAGTGAGACACGAATAAAAAGCCTATCAAGTTAATATTTAAATAGAGGAATTTCTTTATAACATAGTTGTTTTATTCATGATCCTATTAAATATATTGATTTTAGTGTCGCTGTTGCGCGATGTGGGTGCTGTTTAATAAATCATACGTTTATCATAATGTTATAATAATAATATTTTTTTTAATAATAATAATAATAACTCCACACATCTCACATACGGCGGTCCGATCCCAAACTAGGCAGAGCCAGTGCTATGGTAACCAGACTGCTGATAAACATACTTATATATTTTTAAATACATACATATTATAGATAAATTACACCCAGACACAGAAAAAATGACCGTGCTCATCACACAGTATTTGTCCTGGGTGGGAATCGAACCCACGACCTACGGTTTGGCAGTCAGTGTCACTAACCTCTAGACCAACAGGCCCGGCATCTCTCATCATCAATCTGCTAATGCGTATCTTATTACTGCAATTTACACTTGAATTTTCTCCGAGATTATAACCTGTATCTAAAAATATGTCTCAGAAACAAACGGGAATGCACGTCGGGGATTTCAAATAAAAGACAAGTTGTTATTCAGTTAGTTTAGTAGCGCGGCTCAAAAGCCGGGGTCCCAGGCGGTGTGGTGCGTGACGTCGACGAGGCGGTAGCACAGCACGGTGTCCCCGGGCTGCAGAGGGACCGGCTCCTCGAACCGCAGCCCACACTCCATGTCGCACTTGATCGTTGCCACTTCATCTTTTAGGTGCTTCATGGACGCCAATTTACCTGCAATCGACAAGCTAATTTTTTACAATTCTACAATCCTAAAATTTTATTTTTACAAAAATTTGTATGATTTTTTTTGAAGTGATAATTTCTTGAGGCGCGTTGGGCATTTTCGAACAACATACAAAATTATTTATTTTATGGTTCAAGAAAAAACATATTTTCTGAGATGGGATAAAACCATTGAACTGGCGACACTGTTACCGTCACCGACAGCCCTGTATATAAGTATCTACATACATTTACAAGACTTGAGTTTGGGTTAAACCGAACTCAACTCTATTGTAAACGGAGCCAATACGATACATTTATAATACGTATAAACATATATTGTGTAGATACGTAGCAGTGCCACAGGCAAATGAGCAGAGAGGGGGGGGGGGGGTAACCTGATGGAAAGTAACTTAGGAGTCATAACTGCCGCCCTTTGTTTCCACCAGCATCAGAGTCAGTAGGGGTTTGACCTCCGGTAACCTCACTGAATCAGTGAACAGCAACAATAAAAATTCTTAACACCGGTTTTCTCTAAGGCCGTGGGTATCACTCTGGTCAAGCCGGCCTATTACACTTATATATAATTGAAATTGGTACCTTCGTGTTCATTAATAGTAATTACCTTGGTACACGACGTCTTCACCTCTAATGACCTTGTACAAGGCATTACGTGCGAGCGAACCCTTCGTGCACCGACATCCCGCCACCGGCACTTTCTTCTTGTTCTCAGTCACTATAAATTCTTGGAGGACGTTAGCTTCACCTAAAATATTAATTATGAACACTTAAACACTCTACCGTCAATTGCATCATCATCATCAGCCTATTGCAGTCCACTGCTGGACATAGGCCTCTCCCATTGCACGCCAATTGCATGAATATTGACAATTGCTCAACAATTCGAAACGATGAGATTGATGATGACAAAGTTCACCTAATGGTCAATACCCATTGACCCATTGACATTGAATTAAATGGGGGGGGGAGGGTCAAACTCAAAATATTTCCATTTCATTTTTTATTATTATTTGAAATCGTCTCTTGTGTAAACTCTAAAGTCATAGATCAACAATCACACAATAGCAACAATCTCTGCTTTGTCAAATATTTAGCAAACTAAATATATACGTATCTAATATCTCTTATATGCCTGTGCCGATGCTGGTCTTCGGTAATCATACTCGCTCGGTGAAAAATATTAAAAGCCAATAATAACACAACGTACCAACAAACTCTTCCTCCTGTCTCTTCGGTATCCTGACACTAAGTTCTTCCTTGATGTCATCCACCATTCGGTAGATAATGTTGTGTTTTTTAATCGCAATATTCTTCTTTTTTGCCTCCACTGCTAACGGCGGTGGACAATCCACGTTGAAAGCGTAGATCACGGCTTTGAATATCTCTGCTATCTGCAAATTAATCGTTCAAATCGGTAAAACGTAGATCAAAGTCCCGTTAATATAAAGGAAAACGCTATAACTAGGTTCTGCTTCTTTAAATAGGCATGATCACTTTTACATCGCGATGTAGTATCAGTAGTAACTAAATACTTTGGACTCTATTCTATAGATGGCGCTGTACATATTGCTACAATATAATTGCAAATTGAAATAAAAAATACATCTGGGAAGCTTTAAGGATACGATAAGGAGCGATAAGGAAGGATTAAAAATATGGAGTGTCACCAGTGGGTGTTGTAAGAGACGACTAAGGGAGCAAACTGCGCAGGACAACAGCACTGCAAAGAGAAGGAAAACTTGAAACAAACCCTATACCAACCCGTCTGGCCAGCGAGGTCTAGTAGGCACAAACCTCCTTTCTAAGGAGAGGCATATGTCCAGCAGTGGACTGTTAAAGGCTGTTGATGAAAATTATAATTAAATAAACCTCTATTTACCTCCAAGTCGTTAGGCGTGATTGGTCCAACCCCGAAGTGCACGAGATCTAATCTTACAGTTTCATGTTCATCATATGTCTCCAGAATGTCCAGGATAGCTTCCACGGAGCCGTCCACGTCACCTTAAAGGAAATTTCAGGTTATACTATAGCAGGTTAAAAGAGAAAGAGTATTGAGCTTCTTGGGTGATTTATGGGTTAACAAAATAGATGAGACTGACACATGAAGGTAAAATGTTCTTCTTATGGAAGAGTAATAAGTAACAATTGGCATTAGGCCCTGAAATAAGGACCTGTAATAACATGGACTGGGTTACCCCCGGGGTATGGGGCCTAAGACTGGCTGTCAGGATGGTTTTTAGTTGAAACACCACATACTCCTGGCTCCTATCGCGCTGGAGGAGCCAGAGATCCGAATGGATTTTCCATCCCGTCAACAAAAAAAGGCTCTGAAATAAAGGTTCATGTTTAGAGTTTCGAAACATAATTGAATATGAAATTTTTGAAATGTCTATTTATACTATACATTTTTTTTACAGTGGTTTAATTTAGTGAGGTGTGTGCGTATGTCACCTCTAACGAGTACAGCGAGTTGGGGTGTTTGTTACCTTTAATTACGAGGGCGGGTCAATAAGTCCGTGACTTTTGGAATAAAACACAGATTTTTTGATAAATAAATCATTTTATTTTTCAACGTAGTCTCCCTTGAGCTCTATACACTTTGTCCAACGCTTCTAAAATTTTTTATCCCTTCCAAAAAATATGATTTGTCGAGGTCCTCAAAATAGGCCTTTGTTTGCGAGATGACTTCATCATTGGAGGCAAATCTTTTTCCACCAAGCCATTTTTTCAGGTTTGGGAACAAGAAGTAGTCACTCGGAGCCAAATCTGGAGAATAGGGCGGATGAGGGAGCAATTCATAGCCCAATTCATGGATTTTTGCCATGGCAACTGCACATGTGTGCACCCTTGCATTGTCTTGGTGGAAAAGAACTTTTTTCTTGGCCAAATGAGGTCGGTTTTTTTTCAAATCGTCATTGAATCGGTCCAATAAGTTGGCATAATATTCCCCATTGATTGTTCTTCCCTTTTGAAGGTAGATTATCCCGCGTGCATCCCAAAAGACAGTCGCCATAACTTTATTGGCTGACAAACCCACCTTGGCCTTCTTTGGCGCCGATTCACCCTTAGAAACCCACTGTTTTGACTGTTGTTTGGTCTCTGGTGTGTTGTGATGGATCCATGTTTCGTCCACGGTTACAAAACGGCGCAAAAACTCCTCCATATTGCGATTAAACAACGCCAAACCTTCCTGTGAAGTTGTTACACGATTGCGTTTATGGTCGACTGTGAGCAATCGCGGCACCCATCTTGCGGAAAGCTTTCTCATGCCCAAGTGATCATTCAAAATTGAAACCACTGAGCCATGCGAGATCCCTACGGCTTCCACAATCTCTTGCACTTTCAATCATCGGTCGGCCAACACAATATCGTGAATTTTTTCGATTGTTTCGGGTGAAGAGACCTCAACTGGGCGTCCAGGACGTTCGGCATCTTCAGTGCTTGTACGGCCACAACGAAATTCAGTAAACCACTTTTTTACCATTGAAATCGATGGTGCAGAGTCCCCATAGTATTTATCAAGCTTAGCCTTGGTTTCGGTAATGGTTTTTATTCGCAAAAAATAATGCTTAATAAGCACACGAAATTCACTTTTTTTCATTTTTTCCTCAAATTACTGGGTAGTCTGATAAAGATAGCTGTCAAACACAAACTAATTGACACAGCAAGTTCAAATTTTGACAGGAGTCAACTGACAGATGCCTGTTGACAGGAGTAGTGTTGCTTTTTCAGTAAAGAGGTTAGAAATTCAAAAAGTCACGGACTTATTGACCCGCCCTCGTAGTACAGTGAGCGTAGGGTGTGTCACCTGTAACTTGTACAGTGAGCGTAGGGTGTGTCACCTGTAACTTGTACAGTGAGCGTAGGGTACAGGTAGCGTAGGGTACAGGTAGCGTAGGGTACAGGTAGGTCACCTTTAACGAGCAGGGCGAGCGCGGGGTGCGCGTCGGGCTGTATCATCTTGTGGCGCGGGCCGGCGGGGCGCAGGCGGTAGCGGCCGAGCGCGCGCTTGGCGGCGAGCGCGGCCGAGTACAGTGAGTGTAGGGTGTGTCACCTCTAACGAGTACAGTGAGCGTAGGGTACAGGTAGCGTAGGGTACAGGTAGGTCACCTTTAACGAGCAGGGCGAGCGCGGGGTGCGCGTCGGGCTGTATCATCTTGTGGCGCGGGCCGGCGGGGCGCAGGCGGTAGCGGCCGAGCGCGCGCTTGGCGGCGAGCGCGGCCGAGTACAGTGTGTGTAGGGTGTGTCACCTCTAACGAGTACAGTGAGCGTAGGGTACAGGTAGGTCACCTTTAACGAGCAGGGCGAGCGCGGGGTGCGCGTCGGGCTGTATCATCTTGTGGCGCGGGCCGGCGGGGCGCAGGCGGTAGCGGCCGAGCGCGCGCTTGGCGGCGAGCGCGGCCGAGTACAGTGAGTGTAGGGTGTGTCACCTGTAACGAGTACAGTGAGCGTAGGGTACAGGTAGCGTAGGGTACAGGTAGGTCACCTTTAACGAGCAGGGCGAGCGCGGGGTGCGCGTCGGGCTGTATCATCTTGTGGCGCGGGCCGGCGGGGCGCAGGCGGTAGCGGCCGAGCGCGCGCTTGGCGGCGAGCGCGGCCGAGTACAGTGAGTGTAGGGTGTGTCACCTCTAACGAGTACAGTGAGCGTAGGGTACAGGTAGCGTAGGGTACAGGTAGGTCACCTTTAACGAGCAGGGCGAGCGCGGGGTGCGCGTCGGGCTGTATCATCTTGTGGCGCGGGCCGGCGGGGCGCAGGCGGTAGCGGCCGAGCGCGCGCTTGGCGGCGAGCGCGGCCGAGTACAGTGAGTGTAGGGTGTGTCACCTCTAACGAGTACAGTGAGTGTAGGGTACAGGTAGCGTAGGGTACAGGTAGGTCACCTTTAACGAGCAGGGCGAGCGCGGGGTGCGCGTCGGGCTGTATCATCTTGTGGCGCGGGCCGGCGGGGCGCAGGCGGTAGCGGCCGAGCGCGCGCTTGGCGGCGAGCGCGGCCGAGTACAGTGAGTGTAGGGTGTGTCACCTCTAACGAGTACAGTGAGCGTAGGGTACAGGTAGGTCACCTTTAACGAGCAGGGCGAGCGCGGGGTGCGCGTCGGGCTGTATCATCTTGTGGCGCGGGCCGGCGGGGCGCAGGCGGTAGCGGCCGAGCGCGCGCTTGGCGGCGAGCGCGGCCGAGTACAGTGAGTGTAGGGTGTGTCACCTCTAACGAGTACAGTGAGCGTAGGGTACAGGTAGGTCACCTTTAACGAGCAGGGCGAGCGCGGGGTGCGCGTCGGGCTGTATCATCTTGTGGCGCGGGCCGGCGGGGCGCAGGCGGTAGCGGCCGAGCGCGCGCTTGGCGGCGAGCGCGGCCGAGTACAGTGAGTGTAGGGTGTGTCACCTCTAACGAGTACAGTGAGCGTAGGGTACAGGTAGGTCACCTTTAACGAGCAGGGCGAGCGCGGGGTGCGCGTCGGGGCTGTATCATCTTGTGGCGCGGGCCGGCGGGGCGCAGGCGGTAGCGGCCGAGCGCGCGCTTGGCGGCGAGCGCGGCCGAGTACAGTGAGTGTAGGGTGTGTCACCTCTAACGAGTACAGTGAGCGTAGGGTACAGGTAGGTCACCTTTAACGAGCAGGGCGAGCGCGGGGTGCGCGTCGGGCTGTATCATCTTGTGGCGCGGGCCGGCGGGGCGCAGGCGGTAGCGGCCGAGCGCGCGCTTGGCGGCGAGCGCGGCCGAGTACAGTGAGTGTAGGGTGTGTCACCTCTAACGAGTACAGTGAGCGTAGGGTACAGGTAGGTCACCTTTAACGAGCAGGGCGAGCGCGGGGTGCGCGTCGGGCTGTATCATCTTGTGGCGCGGGCCGGCGGGGCGCAGGCGGTAGCGGCCGAGCGCGCGCTTGGCGGCGAGCGCGGCCGAGTACAGTGAGTGTAGGGTGTGTCACCTCTAACGAGTACAGTGAGCGTAGGGTACAGGTAGCGTAGGGTACAGGTAGGTCACCTTTAACGAGCAGGGCGAGCGCGGGGTGCGCGTCGGGCTGTATCATCTTGTGGCGCGGGCCGGCGGGGCGCAGGCGGTAGCGGCCGAGCGCGCGCTTGGCGGCGAGCGCGGCCGAGTACAGTGAGTGTAGGGTGTGTCACCTCTAACGAGTACAGTGAGCGTAGGGTACAGGTAGCGTAGGGTACAGGTAGGTCACCTTTAACGAGCAGGGCGAGCGCGGGGTGCGCGTCGGGCTGTATCATCTTGTGGCGCGGGCCGGCGGGGCGCAGGCGGTAGCGGCCGAGCGCGCGCTTGGCGGCGAGCGCGGCCGAGTACAGTGAGTGTAGGGTGTGTCACCTCTAACGAGTACAGTGAGCGTAGGGTACAGGTAGCGTAGGGTACAGGTAGGTCACCTTTAACGAGCAGGGCGAGCGCGGGGTGCGCGTCGGGCTGTATCATCTTGTGGCGCGGGCCGGCGGGGCGCAGGCGGTAGCGGCCGAGCGCGCGCTTGGCGGCGAGCGCGGCCGAGTACAGTGAGTGTAGGGTGTGTCACCTCTAACGAGTACAGTGAGCGTAGGGTACAGGTAGCGTAGGGTACAGGTAGGTCACCTTTAACGAGCAGGGCGAGCGCGGGGTGCGCGTCGGGCTGTATCATCTTGTGGCGCGGGCCGGCGGGGCGCAGGCGGTAGCGGCCGAGCGCGCGCTTGGCGGCGAGCGCGGCCGAGTACAGTGAGTGTAGGGTGTGTCACCTCTAACGAGTACAGTGAGCGTAGGGTACAGGTAGCGTAGGGTACAGGTAGGTCACCTTTAACGAGCAGGGCGAGCGCGGGGTGCGCGTCGGGCTGTATCATCTTGTGGCGCGGGCCGGCGGGGCGCAGGCGGTAGCGGCCGAGCGCGCGCTTGGCGGCGAGCGCGGCCGAGTACAGTGAGTGTAGGGTGTGTCACCTCTAACGAGTACAGTGAGCGTAGGGTACAGGTAGCGTAGGGTACAGGTAGGTCACCTTTAACGAGCAGGGCGAGCGCGGGGTGCGCGTCGGGCTGTATCATCTTGTGGCGCGGGCCGGCGGGGCGCAGGCGGTAGCGGCCGAGCGCGCGCTTGGCGGCGAGCGCGGCCGAGTACAGTGAGTGTAGGGTGTGTCACCTCTAACGAGTACAGTGAGCGTAGGGTACAGGTAGCGTAGGGTACAGGTAGGTCACCTTTAACGAGCAGGGCGAGCGCGGGGTGCGCGTCGGGCTGTATCATCTTGTGGCGCGGGCCGGCGGGGCGCAGGCGGTAGCGGCCGAGCGCGCGCTTGGCGGCGAGCGCGGCCGAGTACAGTGAGTGTAGGGTGTGTCACCTCTAACGAGTACAGTGAGCGTAGGGTACAGGTAGCGTAGGGTACAGGTAGGTCACCTTTAACGAGCAGGGCGAGCGCGGGGTGCGCGTCGGGCTGTATCATCTTGTGGCGCGGGCCGGCGGGGCGCAGGCGGTAGCGGCCGAGCGCGCGCTTGGCGGCGAGCGCGGCCGAGTACAGTGAGTGTAGGGTGTGTCACCTCTAACGAGTACAGTGAGCGTAGGGTACAGGTAGCGTAGGGTACAGGTAGGTCACCTTTAACGAGCAGGGCGAGCGCGGGGTGCGCGTCGGGCTGTATCATCTTGTGGCGCGGGCCGGCGGGGCGCAGGCGGTAGCGGCCGAGCGCGCGCTTGGCGGCGAGCGCGGCCGAGTACAGTGAGTGTAGGGTGTGTCACCTCTAACGAGTACAGTGAGCGTAGGGTACAGGTAGCGTAGGGTACAGGTAGGTCACCTTTAACGAGCAGGGCGAGCGCGGGGTGCGCGTCGGGCTGTATCATCTTGTGGCGCGGGCCGGCGGGGCGCAGGCGGTAGCGGCCGAGCGCGCGCTTGGCGGCGAGCGCGGCCGAGTACAGTGAGTGTAGGGTGTGTCACCTCTAACGAGTACAGTGAGCGTAGGGTACAGGTAGCGTAGGGTACAGGTAGGTCACCTTTAACGAGCAGGGCGAGCGCGGGGTGCGCGTCGGGCTGTATCATCTTGTGGCGCGGGCCGGCGGGGCGCAGGCGGTAGCGGCCGAGCGCGCGCTTGGCGGCGAGCGCGGCCGAGTACAGTGAGTGTAGGGTGTGTCACCTCTAACGAGTACAGTGAGCGTAGGGTACAGGTAGGTCACCTTTAACGAGCAGGGCGAGCGCGGGGTGCGCGTCGGGCTGTATCATCTTGTGGCGCGGGCCGGCGGGGCGCAGGCGGTAGCGGCCGAGCGCGCGCTTGGCGGCGAGCGCGGCCGAGTACAGTGAGTGTAGGGTGTGTCACCTCTAACGAGTACAGTGAGCGTAGGGTACAGGTAGCGTAGGGTACAGGTAGGTCACCTTTAACGAGCAGGGCGAGCGCGGGGTGCGCGTCGGGCTGTATCATCTTGTGGCGCGGGCCGGCGGGGCGCAGGCGGTAGCGGCCGAGCGCGCGCTTGGCGGCGAGCGCGGCCGAGTACAGTGAGTGTAGGGTGTGTCACCTCTAACGAGTACAGTGAGCGTAGGGTACAGGTAGGTCACCTTTAACGAGCAGGGCGAGCGCGGGGTGCGCGTCGGGCTGTATCATCTTGTGGCGCGGGCCGGCGGGGCGCAGGCGGTAGCGGCCGAGCGCGCGCTTGGCGGCGAGCGCGGCCGAGTACAGTGAGTGTAGGGTGTGTCACCTCTAACGAGTACAGTGAGCGTAGGGTACAGGTAGGTCACCTTTAACGAGCAGGGCGAGCGCGGGGTGCGCGTCGGGCTGTATCATCTTGTGGCGCGGGCCGGCGGGGCGCAGGCGGTAGCGGCCGAGCGCGCGCTTGGCGGCGAGCGCGGCCGAGTACAGTGAGTGTAGGGTGTGTCACCTCTAACGAGTACAGTGAGCGTAGGGTACAGGTAGGTCACCTTTAACGAGCAGGGCGAGCGCGGGGTGCGCGTCGGGCTGTATCATCTTGTGGCGCGGGCCGGCGGGGCGCAGGCGGTAGCGGCCGAGCGCGCGCTTGGCGGCGAGCGCGGCCGAGTAGCGCGCCTGGTGCTGCGCCGAGCGCGCCGCGATCTGCTCCGCGTCCGCCTCCTGCTTCTGCCTCATGCGCTGGCCGCTGCGCCATTTCATCACTTCGTTCGCACGTTTCTGTACGGTGCCATGTATTTTTATTACAGATTAAAGACTGATCCGCACTATCACAAAGTTACCTGAGTGAGTACTGAAAACGAAAGGAAGAACTGAGTACAGTTTTCTTGTTAATTGTAAAACTTACCTCAGAGCTAACTTCGAGCACCTGGTCTCCCGCCGAGGGCATCTCCTTCCAACCCAGGACCGACACCGGCGTCGAAGGCGGAGCTTCCTGGATCGATCTGCCGTCGGCCGAGTTTAGTACCCGAACCTACATCCGAAAATAAATATGCATTATACGATTACACTATAATATACGATATGTTTCATACGATTTACCATGGGAGGGCCATGCTTCGGCACGAATGGGCCAGCTCGACCGGAGTGATACCATAGCCTCACAGAAAACCGGTGTTAAACAATTCTTTCGTTGCTTTTCACTGAATGAGTGAGGTTACCGGAACCCAAATCCCCCTCCCACGAACTCTAGCGAGAAGGACTCTAAAGGCGGTAACGCACTTGTGACTTTCGAGTTGCAGTTCCATGGGCGGCGGTAGTTGCTTACCTTCAGGTGACCCATCTGCTCGTTTGCCCCCCTCATACCGTAAAAAAAAAATACGATGAAAACATTGAAGATTGAAACAGAACTTAAGCGGTTATACATTCTACGAATATAAGCTAGCGGAATTTCATACGTGAACGCAATGGCCAATGGACAGACAACCTGTCATTAGTATATTTTAATGCAATTAAACAGCGTAATACTTATTTTTCCAAAATATCAACTGAAAATTTCAATAAAACCTGAATTTTCACATTTTAATGTTTATTAACCTCTGACAGCTATCATTTCAAAGTTATTTTCTTTTCTTTTTTTTTTCTTTCTAAAAAGACAGAAACTCCCGCATTAGGAATATATCCTGTGTCGCGGGGGACTTTACAAACATATATGAAACGGACACAAAGAACACCCAGACTCAGAACAACAATTTGTGGATCACACAGTGTCGTGTAGTAGGCGTAGTAGGAAGCGGCGTGGCGACCGCTTAAACCACTACGCCATCCGTACATATAAAACGTTGCGTTTTACTTCTACACACCATATAACTATTTACTATAACAAACTATCTAAACTTGGGTCATTTTGACTGCCTCGTTGGTGCAGTAGGTAGCGTATGCGATTGCTGTGCTGAGGTCGCGGGTTCGATTCTCGGGTCGGACCAAATGATTGAGTGATCTGCAAATACTTGTTTCGGAGTTTGGGTGTTTTCTATGTATAATATGTACGTATTTACAAAAAAAAGTATATAAGTATACTAATCAGTCAATCTAGCTTTCATAGTACAAGCTCTGCTTAGATTGAAAGTATATGGCGTTATGTGTTAGATGTCCGTAATATTTATAATAATTTAACATTGATCATCTAGACCAGGGGTGGCCAACTTGATTGGACCCAAGATCTCTTGTTCACTAACGAGACCCTGTGCGATCTACCAATTACATACTTCTAGAAATCTTAAATGAAACAGCATAGTTCAGTACACCATCATGTGGCATTTTTTATTTTATTAAGAGAAAAAACATAAATGTGAAAATTATACTTAGTAACTACTTATTTACATATATATTAGTGTGAGCATTGCGTCTGAGTATCTTTCACTAGTTTAGCATAATCCAAACCTGATTACCTGAAACCTAGTTGGAGATTGCTAACCTTAAAGAATTCAATATATGAGCGTCTGTCTGTTACTTTTTGTTTGCTTTGAGTAGGAAAATGCTGACTCACATAAATATCTTGAACCAAAACACGAATGAAGTCGTTCAACACATTTCTTCAAATTTGGATATTTTTCGTTGGTAACCAATGCCCAGAAATCTTGACCTGAGGATGACCTTGCTTTAAGAAATATGTCGCAGCGCAGAGTAATAATTTCGTTTTGTAACATCATGTGCTACATTTGAAATGTATCTGCAAATTTTGTAGCCAATTCATAGATATTACTATGATAAATGGAATCATTGAAGGGGTTACTGATGAATTGAACCAAGTACTCAATTTTTCTGAAATCACCAAAGCGAATTTCGAAGTCTGCTACCACTGTCCTAATTTCTATCGTATATTTCTCAGAAATGAAATTGTAGGTAGGATGTTTTCCATATGATCCTTGATGTTAACAAATTGTTCAAATTTTTTCTTCTCTATGTCAACTATCATAGACGCTGTTTGACATTGCAACGCTGCAATAGAACTCATCATTTCCGTTAATGTTTTATTCTTGCCTTGTAGATTCAGATTTAATGTACTCAGTTTTCCAGTAAAATCTGCCAAAAAAGCTAAATCACATTGCCAGTCTAAATCACACAATTGCTGATAATCATCACCCCTTTCATCAAGAAATTTTATAATTGAAATGAAATGAAATGAAATGATAATTTAATTGCAGAAATATGGTACATGGGCTGTTTATAGTTATTAGAAGAGAATCACATATTTCGTCAGTCTGTTCTGACATGCAAAATTTGAAACATACATGCATATTACAACAAAAGATTGATTTAATAACAAACTACTAAGCTCATGTCAATAAACAATTTACATAATGTCAAATATATAATTGCAATGTCAAATTTTTAATCCGTCCAATAGCTCTCGTAATGTTTGCAAAAACTTGTCTCGACTTTAACCAACCACCTTACGCCAGTGTGCATTGCCAATTCTGGTTCCTTCTCTTCTAATTGCTGTTTAAAGAGCCGCCTTTGAGGGATTTTCCCTTTATGGAATTTACAATCTTAAAAGAAATATCCATCACATGTTTCGTGTTTAATCTCTTACTAGCCAGTACTTGTTGATGAATTATGCAGTGGTAGCTAATGAAGTCTGGAAAATCTTCGTCTTTGTGACATAGAGCAATAAAACCATTATGAATACATGTCATTGCAGGAGCTGCATCAGTTGTCATTGCTACAAGTTTATACATGCATAGCTTAATCTGGCAAATATATGCTTTGAATTCCGTGAATATATCAAGGCCACGAGTTTTTCCTTTTAAGGAAATCATAACTAGCAGTTCTTCTTTGGTCGAGAAATCTTCGAAGACCATCCGAATAAAAACAAGTAAGTGTGCAGTATCAGTGACATCTGTTGACTCGTCAAATTGAAGCGAAAAAGCAGTTTGATGAACCTTCAGAAGCATTTTTTTCTTTATTTGATGTTCGTCCCACACGCTTCCCGCTTATTGGCCATCGCGCGCCGAAACCAAAAGACTATACTGCGTAAAATAGAGGATAAATACCGTGACGAAACAGCGATTGAAAAATTATACAAGATGATGCGTCCAGCAGTAGGTGATTACGTTGGGCAGTCTGGTCTACGTATTTATATTTTTTGCCTTGCCACGATCGACTGGACTAACAGTCGCGATCGACCGGTCGATCGCGATCGACCTGCACCTGCACCCCTGATCTAGACTCTAGAACGAATAGTTTTTTTTTTAATTTATCTCACACATCTCACACACGGCCGTCTGATCCCAAACTAGGCAGAGTACTATGGTGATAAACATACTTATATATTTCTAAATACATACATATTATAGATAAATTACACCCAGACACAGAACAAATGACCGTGCTCATCACACAATATTTGTCCTGGGTGGGAATCGAATCCACGACCTCCGGTTTAGCAGTCAAGGTCACTAACGACTAGACCAACAGGCCCGTTACGGGTTGTATTATGCACATGAAGTTAGATAACATGCAATTTCTTCTATTTTACAGATAGGCTTTTCTTTAACGCAAAAAAAACGTATTTCACTAAAATAAACTAATTCCAGGAAGGATAAGTTTCTCTTAAAACTTTCCTCTACCAAAGTCCATCACAATTAATTGCGGTAATAGCCGATTAGCTGACAATACTCCATTGTGTAGAATTATTTAAATGTTACTAAAACTATAGTAATAGTAATAAATTTATTATTATATGTTTATCTATCCCACAAAGGTTTCTTAACATTAAAATCTATAAAAGTATGTGGTATTTCATTCCTTTGTGCTCCCACTGGTATCCATACTAGGTGTCCCTGTCACACAGATTACCAGGCTAGATACTATGATACGGTTGTGAGTTTATTTATCGGTTAATAATAATCTTATATATAAAATTCTCGTGTCACAATGTTCGTTCCCGTACTCCTCCGAAACGGCTTGACCGATTCTCATGAATGGTCAAATACCCCTAAATGGTCAGGGTGACCCATCCCTAATTTTTTTTTGTTTTGCAATACAACGTTTGCCGGGTCAGCTAGTAATATATAATATATTGTACCACATTCACACAACGTCATCTAGTCCCAAACTAAGCAAAGCTTGTGCTATGGCTACTAGACAACTGATATTAATACATATATACTTTTTTTTTTGTAAATACATACATATTATACATGGCGTATGGTAATGACGTATTAGATCTAGTTGGTGTTGCTAGCTAGTGTGCTAGTGCTAGTGATGTGACATCACATCAACCGCCTATAATATTCCACTGCTAGACATAGGCCTCTTCTTAGAAAGGAGGTTTTGGCCTACTATACCACGCTGGCCAGACAGCAAGGTATAGGGTTTGTGTCAAGTTTTCCTTCTCTTTGCAGTGATGTTGTCCTGCGTAGTTTCCTCCCTTAGTCGGATCTTACGACACCCACGGGATGAATAGGGGTGGTGACATTCTGTATTCTTAATCCACACGGATGCTAGCGGATGCGGATGCTAGCTTACTATAATAAATTTTATTATTATATATCTTTAAATTAAATACATATCGTTATGGTTTTATAAAAATCACAATTATTTAGTGAGTACGTATCATGTTTTAATTGGGACATGGATGGTGGATGACATACCTTAGCCCAACCGTTGCCAGCGACGATGACACATCCTCGCCTCAACGTGCCTCGTTGTACTAATACTGTTGCTTGTTTCCTGGACACCAAATTTTACAAAATAGCTTGCTAGATAAAAAAAAATTAGAAAGGCTACCGAAAAAATTGGAAAATAGTGAAAATATATCAAGAGTTTTTTGTTGTTTGTTTCTCAATCACAACTAAAAAGTTAAAGGAATTTAACAGTTGTGTTAATTAGTTGTATTCTAATTACGGAAATCGTATCTAAAAGCTGGTATTTGATGGTCGTTGTCCACGTCAGATAACAATTTTATCGTTCGTGGCTCCTTGTGTCATAAAAGTCGTTAGTCCAAATTAATTAATAAAACAAAATAATATCATCTTAATTCAAGTAAATCCAGAGATTTATAAGATAATTTTAATAACAAATATGTTATCTTAATTCACTTTTAATAACTATGGCTGGCCTATTCAGATAAGGCATTTTACAATCTTTATAAACTCAGATGGCAGTTTGTTTAAAATCTGCAAACAGACAATTCAATTGAATGCTGTCTTAGATAACCAAGTATTTTTGGAAGGAAGTTCCTTATCGCGCGTTGTGAAAGGGGGCTAGACGGAAAAAATTCTCGCGAAAAGTTGTAACGACACTTTTTATGCCAGTCATTCAGCGCCATCTATCGAATAGATAGGAAATCATTACTTTTCATCTCGGTATTTATTTTGAATTGTCACTTGTCAGTCGTTCAGCGCCATCTATCGAATAGATAGGAAATCTTTTCTCAAGGAGATTTTACCAATGTATAAATTATTTTAATTAGAAACCAACTGAATAATATGTAGGTAATAGCCGCTTTCATAGATGGCGTTGTAATTAAAATCGTGTCGAATCAGTTTTACTCGATCGTCACAACTTCGTTCCTATCGGGTGTCCCACGACACCACACTTTCTTTTTTTAAATAACATAGTAATTACGTAAAATGACTAATTAAAACAAATTATTAAACTTTTTAATTCCTAAGTTTATTGCACTATTCTCGTCTTCGTCAACTCAATATACTGTATCTATTATCAAACATACCAAAATGATACTTACCCACTTCTGGCATCCATCTGAGCCTCAAGAACCACACCTTCAACGTAACCCCCTGGATCTGCCTTCAATTCCATCAACTGTGCCTGCAGAGTCAGCGCTTCAACTAAAGTGTCTAAGTTCTGCTTCTTCAGAGCTGATATCGGTATGGCCTGGATGTCGCCCCCTAACTCTTCGCAGACAATGCCATGGGTTGATAGCGCACGCATTATTTTCTCCTGGTGAAAACATATATTGTGCGATCACAATCTAAATCAACTCGTACATCACAATAAATACAAAATAAGTCTTGAGAACTTTTTCGCTTCCATTGCTTCGCGAACAGAGCTTATTAAATTGTGTACACTTGTCAATAGGACATGTTTGATAACCTTCAGATGGACCGACCACCTGAGAGTAGCTGAAATGATCCGAAAGGCAATGTTTACCTTCCGCTTTCGAGCACATATTCCGTGAGGTCTATGGACTGCAGTAGAGTAATTGATTGATCGAATCATACAACCAGTTCGCTGCTTTCAGTGTTGTAAGTTTAGTTTGCAAATAACAGTCTTTGCGAGTCATAAGTAATCATTATCATGCACACATCAACATTGGGATTTCTGTAGACTATTGGACCACTGGATAATTGGCAGTAAAAGTGATTTGATGATAAATCCATTGTGATAAGTGATAGGATAGATTAGGTCCATGGTTGACAGAAGATTACTAGTCTCAGTCAGGGCCCCAACTACGGCTTTTTAACCAGGGCCTAAGTTTTTGAAACAATGATTTAAATTCGTCTATCCCTCAGTAGATTTTTAAAGGAACCCATTTCAAAAATCGATGTACTAACAATCAAATAGTATTTATATTAATTTAGAACTGGTTCCTTGTGAGCCTCTTTCATTAGAAAATTAATTTCGTAAAATAATTTTATAATTTAAACTATATTTATATATAAAATAGAGGCATACCTACAATGTTCACACCTGGCTTGTCGATTTTGTTGATGGCCACCAATATAGGAACTGTAACAAAATAAAAATTGTTAAGACGATTATAACGAGTCTGATGATACATATCCCAAAAAATTAACTAACAGATAATACGGTTCAATACACGTCGGTTAAAAAAAAAAATAGTACGAAAATACAGAAATGCAAATTTAGAACAAAATAAATACAATAAAATAATTGCCGAATTAGAACACCATTGATAACATGAGTCGGTGAACTGTACACGGCAGCGTCGCAATGTCGGCGACATCAAAGCGACGCCGCCGCCGCCGCCGCGACGAGGCGGCGAACTTTACATTCTTATTACATGCCTACTAATCACTTTACTTGCTTTTTAAAATCTATTTATTGAAAATACGATTTTATTCACGTGTTTATTTTGGGAATGCTCGACTACCTTCGAACCCGGCAGTAAGTGTCACTTCTTGAAAAAGTAGATACTTTGGCTGTCTCGTAATCTTTGTACCGCCCTAACTAAAATTGGGCAGTCCGTAGGACATACACGATTGACTCCATACCTGTCCGTAAAGCTAAAGATGCGTTTTGATAGAGTTTCCGATAAATTAACTTCATGGCAGGATATTCCGCGGCTGTGAAGGTCACTCACGGCATTATGGATGTTGATACCGATAACTCAATAAAATTTTAAATTTAATTTTATTGAGTTATCGGTATCAACAATTAGAATTATCAGTCATTTAATTATTAAATGACTGATAATTCACTCAGTTTGACACTACACTACACACATAACCTAATATTAACACTTTTTGAAATAAAATTAGCGGAACTCGTTACAACACGAAGTCTTGCGCACACGATAACATTAATTGTTCACATCATTGCCGTGTATTATGACGAAAGCAATAAGACTAAACAATTATTAACACAACAAAACTTTTCTAAACAAATATCTCACGAACAATAACCATATTATTATTACGGTAATTTGTCGTGAGCGCATCTACAAGGACACAGAATAGCGTAACACTCGCCGGTGACCAAGGGCCGACTGATTGCCCTTACTGGATGAACTAATCAAAAACGCGTGTCCTTCATCCTGATGACGCAATTATCAAAAAATTTCGTTAGATTCGAGTGTAGTAAAAGCGGCAACGTGTGATTACCGCGCCAGCTGATCGCGCATGAGGTCAATGTATTATGACTGCATGTACACATGATGTTGTAAATTACGAAAACAAAAAAAATGCCCTGTTTAAACCATTGAATATTTTTTGTTCACATTTTGCAAATCGTCTAGAAATAAAGTGCAGAATATGTGGAGTACAGATTCGTTAAAAGATACATAACAGTCTGTATAACTCTTAGAGGATTGCTTATATGCTAATTGCTTTAAACAAAAATGATGATTTTTTAATAATAATAATAATAACACCGACGCATTAATTATTATTTTAATAATAATAATATATAATATTTCGCTTCATTATTTTAATAAAAAATTTTTTTATTTATTTTTAAATGTATTTTTATTTCGTTTGTAATATATTTAAAAATGTAATTAATATGTATATATAATTTAATAAAGAGAATAATAATAACTCCAACACATCCCACACACGGCCGTCTGATCCCAAATTAGGCAGAGCGTGTACTACGGTAACCAGACTGCTGATTAACATACTTATATATTTTTAAATACATACATATTTAATTATTTTATTTATTTATTTTATTCTTTATGCACAAGTTGTACATTGGCGGACTTAATGCCATAGGCATTTTCTCCCAGTCTACCTTAGGGTGGTGCTGAAATGTGTGGCTAGGTGCACTAGACATTAATAGGAGAAGTAAAAGAAAATGATTGATAAGTTAGGTAGAAGTAATGCGATAAATATACATACATTCATATGTACCAAATACATACACATACACAAATACTTATATAGCAACATACATACATAAGCCTAAAAATCAAATCAAACATATGATAGATAAATTACACCCAGACACAGAACAAATGACCGTGCTCATCACACAATATTTGTCTTGGGTGGGCATCGAACCCACGACCTCCGGCTTAGCAGTCAGGGCCGCTAACCACTAGACCAACAGGCGTTCATAATATATTAACAGCTTTAGAAATAGGTATAAATAAATATGATTTCTGTAATAATTTGCAAAATACGGTAAAAACACTTGTTAGGCAAGTGTACTGTTTCATTGTTTAGTATGTTTTATCATTATATTTCAACAGTATACAACAAACACATAAATTACAAAAGGTTACATTAAGAGCATTTAGTAGTACATTAAACTAATTTAGTTTTAAATAAATATTATTAAACTTCAATTGTATTTTAGAAATAACATTAAATGTTTTTGTATTTATGGACAACTCCCGCACTAGGAATTTATCCTATGTCGCGGGGAACTTTACAAACATACATTAAATGTACACAGAGAACGCCCAGACTCAAAACAACAATGTGGATCAGAAAAAGTGTTGTCCCATGTGGAAATCGAACCCACAACACTTCGCCTACTCCATCCGTACAGTCGTTCCTTGTGTTCGTATCCTGGGGCTTCTAAAATGGTCTGAGGGATCCCATACCGTTGGCTTCCCTGGCCATGCGGATGGACTCCAGGGTCTGCTCCATGACGCCGTCGTCGGCGGCCACGACGAGCACGACGAGGTCGGTGGCGTGAGCCCCGCGCGAGCGCATGGCGGTGAAGGCGGCATGGCCCGGCGTGTCCAGGAACGTCACGCGCTCGCCTGACCCCAGCTTCACTGCAACCACACATACGTCATTAATAACTTCATTTTTTATGGCAAATTTTTGGAGTTTACTTCTTAAGAATCGAGTTTCATATGCGCTCGGTATGAAAAAATATGAAGAGTAAAATTTAGTGATTGAATGACCTCGTTACGTTTTTTGTGCCTAAACTATAGGTCTTTACCTATGAAATTGCCGTTTTGTATGCAATAAGTAAAAAATTCAATTCCCGAGAGGCAGTACCAAATGCCTTTGAGGAGTTTGTTGCCTCCCGTCCAGCTGATTTTTACAAGAAGGGCCAATGGATGGAAGGATCAATAAACTGCCAATGCGTTGGCAAAGATGCGTCGATTGCATGGGTGATTACTTCGAATAACAGAAATAAAAAAGTTTGAAAAAATAAGTACTTTCACTTATTGCATACAAAACGGCAATTTCATAGGTAAAGACCTATTATATAGTGTGTGTGTGAATAACTTGTATACTTGTGTGCAGCCGAATCGTTCTTAAGGAGTAAACTCCAGTCGTAGGTCGGAGCTGACACCCACCCCTTTTTTTATGGGATAGGGGCAAACAATCAGGCACCTGGCCTGGTGACTACCGTCGCCCATATACGCCTGTTACTTACGTCTTACTCCGTACTACTAACGTCAATGTTAAGTTTTATATATCCCTCCTAATTAGGACAAAGGGGGGGGGGGAGGGGGGGGCGTTCTAATTACCTCACTCGCTCGGTAAAAAGTATCGAACAAATTACTTAACACCGATTTACTGTGAGGGCGTGGTTTCTCTCCGGTCGAGACGGCCAGTATGTGCCGACTCACAGAACCCCAGAGAAGAAGCTTTAGATGAAACTAATAAGAACTTGTTAATAGGTAGAAATAATCAAGACAATAATACCTTCAAAAGCGCCAATATGCTGTGTGATACCACCGAACTCTTGGTCCACCACTGACGTGTCTCTGAGTGAATCCAACAGAGTAGTCTTCCCGTGGTCCACGTGACCCATCACGCACACGACTGGCGGACGGGGCTTAAGAGCTTCTGGAGGGGCCGGAGGCGCTGGGACGGCATCTTTGTTCTATTAAGTTCACCATACATATAATATTATATACATATAATATTATATATACCATATACCAATACCATACATATAATATTATATACATATATATACCTATATAGATTCAGAAATTAGTAGAATTTTACAAATCCTATGCAGTGAATAAAAGCAATAAATATTATTATTATATTACTGCTATTTAATGAATAATTTTAAATTATTTTATGTTTCTAAGTCGAAATAATTTACTGTCTTTCAGATATACCTATATTGTATGTTACTACTGCAATTCTCGATTAACTAAGGCGGAACGGCTGAATATATCTAAAGGAAATATAGCACAGAGATAGATTATAGTCTGTAAAACTTGTTTGACAAAATTGTCATTAACACAAGATATATCGCGGGTAAAAGCTAGTATTTTAATAAAAAAAAAAAACCATGAAATTTGGCCGTGAAGTGGAGAAACAAATTGGGATGCTGTATTAATTATTTACTGACTTTGCTACTACAAAAATTACATTCAAAATAGTACAAAAAGACTGACCTCATCTTCTGGCAATTCCTGATCAGGTTTGGGGACAATCTTGAACCTACAGCCAGAGATTTTGACAACATCTCTTATGATCTGGGGATTATGTATCACAGTGTCTTTGGTGTATGTGATTGTGGATTCTTTGTCCGCAAACTCTAGAGCTTTTAGTACATGATCTGTAACAAAAGATTTTTTAAATACTTGTTTACCTACTATTAGGGACCATCCATAAATTATGTCACACGTTGAAAGGGGTGGGGGGCGGAGAGTTTCGTGACATCACATTTCAAAACGAAATTTTAATTTGATTAATAGTCATTTAATTCAATTTTGTTTTTTTAAATAAAACTAATTTCGGAACTGCTGTTAATTACTAGATGTAAAATTACAAATATGTGACGTCACATTAGGGAAGAGGGTCTCACAAATGTAACCAGCTGTATAAAGGACAGGGGTGAGGGGGTCAAACCTATTGTTATTAATTAACAATATTATAATATTAATTTATATTAACTAATCAATAACTAACACATACTTGTTTTAAATGTACAATTATTTATGAGAAAATACCGTTGCTCTGATATATTATACTATTTGTACTTAAAACTAGTTGCCTATATAAAAAGTTAAGTGAAGAGAAGAAGTCAAGAGAAGGTGAAGTAGGTTACAGTTTATGTGTGACAATCACCTCCAAAAGCTATAACAAGCCTTTATTTAGGAGATAGGTCAGTCGGTAAAACTAATTTTCATTTATTACCAGATAAAAAAAATTGCATGTTATTGTCTTTGGTACATATATTAAAATACAAAAAGAGTAAATTGCACAACTTAACTTTTAAAAATTTCTACACAGCTAATATATCATTATAATGTAATATGTAACTTGTAATATTTAACTTACTTATGTCTTTGTTAAGAACATTGGCTATTTCTTTAACAGTCATATTTCGCCATATTCCCACTACCACAGCACTTTTTGGAGAATATCTAATCGCCGATCTGCCTCCACTCTCACTCTCTGCAACCTAAAGTTTAAAAAATATAAAAATTTATCTTCTTTTTTAAGACTAGTAGCAAATGAATTCTCAGTCAATTCTCGTAATAGAAATTCTATCAAATTTTTGTTCCTGTCTAGTCTCGACTCACAAACGTCATAAACGGTATTCTCGTAATAAAGTATTAAACATCCAAAGTTGATTATATTGTATTGTGATAGAAAGTTGAATCAGTATTGTGCTACTCTTAGTAACACTTTACTACGAAAATATCCTCTTTTTTTATGTAAGAGGGGGCAGACGAGCAGTCGGGTCACCTGATGGACAGTGAATATCGCTGCCCAACCTGCAACTCAGGAGTCACAAACGCGTTGCCGGTCTTTTAGGAGGGAGTACGCTCTTTTCTTGAAGGTTTGGAGGTCGTATCGGTCCGGAAATACTGCAGACGATAACTTGTTCCACAGATTGATTGTACGAGACAAAAAGTGTGTCGAAAAGCGCACTGTAGTGGAGCGCGAATTATCCAGGTGATGGGGATGACAATTTTGCCGTGTGACAACGATGGCGGAAAGTTTTGGATGGTATTAGTCCTAACAATTCCCCGGAGCACTCTCCATGTATATACTATAGAGAATGCAGAGTGAAGCTACATCTCTACGTAACGCCGATTTGGGCTATCGACGATTCGAGTCGCTCTTTGTTGGATGCGGTTCAGAGGGAGAAGCTAGTACTGAGGTGCCCTTGCATAGAGATGAAAACAGTATTCCACATTGGGCTGGACTTGCGCCTTATAGAGCTGAAGGCGATGGGCCGGACTGAAATACTGCCTCGATTTGTTCCAGCACACCGAACTTATTCGACTTCTTCTTTCCAATTTGACCTTACCCTCTAAGTGACCCAAAATGGACTTCGCTCGATATGTCAATGCAACGCAGTTAGGGAGGTGCTCTCAAACCTATGTAATACGACAAATGGTATTTTCTTTGCGGTGAACACACAGACATGTATTTTTTAGGTTAAAGTGGACTACATTTAGTCGGTCCTAATCTGAAACATCCGCTAAGGAAGTTTCAGATTACAGAAACAAGTTTGTTTCGACTCGCGATGACTTTTTTCCGAGAAACATTGGGGCGGCCGGTGTAAAGGGCATCTATGTCATCGTACTAGCCTCTGCATAGCAATGGATGTTACTAGTTTGCAACATGTGTAAGTCTATTTAGTATGTATTATTATAGATACCAGCACTGTCTTCTGTCTACATGTGGAAGCTTGTAAATGGCATCTAGATAATTAACATAATATGTATTTTGTAAATTTAGCCGTAAGCTCCCCAAATATAATAAAATATAAAATAAAATAAAATAAATGTCATTGATATGCAGAAGAAACAGTGTCGGTGATAGCACACAGCCTTGTGTGATCGAGAGTAGATCGGAACTGAACTGAGAATGGACCTTTTGCAAGGTCTGAGACAGGTGCAGCGTTCTTTGAGAGCCCCGCCCTAAGAGATAGGGGGTTCGATTGGACCTTCGATAACTTCACTCACCTAAAAACATTTAAATAATAATATTTTCGGACATCAGGCATCAACGCCATCTAGTTTCAAACTAAGCAGAGCTTGTACTATGAAAGATAGATTGACTGATAGAATACTTATATACTTTATTTTTTGTAAATACATACATATTATACATAAAAAACACCCAAACTTGGAAACAAAAATTTGCAGATCATAAAAAAATTTGGTCCGACCTGGGATCGAACCTGAGACCTCAGCACAGCAGTTGCATACGCTACCACTGCACCACTAAGGCAGTAAAGAGTAACAATACAGCAATGTATGGTGATTGATATACAGGCCTGATGGTCTAGTGATTAATGGCACTGCCGTACCAGAAGTTTTGGGTTCGAATCCTACCCAGAACAAGTAATTGTGCCCAGTTACCACAGTGCATGCTCTGCTTAGTTTGAGATCAGAAGGCAATATGACATCTGTAAGGTGTTTCAAGTTATTTTTATACTGAAATATCAACTAAAACATTTAGAACTGGTACTGCTATGCATGAGTAATAATAAACTATATAGTATTTCTTATAGATGGTACCTTTTCCTCTGGTGACCTTCGTTTCTTGCAGCATATACATGAAACTGAAAGCTGTCTTGCATATTGATAGTTGTTATTCACAGGAACTTTTTTGATTCTACAAACTTGTGCGACAAGGTCGTTCCTTATGAAATTGATTGGTAAGCTGAAAAAAAGTATAGTACTGGTTAAATTGTATGCTAGAATTGGGTGTGAACATAGAGAGTAGTAATTAAAGGTTAATCCTTTTTATAATGTCCTATAATTACTGAAACCTATCATATCCTAACAAATCCTAAATTAAAGCCTATTTATTTGTTACAAAACCAGATTTCAAAGGTTTCTTAAACAGACCCATGTAATGTTATTTTGTAGAGATCTGGTGTCTTTTTTTTGTTTTGTACGGAACTCCCCTCGGATACCAACCACCAGTGGGTGAATATATCGGACTCGAACCGACCAAAAAAAAGGATGCCGTCTCCAGGTATCAGTAGCCGAGGAACCAGGTATATCTTAGAAAGGAAAGCCCTGGTACCCCGACATCCCTCAGGCCATCTACTGCTTATAGATAACCCCTCCGGTGTGGGAACCCGGATGTTCCGTTCCTGGCACGTCACGCCACCACCCATCCCGGCCTGCTTCTGCTAGAGTGATAGATGGCTCCACCTGTCACCCTCAGGCCTGTTCTCGGGCCTCGCAGGATGGGAGAGATCTGCACCTTTCCCGGTTCCACTCCGCCATCTCCTTCACAAGCATAACCTGCTGGCAGAAGAAAACGGCGGAATTCCACGCACTCGCGCTCTGTACCATGCCGGCAATCATGTTACCGAGCGAGAAAAAGATTTCTAAGAAATACGCCTTTGCTCCACCCACGCAGGGCATTCTACCCTTGTGTGGAGCGCCGTGTCCACGGTCCGTCCATCGCAGTGGTGGCAATCAGGTATTGGCTCTTTGCAAATCAGTTACAGGTGATTTTGGGAGGCTTCGGAGATCAACTGTATCTGATCCACAAAGAGATCTGGTCCCTAGATTCAAGAGGTAATTTTAATCTACATAAAATTTATACAAAAAAGATTACATATCAAGGGGTTTCATAACAAATGAGTGTATCTACAAAAATGCAGTAAGTAAGAAGACTGCTTAAATCACTTTGTCAAAGGATGGTTGACAATATAGTACTTTTAAAACTTAACTAGTAAATCTGATTATTTTACCGAACTATTTTGAATGGTTGGGTTTTAAAGAAGCTCAGATGTAGTTAAACACGACCAGTATAACAAACTATTTGTTGATACCATTTCTTTGTTACACATTTCAAACTAAATATTATCAGACTATGTATCATCATATATTTTAAAAGCGATATTTTTCTTTGTTCTTTGCCAATCGAGTAACAAATCTCGTAGATTTTAATAAGAAATATAAAAGAAAGCTTTTTACCGTCTTAATAATAAAGTTTTGTACATTTTTTTTATGGTGAAATATTAAATTATTAACATGTATCAAATCTAAAAAGTTATGTCACAGTACAACTAGGTTATTAATGATAAGTATGTCTTTTTTGTTGCTACTAAGTAAGCATAAATGTAGTAACTGTGTAACTTGTCTTCGGTTTATACATTTCATTTCATAATTAAATATTTTAATTAAATACATTCATAACATAACCTATGAAAACGAAACTGATATTCAACCGACTGACACTTGAGTACTTGACAGTATAAACTTTTTTTTTTCACTAACTTGAATACACAACCTTCCGTTAATAACCTTATGATTAAGTATTTAATGTTTGTAGACGTTGCATTCTAGCTGTAGTGTCCTTTTTATTTTCATTTTCATTATACATGTACATGTACAATGTAATATTTTTTCACCAACTCCAAAGTCTCAAAAGGAGGAGGAGTCTTATAATTTTTTTATATGCTTGTTACCTCATAACTCTGTAATTTATAAATATAAACAAATAACAGCAGGTTTATACCACTACTTGCGATGACAGTCAGTAGATAGAGCCATAGAGTAATTGAGAAAACTGCTTTTCCCCAGACCTTCTCCAACAGGAGAGATTATAGATGTAAGGCCAATTAAAACCAATTAAACCAATCCGTCTAAAGCGAAAAAAATCTTGTTTAGTGCCGTGTCCACGGCCCGGTCATAGGTGCTTAGTGGTGACACTCAGGCGTTGGCTCTATGTGGATCAGACACAGGTGATCCCCGAAACACCCTCCCGGTGATAACCTACGTCAGCCGGTATGATAGGGTCCCGTGATGCCTCTAGAGGCAATCCTCCATAACGAGTCTTAGCGCTGCAATAACGGCCTGCCCTTACCTTAGGTATTACCTACCTCAGTTATAAGAACTCTATGGATAAGTTAAAAACATTTTTTTCATTGTTTTCAAACGATATAAATAATCAATTTTATTCGGTTTAAAACCAAACTCACACTCGCACTCTCGTTGACGTTGTTACTAGCGGCGGCGGCACCGGCGCGACGGTCTTGAAGACATAACGTTGTCTCTTTCATGAGCAGGTAAAACGGACGGCATTGTGTTAATGAAGTCTTCTAATCTAGTGTGTGTAATATCTTTACATAGTTTAAAATAAGGACACTTATTTGTGTTATACGCTTAGATCTTTTAAACTAAGCAACTGATTTTAATGTAATTTTCACCAATAGAGAGAATGATTTAAGAGGAATGTTTATATGTATAATACATACATATTATAGTAGACGAAATCTGAGAATTTCAAAGATTTTTTGAAATAAACATGTTTTTTACGTTTCCATTGCGAAGCTAAATCTTACGAGATAGACCAAAATATTGTACTACGGAATTGTATATCGTAAAAAGATCTAAAGAAAATCCTCAGCAGTATATGTATATCTCCTAAAGATAACCCACAGTAATCATTTTCATCTTTTAAATATTACAAAAAATAATGGGTTATTTACGTAGCTATTTTAAATACTTCATTATTATTCCTTATCCAATTAAATACGTTAACATTTAATGTAGATTAAAATGAACAGTAACTGTTAAGAGGATATCATTAATTAATATTTTAGAAGATATTACATATTTAAAATGTAAGAAAGTTTGCCTACCCATGGCTTCCCAAGACTTTTCTTTAGAACTGTTGAGGAGTTTAAGATGAAAATCTTGAAGAACTTTTTGTGTCTTTTCCAACAAAAGTTCTTCATCATCAGCCTATAACAGTCTACTGCTAGATGTAGGCCTCTCCCATTGCATGTTACTTAGATTGATTTTCGGCTTCTCGCATCCAACTCATAAGTTCTTAGTTCTGGAATAAAATCCATAAACAATATCCAATAATACTTATTTTAAAAAAGCATATCATAGACAATTACTATTTATGTCCGCCATTCATTCTTTTGAGTTGCTTTTTCGTTTTACGATTCCCGAGAGCACGATTTGTCACCGAGATCTACGCAACACCATCGCGTAATTAGTTAACCTACGTTACAGGTGCTGAAACAATAAACTCTATTCGTGGAGGTATCATCGCCATTAGTGTAGTGTAACAGCCATCTGACGTGATCATACTGTGAGATCGTATCTACCAGTGATGCTTTTGCTCACCTTTTACGTTATCGGTTGCGACGTGAGTTCGAGTGCCTGATGGTGTGGAAACTATGTGCGATTAACTCAATAGAATCAGAGGACTCAGCATGGGGGCGTTTTTGAATAAGCCCGAAACTAGGAAGTACAACGAGAATGGGGAAGGGAATGGTCTTCGCTATGGCGTGGCGTCGATGCAGGGTTGGCGCGTCGAGATGGAAGATGCGCATCACGCGCAGTTGACTCTGAACGGAACTCTATCTGACTGGTCTTATTTCGCAGTGTTTGATGGGCATGCGGGAGCGCGGGTATCAGCGCATTGCGCGGACAACCTCCTTGAATGTATCCTACAAACAGACGAGTTCCGGCGCGAGGAGATAGCTCAGGCTATCCGCACCGGATTCTTAGACCTGGATAAGAAAATGCGGGAACTACCAGAGCTGTATAATGGCGAAGAGAAGTCTGGTTCGACGGCGGTCTGCGCATTCGTGTCGCCCAAACAAATATACATAGCTAACTGTGGCGACTCACGCGCAGTACTAGCCCGCAACGGTGTGCCGATCTTCGCGACCAGAGACCACAAACCAGAGCTACCGTCGGAGAAGTCGCGTATAGTGCAAGCCGGTGGGTCTGTAATGATACAGCGTGTGAACGGTAGTTTAGCCGTGTCCAGAGCACTGGGAGACTATGAATATAAGAAGGTTATGGATCGTGGTCCTTGCGAGCAGCTGGTGTCTCCTGAGCCTGAAGTGTCTGTTCATGAGCGGGTCGATGCAGAGGATGAGTTCTTGGTGCTGGCCTGCGATGGTGTGTGGGATGTGATGACCAATGAGGCACTCTGTGCATATGTGCATTCATTGCTCCAGCTGACTGATGATCTTGTTGCTATAACCAACCAGGTCATTGACACCTGTCTCTACAAGGTTAGTGATTTGTTATGTATTTAAACATTCCTTATTGTTTTCTGAATAATGCTGATTGATGGTTTAAAATAAACTAGAAAAGCCTGTTTAATACAAAATCATTATTGTTATTTCATTTTAAAGGGTCACACATATACAAGTATTGGCTTAGTAAACATATAATATAAAAATTAACTTAAATAAGATTTTTTAATGCTTTATCAATAGATAGATAGATTTTAAGACTAAGATTTTTTTTTATAAAAGATATATTACACAGACAGAAAACTATATTATATTTTCCTATACATTGAATTTTACTTAAAGAATAGGATACAATTTGCAAGTTTGGTTGTTTAAATTTTTAGGTCTTTCTATGTTGATCAAAAAAATTTCAAATAAACAAGTTGTTTATGACAACATTTTCACAATATTAATCATATGGTCAGAATAAGTAATCTTTAAAAATCACATACATTGTAAAATTATAAAGGTTTCATGATAACTTTTAAAAGGTTTTTTTTTTTTTTTGTTTGGTATGTTTATGGCATTCATATTAACTAAGTGGTATTAAAATTATAATTAGTAAGTTGTGGATGTGTAATACTTCCGTCTACTCATTTAGATATGAACAAGTGAGTCTACAGAAGAGACGATTTCAAATAATATATTTAAAGAAAAATGAAATAAAAATATTTTGCGATTGAGTTTCTGTAGATATACCTGTATTTTGTTAACTAATAAAAAGTGTAAATTGAAAACTCAAAATATCTCTAAGCACCAATTATTAAAAAAATTGGCTATTAGGATACTGTCCTGACAGCCAGATTTATTTTTTATAATTGATACTTGTTACTTAGCTCTGAAGCAATTAAAATACTTAATAATTATATAAATATTTATGAATCAAGATAGGTAGTGCTTTTTTAAGAGCCACTTTTCAATACTTTGCCAAATAATAACTAACTGGTACCCTCTTATGGTATTAAATTATCTCAATTTTGGTTACAGTAAATGTAAATAGTTAGGAGTGTTCTGAAATACCTAACAAAACATCCTCCATAAGAAATAAGTTAAAATGACTAGAACACATGTTTTAAACATTTCACATGATTATATTTCAATTTACTTTCTGTATGTGTTTATTGAACATAACAAAAAACATAGACCCAACACAGAACTTCATATTTTTTTAAATTAAATTAAATAGGGCATGTGATAAAGCTCATAAAACAACAATATTTTGCTTTAAAAGGCATAATTTTTTATTAATTAAATAAATTTGCACTAACTAGCTAATTATTAAAATTGAAAAAAAAAACAACAAAGAAATCTGATTGAGTGAAAATGTAAACTGGTGATTTTGATTCTAATATAACCGGTGTAACTAACATTTTGGACTAAAATGACACCTCAAATGCCAAAATCCATCAAATTGTTTAGACTACAGAGCATGAACAAGGAATATAAATAAAAGTGCCCGATGCAGTCATGTGAAAAGAAAAATTAAATGTTAAGCACATTTGAGACCTTAATGCCTTAAAACTAACATTGCCAAGAGTAATGCAATGGTCAATGCAAATCGGTCATTTTCCGTACTGTCTTCATAGCAACAAGAAACAACATTAATGATGACATTGATTTAAATTATTTCTCACAAATCACTAACGCAACAGTGCATAAAGAAAATAAATCTTAACAAGCATAAAACACAAGGTGCTCTATGTATGCTTTATACTAAATCAACATTAAATACATACCTAATTAATAAATATGAATTACTCTTTTCACCAAGGCATCTACATTCATTGATATTGGTTAAGTCTATGGTATCAAGTTTATATAAATGCTTTGTGACTGTAATTTATGTCTTAAATGACCTAATACAAATATTAGGTTTTTACTTAATAGATGTATTAAGTCATTATAAATGACCTAATACAGATATTAGTTCATTCGTAATGACCTAATAATTTTATTCAGAGATCAATGTTTTAGCAAAAGTTTGAAGCTAGGCCCTTTGTTGTTAAAATTTTTACACTTCCTAGATGTCTTGTTTAATTTTTTTAAACTCATCTAAAAATAAACTAGATAAGTCAACACGAACACGATCTAGTTGTAAATTTAAGATAAGTAGAAGTTGTATTTTTTGTTTTTATGTCACATAGAACATCTTAATCTTGTTATTTCAAGAACTGTTATTGATTTACTTTTGTGCTTTGGTAACTAAAGCAAACATTTTGTACACACATTGCCAAGGGTACAGAAAAGGACACAAAAATCATAATAGAAATATTACTCTAACCATGATCAAAGTCACATGTACATATTAAAAATTATTTAATTTACTAGATCATAATGTTGACTCCACAATGGTGACTAACATTCTATTCCAAAGTTAGTGTACTGCCAATTGCAATAGGTTTATTACTATTGTGATAAAAAAAGTCTTCTGGATTTATTTTCGAGAGCCCAGTGGGCTTGAAAATAATTGATCCAGAGTTCCTTCCTCAAAGTTTGATAAACTCCCATTATGGTTTATTGTTGGTTTTCCCAGCCAACTTCTTGATAATAATAAATATGTTACAATGTCCTCCTGACTTTATCATCAGATCAGCCACAAGATGTTTATTTTGTGCTGAATTATTAGTGTTGTCATCTAATGTACAATAATTTTATTAACATTACGATACGATATTTATTATCATTTCGTCTGAACCTTTTTCCCAAACTGGGTTGGAGTCAGTCTGACATGGCAACTTTTAATAATATGGTAACTTAGGTTTGAGATAACTTTTTTTTAACGTTGGGAATGCTTTTCGCACCATACCCTCCGTTGGGGAAACGGAGGACGTGTGTGGGACTCAGGGAGAACCGGTCTACCCACTAGACCCCGCGGCAGCCTACCTCGGCAGTCGGGAGGAGCTCCTAGAGGCCTCCCTGCCGTATGCGAGCTTCGACTATATATAATTACGATCAGCATTTCTGCAGCCCACCGTACATATATCTGTTTTTCTTGAATTTGGCTTAACTCTCATATTGAATGTTATTTACAGGGCAGTAAAGACAACATGAGCATCGTGTTGGTGGTATTCCCCGCAGCGCCGAAACCAAACGCCGAGGCCCAGCGCGCCGATCGCGAACTCGACGAGACGCTGCGACAAAGACTCACAGGTTGCTATCATTCACTACTGCATGCCTGCTCACACAAACACAGAGACAGACAGACAAACAATCATATAAACAAACAGCTTCCTGAATCTAGGAGCGATAGCGATGCTAGGGCTTAATCAAGTCTTTTAGGTGATCTAATACTTTGAAATAGGATATCATATATAAATCAGAAACACTGCTAATATATCTATTAATATCTTAAGTCTTCTCAGCAAGGAGTCAATAACAAATTTTTGGTATTCTTAAGTAAATCTTTTAACCAGTTATTTTCTTTTCATAGAATTTATTTTTATTTATATTGGCTTTTAAAGCTCGGTTATGAGGTCGTTTTTTTCTTGGTTAAGGTGAAATAAGAGTTGGAATCCGCTTCTGTCGGTGTTAAACTCAACCTAAGCTGCTTGGAACAGCGATTAAACTTTTACGTTCAAGTCCGACTTGGTAGAAACTATAGTACACAGGGTTTGGTAGACGATTTTTTTTTCAGGAAGAATCTATTTAAAAGTAGGTATACTTTGATTGTGTATATTGTAGTGAATCAATTGAGTTTTTATTTGTATGAGTAGTTTCCAGAAACTAATAAGAGTGTAGGAAAGAGTCTTAGGTTTATTCTTTCAAATCTTAAATTATCACCAGTCTTTGGATATCGACCCTAGAGTTAAGCCACACAACAGAATATATTATTTATAGACGAAACGTTTATAAACTATTTGTAGATCGCCACGAGACAGTTGGTTCCATATTTCCGAACCAACTTGGCTTAAAATCATCCTGACTTACTGGGGACGGCTATAAATTTTATTAAACAATAATAAGTTAAAATTAATTACGTAATAATTGTTATAAGACCAATTTTTTGTTTAAATTTATTCTTTATTTAAAATCTTGCCATTATGCCTTCGGTTTTGTCGGATTACTCACAGTAGTAGTATACGACGGCCAGAGTACGTATTTTTAAGTGATGTATCTCAGTTTTTGCTGAATCTTCCCGTTGTTGCCAAATCGTTGTTTTTTTTTAGTTAAAGAGTATAATTTAAGTTTCAAATCACTAACACAAAGTGGATCGAATATTAGGAAAATTTGTGATAAGGTTACTCCACTTTGGATTATATACGTGAATTTGGGTTCTGGTCTTCATGCAACTATTAAAAATGATTACGATAGTATAAAATAAAAATATCTTAGTATCCAAATGAAGTGTTCGCAGACGAGGGCTAGAGGCCTTGAAATTAGCCTAGTATTTCGCGCACATATTGGAGATCTTACTCAAAAGGCTCTCTAAATGTTTAAATCTTATGAAATTTATTAGAAATAATATGTGATAATTAGATATTTAAAAGTATTTTCAAATATATTTGTAGACTTTAATATTTAAAATTTTAAGAGGCTTGTTATCTAATTTTAAATTTTGTCTAGCTTTGCTTGGAAGAGAAGTAAATTTATTGTGGATTTGTGTAAATTCCTACTCATCATCATCATCATCATCATCATCATCATCAACCTATCGCAGTCCACTGCTGGACATAGGCCTCTCCCATTGCACGCCACTTATATCGATTTCTACTCTCTATTACCAAAATAATTTCTCGACAAATCTCACGGCTGTATGATCCCCAAACTCGTCAATTTATCTAAACATTATCCTGAATAGCAGTTCTTCATATTATTACTCTTTTAACTTTTAATTTACTTTTAACTTTGAAACCTTTGCTTTCCATAATATTTTATAATTATTAAATCGGAACGCGATCAATAAGTTTTTAATACACCACGGATGACAAGTACAACCTGGGCCTCAATTCTGTTATTTTATACTTTACTAGCTTATGCCCGCGGCTCCGCCCGCGTACATGTCAAGCATTTGTCTTTCCTCAAGAATCTCCATACCAAATTTCATGTAAATCGGTTCAGCGGTCTTGATTCCCCATACAATCTTCCCACATCCTTTTCACCCCCTTAAAGTATGATTTCTGGTATAAAAACTACCCTATGTCCTTTCCCGGGACTCGAATTATCTCTATACCAAATTTCATCTAAATCGGTTCAGCGGTTTAAGTATGAAGAGTTAACAGACAGACAGCGACACAGAAAGACAGACAGACACACTTTCGCATTTATAATATTAGTATGAATACACAGTTATAATGCACAAGCCGCTGTCATTTCATTGAGACGCTATTGAGGTGCCATTGATATCTGTAGAAATGGTATTCTACTGACATAAATTCACAGTGTCAGTAGATTGTTGATGTAGTAACAATGGCTCATCAACAACATTGCCATATCAGGAAAATTAAATCTATCATTTCCTTACAAATTTGAAATGTACCGTTTTCCAAACTATTACAAAGACATCGACGACATTTGTATCGCTGACAAGTCTTACATAGTTAGTAGAATACGAAAAGTTCAAAACTATTCCAACAACAGTCTATTGATACAATATTAAACTAGCAGAATTGACGCCCTGGTCGAAACGTCAGGCAATTCAAATGTTTGCAGAAATCTATTGAGCCTTCTTTACAATACAGAAAAAACTTGTACAAATTATGTACTCATTACTTCACATCTATACATGTAAAGAAATTAAGTTGGTTTGTGTACGAGTAAAAACTCGAAAAGTTCTGCACCGACAACAAATGGTTTTTATCTGTTTTCCGCGTCACTTTTGTTCCTCATTTCTCACCAATACAACTACAATGTGCTACAGTGAAGCGTGACAGGGTACAGCTAGTTATTATAAAGATAAAACTTCAAACATCTCACACACGGCAGTTTGGTGGTAACCGGACTGCTGATGAACATACTTAAACATTTCTCAATACATAAACATTGAACAGAACAAATGATGGTGCTCATCACCCAAATATTTTAACCTCTGACTTGGCAGTCAGGGTCACTTACCACTAGACCAACATCACACACACACACACATAAACAGCCTTTAAGAGACCCCTGCTAGACATAGGCTTCTCCTTAGAAAGGAGACCAACATGCCGGTCATGAATACAGGAAAACTTATGAGCAAATTAGATACCTTATCATTTCACATTATTTCACAATTAATGAATCAAATCATAACTTGTATATTGTACACCACTTGTGTACATAATATTCAAGGATGTATCTATTTATAATACTGTTGAATTCGCTTAATGTTTCCATTAGATATGGTAATTATTGCTACTTTTATGTCATAATCGTATGATGAAATGATTGACTTCAGTTTCACTGCGATTTCACTGGTGATTGTGATTTGGTCATAGACTTCACTTTTACTTGTTGACTGTCCTACAGTGATCTTTCAATCTTTAATAAGCTGTACAAAGTGTACAATCTATAAATAAAATTAAAGCTTTGTTCATGCTCACACGGTTGTTTGCACGATACATATGCCTAAAAACAAGTTTAAGTTTTTTTTGTCTGTCTGTTTGTTCCGGGTAATCTTCTTAACGGCTTTACCGATTTTGATAATATTTTACTACCAGGTAGCTGAGGTAGCTGTCTGTATAAGGAGTAACTTAAGACTATTTTCCCTGTCAGAAAAACCCTTTAAAATTTTACTCGGTCCGGGAATCTAACCTATTGAGGCAGAGCATTTCAAATTCCACGCGAACGAAGTCGCGGGTACCAGCTAGTTTCAATATAAACTATTTTATTTTTTTATTTATTTTTAAAAGACAACTTCCGCACTAGGAATAAATCCTGTGTCGCGGGGGACTTTACAAACATACATGAAACGGACACAAAGTACACCCAGACTCGGAACAACAATTTGTGGATCACACAAAGTGTTATCCCATGTGGGGTTTGAACCCACAACACTCGGCGCAATAGAAAGCGGCGTGGCGACCGCTTAAACCACTACGCCATCCGTGCAGTCTACTAGTCAGTGCAGTCAAACTAGTTGTACCAAAGGGCCAGCTCATAGTTGTTGAGCGAAACAACACATAAATAGGTACCGAGTTCCGAGATCGTTATCAAAATGACAATCATAGCAATATTTAGTATCAGAGCATGACATCATTTCCATAAATATCATTAATAAAGGGTGTCTCAGTAAGAGTGCACTTGTTCATTTAAAAAAAAAAACACGTATTTTATGAAAGAGTTGTGATGTTTTTATTGGATTGTAAAGAAGAAATGTTCCGATTAAGTATGGAATAAAATATCCTGGCAAATGGCCGCCACGGCTCTGATGACAGGCTATTACTCTTTTCATGAAATTTTCCATGACTTTCACACAGTGATGTGGCTGTATCTCACCGATGACGTGTTGGATATCTGATTCGAGCTCAGGAATTGTTTCTGTTTTATTCGCATAAACCCAAGATTTCACAAAACCCCAAAGAAAAAATCGCATGACGTTAAATCACACGATCTTGGTGACCAGTTGACATCAGAATTTCGTGAGATAATGTGTTCTGGAAATAGTTGCTGCAGTAAGTCGATTGTTTCATGCTCGGTGTGGTAGGTGGCGCCGTCCTGCAACCACATGTTGTCCTGATCCATGCCGTCCAGTTGAGGCCACAAGAACTCTTATCATATTCCTGTAACGAATGCCGTTCACAGTCATTGCAATTTCGGCCTCATCTTCAAAAAGTAAGGCCCAATTAGGCCGCCTGACCAAAATCCGCACCATACAGTTGCTCGTTGTGGGTGCATTTGTTTCTCAAGGATTGCATGAGATTTTGTGAGTCCCAAATTCGTCAATTTTGTGTATTCACGTAGTCATTCAAATGGAAATGCGCTTCATCGAAGAAGATGTCTTCTAAAAATTGGCATCGACTTCACTTTGCTCCATTACCCAGTGAACGAATTGCCGGCGCTTTCCATGGTGTCTTCTGGTTTGATCTCCTGAGTGAGCTGAATCTTGTACGCATGAAGGTGGAGGTCTTTTGTCAAAATTCGCAGTGCTTCGTGAAATTTGAAGTTGTTGAGAACGATGGCGAATTGATGTTTTCGGGTTTTCGGCATCACTCGTTTATAGCAGCAATGTTTTC